TAAAAAAAAATTTTAAGAATAATTTCATTTTTCAAGATATTTGATGAAAATTTTATTAAAAATTATTGAAATTTTGCCAAAAATTTTATTAAAATTTTTTAAAATAATTGAATTTCGGAGAAAAATTTTATTATTTATAAAGATAATTGAAATTTTGATGAAATTTTTTGTAAATTTTTCAACATAATTGAATTTCTGCGAAGAATTATTTTATTTTTTGAAAATAATTGAATTCTTTTGTAAAATTTCATTGACATAGTAGACATTGAAAATAATTGAATTTTGACAAATTTTTGAAATTAATTAAATTTCCATGAAGAATTTTATTGAAATTATTTTGAAAAAAATTAAATTGTTACAAAGAATTTCATTAAAATTTTTTAAAATAAATATAATTTTTTGTAAAAACTTCATTAAAACTGTATTGAAAATAATAATTAAATTCTAATAAATAAATTGTATCAAAGATTTTTAAAATAATTCATTTCTTTGTTAAATTTTAATAAAATTTTTAAGAATAATTACATTTTTCGAGGAATTTCATTAAAATTGTATTAAAAAAAATTAAAAGTCTGCGATGAGTTTTATTATTTATGAAAATAATGAAATGTTTGCTTAGAATTTTATTAACATTTTTTTTAACTAGATAATTGAATTTTTTGGGTTTTTTTTTTTATTAATGTAGTAGTTATTAAAAATCATTAAATTGAGGAAAATTTTTGAAAATAATTAAAATTTTGCCAAGAATTTTATTAAAATTTTAGGAAATAATTGAAATTTTTGAGAAGAATTTTACTACTTTTGAAAATAATTGAATTTCGAAGAATAATTTATTTATTTCAAGATATAATAATTGGGATTTTGTCGAGATTTTTTTGTAAATTTTGAACATAATTGATTATTGTGATAAGAATTTTTTTATTTTTGAAAATAATTGAATTTCTGCAATCATTCGTTACTTCTTCAAAATTCCATTTTTACATTCTCATTTTTTAGTGTTTTTAACTAAAATTCTTTTAAAAATTTATTATTTTTAATAATTAATTAATTATATATTGACAAATTTGAACTAATTTCAAAAGAATTTTGAATTATTAAAATTTTTCAAAAATCTAAGTTCATTAAATTTTCTCATTAAATTCATTCAACATTGAAATTTTATAAAATTTTGAATTGAGACCGTTGCGTTTGAATAGTTCATTTATTTATGAAAATTGTAAACGCAACTCTTTGAAAATTAAATTAATTTTGAAATATTTATGTAACTATTTATTTATTATTCATTAAATAATTTTTTTTATGATAGTTGTTCATTGATTTAAGTATTATTTAAAAGGAAATTTTTGTTACAAATTGAAAAAATTGATGGTTTTATTTTGAAATTCGTGGTAATTTTATAGTTTGAGTCAAATAAAAAAAGAAACATTTAAAATAAACAAAGTTAAACTTTTCACTGTGAAAGAATAGTTTAAAAATATAGATTCAAAATTTTAAATATAAGACCATTGTTATATTTATTATTAAAAGGTGAAACATTCTCGAATATATGGAGGTACCCTGTTATAAAAGAAACGTTTATTATGTATTCAGCTCGAGAAGGGGGTTTTATTCATATTTACACGAAAGCTGCTTTAATTAAAAGCATGTAACGTTTTCGTTATTTAAATATAGCTCAACTGTTAGACCAATATTGACGTAAATTGAAAAGCAAGTTTCTCAACGGCTTTGTGATATTTTTACTGCGTGCTTTATGAAAACTATTATAACAGTCAACTGATGAATTCACATTCATTATTTTATCTTAATAAGAAATTTATAACTTTAGAAAATGAATTTTTAAATAATTAAATTAATTAATAATTATTTTTGCAATTTATTTAATATAGAGAACTCTTAATATAAAAGTATGAATTTTAAAATTGAAATATTTAGAATTTTAAGTTTAACACAAGTATCAGCAAGTATCAAGAAACCTCTTTGGAAAATGTTTTTCGATAAATAAAAACAGGAGGAGCGAATGAAAATTCCCTAAAGTGTATTTAATTCGGTTATTATACAAGATTAATAGAACGTTTAGAGTCATTCAATGTATCCCATGGGTCTATTTCGATTTAAATTACTCGAATCGATAGTAATATTTTGTCTGCAATGTAAATTCTCTATATATAGTCAACTTTGTAAATTGAAGAACAAAATTATTTGAAAATAGTTTTTATATTTTTTTTATTTTATATTATTTTTCATTCTACTAAAATAGATATTATATAAGTTGAGTGTAATTATCATATTCGTCAATTTTGTTATTCTCAAAAATGAAATTTAATTATTTCCCAGTTTCTATTTAACAAGATTATAAATATCAAGGGACTTGAAAATCAAAAACACATCTCATTGCTTTTTGAACTTTAATATTAACACTAACTTTGAAACTCACATAATGCGGGTTGGCTATATACACCGAACCCGCAAACTTGTCGCGAATTTCAAGTTCCATAAGGACCGTTAAAACTCGTGTGAACTTGTAGCGCAAAACCTCCGAGAAAATTAAAGCAGTGACTCATTTTGAAATTGTTGAACAAAGAAAAATAAAATAAGTTCATAATTCCCTGTTTGACATTATTTTAATAGCTTACTATACATATTGTATATTTCGTTTTTTATTCTCCATTTCAGCTTAGTAAAAAAATTAACTATATTAATTTGAATGTTCTTTCATTCTTTCATTCACTTTTTCTGTCCCTCACACTCTGAAGAATTGTCTTTTGTTTATACTTTTGTTTTTTGTTAACTTTAGATAGAAAATAGAAATCATCAGAAGTTTTTTTACTTCTTTTCATTAAAAGACTAAAATTTTGTTAAATATTATGTTTTGTCAAATTGAAATTATTTTTGTTCTTTACTTCTAAAAAAATTAGAAAATTATTAAACAACTGTGATTAGGAAATAGAAAATTTATTTATTTTCCATTATTTTCTTTTTGAATCACAATTTTTTTAAGAAAATTATTATTTTGTTTTAGAAAAAGAAGACAAATATTTGCACAATTTATATTTTAATCTTATTTATGGAACAGGATTTTCGACAGAAATGAAGACATTCAAAAAATCAAAATTCAAAACTTTTTTAAATTAAACAACTTATAAAAGTATTGTTTATAAAACATGAAGATATTAATTGCTCCGATTTTCATCATTTTAATTCAATTATTATTTTCTAGAATTTTAAATTATTTTTTATGAAAATAATAATTGAATTCCTTAAAAAATTTTATTATTTATGAAAATAATTGAATTCCTTGTGAAATTTTAATTATTTTATGAATATAATGAAATGTTTGCGCAGAATTTCAATAAAATTTTTTATAATTGAATTCTTTTGAAAAATTTTAGTAGATATTATAAAAATCATTGAATTGAGGAAAATTTTTGAAAATAATTGAAATTTTTGCCGAGAATTTTTTCAAAAATTTTTTAAAATAATTGAATTGATTCGAAGAATTTTATCAAACTTTTTTAAAATAATTGAATTTTTGCAACGAATTTTATTAAAATTTGCAAAAATAATTGAATTCTTATGAAGAACTTTTATTAATTTTTTTGTTAAATAATTGAATTATTGCGAAAAAATTTATAAAAAATTTGCAAATGATTGAATTCTTGCAAAGAATTTTATCAAAAAATTTGATAATAATTGAATTTCTTCGAAGAATTTTATTGTTTATGAAAATAATTGAATTTAGGAAGAATTTTATTAAAATTTTACATAATCCTAATTAAATTCTTTTGAAGAATTTCTTTGAGTTTCTTTAAAATAATGGACTTTCTTTAATCATTTTAATTACAAGTTTTCAAAGTAATTGAATTCTATATGAATAATTTCTTTCAAGTTTCTATAATAATCCTCTTTCTTAATAATTGAAATTAAGCATTTAATTTTTGAATTTTATTAAAAATTTTTGGAAAATAATTGAATTTTTTTTTGAAAAATTTCTTTAATTTATTGAATACAATCGAATTTTTTAATAATTGTATTGAAATAATTGAATACCTGAGAAGAATTTTATTATTTATGAAAAATACTTTAATTCTTGCGATGAATTTTAATAATATATTTCTTTGTAAATAATTGAATTCTTTTGTGAATTTTTATTAAAATAGTAGATATTAAAAATAATTGAATTTTGATATTATTGAAATTAATTTAATTCTACGAAGAATTTAATTCAAATTATTTCGAAAAAAAATTGAATTGTTAAAAAATATTTCATTAAAATCTTTGAAAATTAATTTTAATAAAAATTTTAAGAATAATTACATTTTTCGAGAAATTCCACTAACATTGTACCAAAAATAATTGAAATTCTGCGATGATTTTTATTATTTATGAAAATAATTGAATTCCTGGTTAAAAAAATGTTATTCTTCATGAAAATAATTGAATTATTGCGAAGAAATTTATAAAAAATTTGTAAATAATAGAATTCCTCTGAAATTTTTATTATTTAATTCATTCATTCAAAATTGTCATTTTCTAAAATTTCAAATTAAATTTTTTTTTAAATAATTAAATTCATTTTGGGAAATATTTTATTAAAATCGTAGATATTGAAAATCATTAAAATTAGAAAAATTTCTGAAAATAATTGAACTTTGGAGAAGAATTTTGTTATTTATAAAGATAATTGGGATTTTTACGAGAATGTTTTTCAAGATTTGAACATAGTTGAATTTAATAAGAAGAATTTTATTTTTTTTTTTTTAAGAATTTTTGCAATTATTTTTAAATTTTACAAAATTGAATTTTTTTTTAGTATTTTCAACAAAAATTTAAATTAGAAAATTTTCAAATTTTATTATTTTTAAAATTGTTAATTTTATTTTAAAAAGGCAGTAATAAGAAGTTAGCCGCGCGCTTTAGCGCGCGATTTGTTGCTAGTATGTTTTATAAAATTGTATATTAACATTTTTCAACACAGGATAATAGAATTACTTGGTGTTTTTTTATTTTTTTTTTAATCAAATTAAAAAATACAGTATTTTACATAAATTGGGAATTAATTACGAAAATTTTTCACTTCTAAGCGAAAATTAAAAAACTTTCTATTGGAATCATTGTACACTTCTAGTAAATATACTCCAGAGTCATTAGAATTGATATTTTTAATCAGTAATCCAGTTGTTGAATGTAAATTAAATAATTTATATTTTTTGCTATCGACAATATTCCCTCCTGTTGAATTTAACCATTTAATAGTAGCTTCTGGATAAGCGTCAATTTCAGCAATCCAAAGTACTTCATCTCCTGAATATCGTACGAATGTTTCATTTGTCCGATGGATAGTTACATTTAAATATTTCAAAGACGGATCTAAAAAACGAAAGTTATACATATTATAGAACTGGTGCACAAGTGCGCGAACAATTTAAAATTTAATTTAATTTAAAAAATTCTCACCATTAATTTTCACATACGCCACATCGGATTTAGTGACATTCGTGTCATAATTCCAAAACAAACATTTGTAATCCCCTTCATCCGAATCTTGAACATTTGTCTTCACCAAATGATTTTGAACAAGTAATTTGTTAGCATCCATTTGCACGGAATTGACAAATTGACTGGATCGATTAATCTAATAGTGGAAAATAATATTAGAATTAAAAAAAGGTTACAATTCAACGTTAAAAGAATTTTGTTTACAAGGATGAGGCGCATGATTATTCCCCAAATGTCATTTCACCGAATTCCATTTATCCGAACCTGTTATTTTAACGAAATGTCACTTTTGCGAATCGCCATATTTACGAATTGCCACTTTTGCGAAAAGTCATTTTTTCGAATTGTCATTTTTACGAAATGTCACTGTTACGAATTGTCACTTTTGCGAATAGTGATGTTTTCGAAATGACAATTCGTGACAATTCGTAAAAATGGCGATTCGCAAAATTGACAATTCGTAACAGTGACATTTCGTAAAAATGACAATTCGTAAGAATGACATTTCGCAAAAATGACTTTACGCAAAAGTGACAATTCGTAAAAATGTCGATTTGCAAAAGTGGAATTTCGTTAAAATAATAATTCGAATAAATGGAATTCGGTCAAATGACATTTGGGGAATAATCATGCGCCTCTACAAAGATAAGTATATTACCATTGGGGATTCCCAATTCACAACGTAGTTAGTGACATTAGTTACCATTATGTAACATTTTAAACGTAACGTCTGACCACGTACAATATGTTGATTTGCCTCCTCCATTCCAATTTGAGGTTCATTTATTTTTGTCTTTTCTGTCGAAAAAAAAATACATGAGGACAAAATTTCAAATTAATTCACAAAATAAATAATTTACGTAAATTATTATTTAGGTTAATGTTAATAATTGAAAAACAAAGCTTTGTACCTACTATGAATTTTATAAGTATGAATAAGTTCTTGAGGTCTACCATCTTCGCTGACAGTTTTACATACATAGACTCCATTATTTTTTAAGAATGTCGCATTTTTTAATTCGAAACCGTACGTTGGATTAAATGCCACACTAGGATCCGACGTTAACACCTATTAATTATTTAAAAAATTGTCATTTTTCGAAAATTTAATTTCTTTTCAATAAACAATAAAACACGAATTATCAAATAATACTGTAGGTATTATGATAATAAAATTCAAGAAAATATAAATTTTTTCTAAGGAGAAAATTATTAATACCATTTTTTTTTTTAATTTAAATCATTTTAATAAATATTGCTGTTTAATGTATAAAGTATATTGTAGAAGTAGAGCTTACTGTACGACTTCCACGATAATAATGTTCCAATTTGACATGCAAATCTGGTGAAGTTGGTCTACAGTTTATATGCAAATCTGATCCTTCTGGACCATAATGAATACTAAGAGATAACTCTTCCACAAATGCGTTCGTTTTCGCTAAATGTTCATATTATTCAAAAACGATAATTATTTTCTCATTATTTCTCGAATTATAATTATTATATTTCTATTTTTTTAAATTGATTTCTTCACTCTTTTCTTTTTTCAAAAATTTTTAAAAGTACTTTCGTAATTAATTTTTATAACAAAAATTTTTTACTTCTAATTTTTTAACATACATTTTCATATGGTTTCTTAAATATTTTCAAATTAATTTTTATTTTAAAAAAAAATTTTTTAAATACTATTTCATACTTTTTTCATATTTTAATTAATTAATTTTTAATTTTCACACTTTTTTTTCAATAAATATTTTTGTGTAAAAGTCTTTTTTAAAATATAGTTTTAATAATTAAAAAAAAAAAAAAAAAAAAAAAACTTTTTTAAAATATAGTTTTAATAATATATTTTTAAAGTATTTAATTAATTTTGAATTTTCTTTTAATATTCGAATACAGATAAATTTTTTAATGTTCTGTGAAGTATTTTTTATAAACTTTCCTAAATTTAAAAAAAAAATTTTAATTTTTTTCAGTTTAAAAAAATTTTTTTTTTTTTATTTTTTCATTTTTTTTAAATTTTTTTAAAAGTATTTTTTAAACTGAATTTGAAATTTAAAAAAGAGGATTTAAAATTATCGCAGTTATTTTAGGATTTTCGTTCGAATAACTTACATTTTACGTAGAGATATGTTAAATTAAAGGGTCTTCGTTTGACGAATTTTTGATTACGAGCATCCTTGAGATTCAAACAACCATAAAATCCCGAATCCCCATGAATTGCTTTTGGACGTCGAAAAATATGATGGACTTCACCGGAATCGGATTCCACGCGGGAAATTGTGAAATTCGATGTATTTATCTAAAAAAAAAAACTTTTTATTTCTTAAATATTTTGCTCTTATTACTTTTTTCTTGCAGAAAAAAAAATTTTTTTCTTTACATTTTAAAAAAAAATTACATTTTAAAAAAAAAATTACATTTTTGAAAAAAACATTTACATTTTTGAAAAAAAACATTTACATTTTTTTTAAACAAAAAACTAGGTAAATACATTTTTAGAACAGTAAATTTTACTATACTCAATTTTTAATTTCAACTTTTAAGAAAATAATATTTTTTGTAGTATTTTTTTCGCTCAGAAGTTGGTAACAGTTGTGCTTTACTAACGCCTCACAGGGAGGGAACGTTGAAGCTATAGATTGTGAAACGAAAGTAGCTCGCCAGCCTTGTACTTTTTTGCTGTCTGCTACAAAAGTTCTCATCTCATAAACTTGTGTCTTAAATTATCAAAAAAAAAGAAAAAAGAAACAATTCTCAATTAAATAAATATTTATTTTCATTTCCTTTACTTTTGATAAATATGCCAAAAATAAATTATCGATGGAAAGGAAGAATAGTGTCGAAAAAAATGTACGAGAAAAAGAAGAAGTGGAGTGAAAATTTAGGGAAAAAAATGCCTAAGAAATCATCAAATTTGGTGGGAAAAGAAAAAAGTGAGGTTATGTTGGAGCAGGAACAAAAATTCGATGAGTGTATTATAAAGCAAGGTATTTTATTAAAAAAATGTAATAAATTTATTTTCTAAAAAAAATTTTTTTAAAATTACTAATTCTAAAGTCATTATTTTCTATCAGAAATTCAACCGAAACTGAAAATTGAAGTTAATCAAGAAACTGATCAGCAGCCAACACAATCGACAGAATTTATATTAATTAAACAAGAAGGTATGAACGTAGATTGGATTAAAAAAAAATTCCACCATACAAATTTATATAACTAATAATTATATTTTCAATTTAATTTATTTTTTTTATTTCCAGAATGTTGTCAAGAGGAAGAGAATGAGAATTCCTTGGCAGAAACTGAAGAAAAACAGGTGGAACCCGACTATTTGAATGGTCGACGAATAGTAGAATTGAAATTTCTAGCAAAAAAAATGTGGTGTTGCTCATGCAAGGAAGCATTGTCGTTTCAATTCATCGAGACTGAAGTGCGTCGCGGTTTTGGTTCAACTTTAAGAATTCGCTGCCACAAGTGTTCCATTCGGAATATAGTGACAACTGGAGAAGAATATTCACTGGATCAAAGAAGAAATACTTCTCGTTTCAAAATTAATGGCGAAGTAGTAAAGGGTGAGTTAAAAAAAAAACAAATTTAATAACTTCAAAATTTTTTGTCGACATTTTTTGAAATGTAAATTTAAAAAAAAAAATTTTTTTTTTTAAACTACTTCCACCGTTTTTATTTACAGTTTTTAATTAAACTTTTTCTTTTACTCCAGGCGCACATGAAAGTGGAATAAAATATACAAATTTGAAAAAATTCTTTAGACATCTTAATATTCCATGCCTTGATGCAAGTTCGTTTAAGAAATATAGAAATGAATTAAAAATTTCTGAGCTAAAGTGACGCGAATTAAGTATTATTTTGTAAAAAGTATTGAAAAAAAGAATAATTACTAATGTGTTAGATTAAAAACAAAGTTGATAATAAAAATTTTTTGTTTCATATTAAATCGTTTATAATTCAATTGCCTTTATTTACCTGTGTATGTCCCGATTCCGTTCCAATTGGATACAAAAATTTAATTGGATCTTTGGTGATACATGATATTTCGAGGGCATTCCCTTCGTCGATTGTTAAAATTTTATAATGATCCTGTTTTGTTGATATATCTCTTCCTAATGTACCTGTAAAATAATTAGAAAATTATTTAAATATTTCAAAATTAATTCAATTTTCAAAGAATTGCGTTTACAATTTTCATAAGTCGATGCACTTCAAAAGGTTTTGGAATTTTGTAAAATTTCAATTTTAAATGAATTTCATTAGAAATCTTGAAGAACGTAGATTTCTAAAAAATGTTAATAATTCTTCATTTTTTTCAAAAACTTTCATCAATTCAATGATTTTTAATATCTACTACTGTAATAAAATTTTCCAAAAGAATTCAATTATTTAAAATAAATTTTTATAAAATTCTACGCATACATTCAATATTGTTTTCATAAATAATAAAAATTTCAATTATTTACAAATTATTTTCATAAATTATTCTTCAATTATTTTCATAAAAAATAACAATTTTTGAAAGTATTCAATCATTTTCATAAATAACAAAACTCATTGAAAAATTTCAATTATTTTTAATAAAATTTTCTATTTTAATGAAAAATGTAATTATTCTTAGAAAATTTTATTAAAATTCATCGAAGAAATTCAATTATTTTAAAAATTTTTTGCTACAATTTATTTATTAGAATTTTCGTATTATTTTCAAAACCTTTTTAATTAAAGTTCTCTCAAAGAATTAAATTATTTTCAAAAAATTTTAATGACATTTTTTGTGCAATTTAATTTTTTTCAAAATAATTTTAATTTTTAATAGAATTCTTCATGGAAATTTAATTAATTTCAAAAATTTGTCAAAATTCAATTATTTTCAATGTCTACTATGTCAATAAAATTTTACAAAAGAATTCAATTATTTTCAAAAAATAAAATAATTCTTCGCAGAAATTTAATTATGTTGAAAAATTTACAAAAAATTTCGTCAAAATTTCAATTATCTTTATAAATAATGAAATTTTTGTCTCCAAAATTCAATTATTTTCAAAAATTTTATTAATAAAATTCTTGGCAAAATTTCAATTATTTTTAATAAAATTTTCATCAAATTTCTTGAAAAATGAAATTATTCTTAAATTTTTTTTTTAAATTTGTCAAGACAATTCAATTGTTTAAACATTAATAATTAAAAATCTTCTGAAATAAGTTAAATTTGTCAATATTATATTTAATTAATTATTAAAAATAATGGATTTATAGAAGAATTTTAGTTCAAAACACTAAAAAAAATTGAATTTTGAAGAAGTAACGAATGATTGCAGAAATTCAGTTATTTTCAAAAATAATAAAATTCTTATCACAATAATCAATTATGTTTAAAATTGACCAAAAAAATCTCGACAAAATCCCAATTATTATCTTGAAATAAAAAAAATTTTCTTCAAAATTTAATTTTTTTCAAAAATTTTAATAAAATTCTTGTCAAAATTTCAATTATTTTTGAAAATTTTTCTCATTTCAATGATTTTTAATATCTAGGTACTATTTTAATAAAATAGAAAAGAATTCAATTATGTAGTTAAAAATAATTTTAACAAGATTTTACGCAAACATTTAATTATTTTTATAAATAATAAAAATTTCACAGAAATTCAAATATTTACAATATTTTTATAATTTTCTTCTCAATAATTCAATTATTTTCGTAAATAGAATTTTTCACATGGATTCAATTATTAAATAATGAAACTCATCGCAGAATTTCAATTATTTTGAATACAATTTTAATTTCAATTCTGTTGAAATTAATTGAATTTTTTAATATGAATTTAATATTATTTTCAAAATTTTAAGGCAAATCTCAGAAGAAAATCAATTATCTTGATAAATATCAAAATTCTTCTCAGAAATTTAATTGTTCTCAAGAATTTTAATAAAATTCTTTGCAAAATTCAATTATTTTCATAAATAACAATATTAATCACGAGAATAAAATTCTTTTGGCAGAAATTCAATTATTTGCAAAAATTAAAAAAAAATTCTCATCATAATTTCAATTATCTTTATAAACTACAAAATTTTTCGTCGAAATTCAATTATTTAAAGAAATTTTAATAAAATTCTACGAAAACATTTATAATTATTTTCATAAATAATAAAAATTTACCAGGATTATCAATATTATTTACAAATTTTTTATAAATTTTTTCGCAATAATTCAATTATTTTCATAAATTGTAAATTTCTTTACAGAGATTCAATTATTTTCATAAATTAATAAAACTCATCATAGAATTTCAATTATTTTCATGAATTAATTAAACTCATTATAGAATTTCAATTATTTTTTATACAATTTTAATCATATTCATCCTCTAAAAATGTAATTATAAAAGTTTTATTAAAAATCGTCAAATGAATTCAATTGTTTAAAAATTTGTTGATAAAATTCTTTATGAAAATTCAATTTTAAGAAATATTTAATATAATAAAATATTTATTTTTGTATTTAAATAATTGAATTCTCGTAGAATTTTCTTATAAATATTTATTTAAAAATACATTTCAGTTAAAATTTCAGATTATAATTGAATTATTGAAAGCGTGAATTTTTAGAAATAATTGAATTTTTAAAAAGTTTCAAATTAAAATCTTTGAAAATTTGAATTTTTCCTATTTTTAATTAAGAATTCTGTGGAATTAATTTTTTTCAAAAAGTTTAATCGACTTTTTTTTGAATTATTTCAAGTTTTTAATCTATATTAATAAAATCAGACTTTTGTCTGTACATTGCTCCAAACTTGAAAATTTTTATATATTTTTTCGTTTTGAGACATTATAATTCGAAAAATGTAAAAAAAAAAAAAATTCTGTCTGTCCTTCTGTCTGTCTGTATGCAAAACTTTGTTCGCGCATCAATTGAAAACGGTTTAACCAATTAAAGTGAAATTTGGCAGTCTATTAGGTATTAACGTAACTTAAAATCATAGCCTTATCCGATTAAAAAATATTAACTCGAACGAATGTTATGACATTTTTCCAAAGAATTCGAAAAATCAAAAAAATGCAAATTTTTTGTAAAATGAATGCAAAACTATCCTTAGCTAACTTTTTAAGATAAATACAACCCATTTCTACAATAAAATTTTTAAAAAAGACGTATTTTTAAATTTTTTTTCGTTTTTTTAGATCAACTTTTTTCCAAAAAAAAAAATAGTGATTTTTAATCTTTAAGCAAGCTTTTCAGGAAAAGTTATTAAAGTTTTTTATTTAAAGATCAGTATGTAAAGTAAGAAATTTGCTACATTAGACAAAAATAATGAAGCTAAATCCTATAAAAGAGAAGGAAAAATGTTGAATTTTAAAAAATTCAGTATTTTGAATTTTTGTTAATTTTCCATAATTTTAGATTTTTTACCAAAGGGTGGAGACTATTAAATAAGTAAAGTGTTTTTGAAGAGCCTAAAAATAATGAAGCTTAGGGTAGAGTGGGGTAAAAAAGCCACATTTTTACTTTTGATGCTGTAAAATCTGTATTTAAAATTATTTTCTCAAATTTCCAATTGTTATTGAAAGTTTAGTTATTAAGCTTGAAAATTCTTGACGGAAATATTTTTTATCTCATGAAAGGACTAAGTTATAAGAGTTTTACGGAAGCACTGTAAGTGGCTTTTTTGCACCACCTGGTGGGGTGAAAAAGCCACCCTACGATTTTAGCAAAACATGTTATCAATTTAGGTATTTTTATAGTTTTCCTTTATTTATATGACAAATAGTCTTATTTGAAAAATATTTTAATAATTATGAAAGAGTTTTTAGCAAGCAAAATTGAAAATTATATAGAGTTTACCTGTTTTCGATTTGCACTGCCAATTTTTCGTACCTTTTTTAGAAGTTCTCTTTAAGTTTCACCACAGATAACATATTTCGTTGCAACCGTTTATTCATTGTTTATTTTTTTAATGCACTTTGAACTACTTTTTCGTCGTGTTTAATTTATTTTATTAAATAAACACGAGAAATTTTGTAAAATAAGAAGGTTAGTTTAAATAGAAAACAAGTGAATTTCACAAAATATTCAATGGATTTTTTGCCCTGGCTTTTTTACACCCAAGACTAGTTATTAAAAAAAGCAAAAATAAATTGTTAATTCAGTTCAATTTCCAAAAATTAACATTGTATACGTTTTCGGTATGCTTTTCTCCTTATGTACAAACATTTATTTTTATTATTCGTTCACTTAATCAGACTGTAATATGTTTGAAAAGTTCACCAAAATGTTTTCAAAAAAGCAACAAAAAATTAAAATTACAATAAAAACAATATTAATCTAGGTACAACATTCAAACTAGATTCAAAAGTTGCGTATTACCTAATAGTATTTATATTCTAAACAGCTGATAAATCGGCTTAATAGTTTTTAAATAAAACTCAAATGGCTTTTTTACACCATGGCTTTTTTACCCCACTCTACCCTAATGATATAAAAGAGAAGAAAAAAATGTTAAATTTTAAGAAATTCGGTTTTTCGAATTTTTGATAATTTTTGATTTTTAGCTAAAGGGTGAAGACTATTCAAATAGTAATATTATACTACCGAAATAGCTAATGGCAACTAATTATTAATTTTCCGGTCAAATTAAATTCCCGGCTATTTTCTGATTTTCCAGATTGGTAGAAACATTGTTAAATGTATTGGTAGAAACTATAAAACCCGTCGAAAACGGGTTCGACAGCTAGTTTCTTAATATATATTTAATTGAAGAATGTCAGAATAATCGAAATTTCGTAAAATTAAATTTGTAAACAAAATGATTGGAAAATTCCCAAAGAACTTTTTCAAAAATTATTTTTAAAAAATTGATTTAAAGGATTTGAGTTGAAAATTCAAATGCTACTACTGAATTTGAAATTTTGGAAAATCTTAATTCCTGTATGGCTAAATAATGATTAAATATTTATTAAAAAAAGAAGTTGTCGATGTTTTCGAATAATTTTACTTTTGAAGAAATTTCTAAATAAAATGTAATAGAACATTTTTTTTTTGTGTATCTATAATCATTTTGCGAATGAATCAGAATATTTAATAGAAGCTTTTAAAACAATTATTTTTATAATTAAAATATGCGTCAAAATAACTTTATGTGTGCATTAATTTTTAAATTGAAATGAAGTTTTCTGAGAAAACTTTTCTCAGAAAAAATTCCTCAAATATCGACTTGTTTCGGCTGTCTAACTGGATGTTAGACACCTTTTAAAGTTTATAAAAAATATTTCTATTTAAAAAAAAATTTAATTTTATAGCCTTTAGAGAGTGATAAAGTTGGTCTTGTTTTCCTGCAGGGTAAATTAGTGGGCAGACGGTTTAATCTAAAAGAAAAAAATTTTTTCGAAATATTCTTCACAGAAATTATTGATGTAATCATTTTTTTTTTAATCATTGTCTGCTATGATTTGTAATGACTGTCTACCGCGACTTTCCGACATTCCACAATAATTAGATATCTTGTCTTTAATGACCACTGGAACTAATTGACTTTGCTTAGTTGTAGGTAAATTTTGTACGCATGTTGATAACGTTTGTTGATAGTTAACGATTACTGCAAACGTTGGGTTTTCCTTCTTCAATTATGAAGGAAACAATTCAACATTGAATGTAAAGTTTAATGGACCTATTAATTAAAAATTAAGAAATATTGAAACATACATAAGGCGGCTTCATTGTTTTTCAATTCTTAATATTTTAATCGATTTTGTCTTTTTTGTGGATGTGGACTTTTGGGAAGTCCGTTTACAGATACCTTGGATTCGGCAATTCAATGTGTTACGAATGGGGTTTATTCAAAAATAAATAATTTATTAAATAATTGAAAATGTTTGTTAAAATTAAATTCTCATAAAGAATTTTATCAAAAAATTTTTCAAACAATTGAATTATTTTGACGAATTTTAATAAAACTTTTATAATTACATTTTTAGAGGATGAATATGATTAAAATTGTATCAAAAATAATTGAAATTCTATGATGAGTTAAATTAATTCATGAAAATAATTGAAATTCTATGATGAGTTTAATTAATTCATGAAAATAATTAAAATTCTATGATGAGTTTTATTAATTTATAAAAATAATTGAATCTCTGTAAAGAAATTTACAATTTATAAAAATAATTGAATCTCTGTAAAGAAATTTACAATTTATGAAAGTAATTGAATTATTGCGAAAAAATTTATAAAAAATTTGTAAATAATATTGATAATCCTGGTAAATTTTTATTATTTATAAAAATAATTATAAATGTTTGCATAGAATTTTATTAAAATTTCTTTAAATAATTGAATTTCGACGAAAAATTTTGTAGTTTATAAAGATAATTGAAATTATGATGAGAATTTTTTTTTAATTTTTGCAAATAATTGAATTTCTTCCAAAAGAATTTTATTCTCGTGATTAATATTGTTATTTATGAAAATAATTGAATTTTGCAAAGAATTTTATTAAAATTCTTGAAAACAATTTAATTTCTGGGAAGAATTTTGATATTTATCAAGATAATTGATTTTCTTCTGAGAATTGCCTTAAAATTTTGAAAATAATATTAAATTCATATTAAAAAATTCAATTAATTTCAACAGAATTGAAATTAAAATTGTATTCAAAATAATTGAAATTCTGCGATGAGCTTTATTATTTAATAATTGAATCCATGTGAAAAATTATATTTACGAAAATAATTGAATTATTGAGAAGAAAATTATAAAAATATTGTAAATATTTGAATTTCTGTGAAATTTTTATTATTTATAAAAATAATTAAATGTTTGCGTAAAATCTTGTTAAAATTATTTTTAACTACATAATTGAATTCTTTTCTATTTTATTAAAATAGTATCTAGATATTGAAAATCATTGAAATGAGAAAAATTTTCAAAAATAATTGAAATTTTGACAAGAATTTTATTAAAATTTTTGAAAAAAATTAAATTTTGGAGAATAATTTTTTTATTTAAAGATAATAATTGGGATTTTGTCTAAATTTTTTTGTAAATTTTGAACATGATTGATTATTGTGATAAGAATTTTTTTACTTTTGAAAATAATTGAATTTCTGCAATCATTCGTTACTTCTTCAAAATTCAATTTTTTTTTAGTGTTTTGAACTAAAATTCTTCTATAAATCCATTATTTTTAATAATTAATTAAATATAGATTGACAAATTTAACTTATTTCGGAAGATTTTTAATTTTTATTTGTTAAATAATTGAATTCTCTTGACAAATTTAAAAAAAAATTTTAAGAATAATTTCATTTTTCAACAAATTTGATGAAAATTTTATTAAAAATAATTGAAATTTTGCCAAAAATTTTATTAAAATTTTTTTAAATAATTGAATTTCGGAGAACAATTTTATTATTTATAAAGATAATTGAAATTTTGACGAAATTTTTTGTAAATTTTTCAACATAATTGAATTTTTGCGAAGAATTATTTTATTTTTGAGAATAATAATTAATTCATTTTCATGAACTTATTCTTTTGTAAAATTTTATTTCTCATATAGACGTTGAAAATAATTGAATTTTGACAAATTTTTGAAACTAATTAAATTTCCATGAAGAATTTTATTGAAACTATTTTGAAAAAAATTAAATTGTTACAAAGAATTTCATTAAAATTTTTTAAAATACATATAATTTTTTTGTAAAAACTTCATTAAAACTGTATTGAAAATAATAATTAAATTCTAATAAATAAATTGTAGCAAAGATTTTTAAAATAATTCATTTCTTTGATAAATTTTAATAAAATTTTTAAGAATAATAACATTTTTCGAGGAATTTCATTAAAATTGTATTAAAAATAAATTAAAAGTCTGCGATGAGTTTTATTATTTATGAAAATAATGAAATGTTTGCTTAGAATTTTATTAACATTTTTTTTATGTTTTATGATAATTGAATTTTTTCGGGGGTTTTTTTTTATTAATGTAGTAGTTCTTAAAAATCATTAAATTGAGGAAAATTTTCGAAAATAATTAAAATTTTGCCAAGAATTTTATTAAAATTTTAGAAAATAATTGAAATTTTTTTTAAGAAGAATTTTACTACTTTTGAAAATAATTGAATTTCTGCAATCATTCGTTACTTCTTCAAAATTCAATTTTTTTAAGTGTTTTGAACTAAAATTCTTCTATAAATCAATTATTTTTAATAATCAATTAAATATATATTAAAAATTTTTAACTAATTTTAGAAGAATTTTAGTTAATAAATTTTTTTTTAAATTTAGATTTTTTTAAATTTCTAATTAAATTCATTTAAAATTGAAGTTTTACAAAATTTCAAATTAAAATCTTTTGAAGTTCATCTATTTCTGAAAATTGTAAACGCAACTCTTTTAAAATTGAATTAATTTTTAAATATATTTAAGTAAAATTAGATTTCAAGACAAAAATTCCCGACTTAAATTGTTTATAAAATAAAAAAATATTTATTATAAAAAGAAACCTTTAATTAATCACTAAAAAATATAATTACAAAAAATTATGTTTAAAAAAAGTGAAAATAAAATAAAAACAGAAAAGAGAATAGGATCTAATTTCCACAAGAGCATAATAGAAACATATTCTACAACAGTTCTCATTGTTAATAATTTTATTTTTATTGTATTCAAACTATATTATCTATCATGTTATAACATATATCGAGTTCATTCATTAAACATTGAGATTTCTCTCCGCACATTTTTTCCAGCATTTAAATACCGAGAAATAATTATCACTCAACGAATGTAATAAAAGATAAAGTTAGTGAACTAAGGCAGTGAGAGATTAAGGTTAACAGGGTCAATAATGACAGGCGCGCGCTCTATTTGCAAAAACTTATTATAGTTTTAATTTCTTTTCACATTTTTCAATTATATGTAAATTTCCCTCTAATTAATAATTATTCATTCGCATATATAGAATCGTTAATATACAATTAAATGTTCAATATACTCCTTTACTTTTAAAATCGGACGTAAAAAATAATTAATATTTATATAATCATTTTCTCTTAAAAAATGTATTTTAAAGAGGAAAAAAAAAATTACTCTCAAAATTCTGAGAAAGATATTATGAATATTAAATAATTAACTCACCCAAAAAGAAAGTGGAGATGATGAAAAGAATTTTTAAATTTTTCATTTTTTTAAAAAATAAAATTCACGCTGTCATTGGTTTAAGTAATTATTGTAGCTTTGCACTTTCAAAGTTACTGAAACAACTCTGTGTTTGATACTAAATGCGAGATAATCCTAATGATGAAAAGGGGATAAACAATTTCTCTCTTAACCCGGTCACTGATTTTTATTTTTTCCCTAACTATATTGTTAAATACTTTTTTTTAAATTATCATTTTTAAATTAATTTTTAACATTTTTTTTCTTAATTTTATTTTTTTTTAATTTGTAATAATTAATAATTAATAATTTAGTTGTTAATAATTAATACTTAAAATTTTAAATTTCCTTTTTGTAATTTTCGTATTCTATTTTTAAAAAAAGGCGCCTAAAATACTGCGCTTGACGAATCAGCTCAATTATTGACAAAACAATTGAAAGTAACAGTTAACCTGCAGGCTCAAGTAGCAAAAATTTTTCTAATATTCAAAATACTTGAAAAAAATTTAAAAAAAAAAATAAAAAAAAATTTTTTTTAATTCGTTATTAATTCTCAATCGAAGTGTAAAAAAAAATATATTCTCATGGATCACGACGAGCGAAGAGGATCTTTATGGTTGGCATTAGGAGAACCAAATAAACGAAAAAAAATATTGGTTAGATTTTTTTTAATAAAAATTTGTCGCATAAAATTTAAAAAAAAACTTTATTTGTTTATTTATTTCATTTTTAAAGGGCTCGAAGCCCGTTAAAATTATAAATTTAAATTAAATTTAAATTATAAATTTTATTATTCATTTATTTATTTTATTATTTTAAATTAAATTTAAATTATAAATTTATAAAAATTTATCATAGAAAAATATTTTTCTAATTAACTTTTCATTTTTTGAATTCTTATATATATTTTATATAATTATAGTAGAAGTAGATTTAAAATAATTTACAAAAAGAAATTAAAAAAAAATTTCAAAATATTTATTTTATTTAATTGATAAATTTTTGGTTTATTCAGGTTGGAAAATTAAGAGGAAAATATTTATTTCGCGCAATAGTGAGACTTGTGATAGAATATAAAAATTGGATAGATGAAAAATTAGTTGTAGAAGAACCAGAAACGGGGACGAAGAAAAAGAATAGATTCGAAGAAAAAAAGGAACTTTCCTTGAAGGTTGAAATTTTTTTCAAATAATTTTCCATAATAATTAATTTATTTCTAAAATAATTAGTTTTTATTGAGTTTAAATTTTCATTTGCTAATTTTTGGCTATTAGTTTTTATTTTTTGGTTATAATTTTAATTATTTTTGTTATTATTTCATTTTTATTATTATTATTTCATTTTTATTATTATTATTGTTATTATTAATCCATTTTTAGTTATATTACTTTTTAACCATCAGTCGATAAAGAAGTTTACTAACTTATCAACTGATGGCATGGAGATAATTAGTAAGTTTCTTTTCAACCATCAGTCGATAAAAAAAGTTCGCTAACTTATCAACTGAGAATATGCAAATGATTGGTAAGTTAGATTTCTTCTTAACCATCAGTCGATAAAAAAGTTTTCTAACTTATCGACTAATGGTATGGGGATGATAATATTTTCTTTATTTTCCAAGGATCGATCGATTCTTTTAATTGATCCACAACACAGAACAAGAGATAATAGAGCGTACATTTGGCAATTGATGAGAAATTTTCAAATTTTGAAAAAATATGAGGACAATCTCAGAGAGTCATTGGCGCCTGTTTGTCGTTATCAGTACGTCACTGCACAGAGGGTTATCGTACGTCAGGGGCATCCACCCGAGGCACTTTATTATATCGTTAGTGGACAAGTTGATTTGTCAAAAATCGAAATCGATAATGTAACAGGTATATTTTTCTCCTTTCTTTCCTCTCATATAAAAAATTATATTTTTAAATAAAAAAGCAAAGAAAATTTTTTTAATTTTTTCTTTTATTATAGTATTATTATTTTATTTATTAAAATATTTATAAAAGATTTGTTTTAGTAATTTTGTTTATTTAAGGTGACGAAATAGAAACAAATGTTGGTACATTAACTTCCGGAGATATATTTGGCGAAATTTCACTATTGCACAAAGTTCCAAGAACAATGACAATCACTAGTAAAAGTAAGCAATTTGATTATTAAAAATAATAATTTAATGTTAATAAACAAATTTAAAATTTTATTATTATACAATTCTACAATAATTACACTGTGCAACAGTGAAAAATTACTTTGTATCGGACCTAATACAACTTGTTCGTCTTGAAAAACTGAAGAAAATGGTATATAATAAATTGCTGAAACACCCCCAAAATTTCATTTTAGAGCAAAAAAACCAATTTTTTGCAGTTCAAGTATAAAATATCTTATAACTTTGTAATTTTTGGTCCGATTTCAACGATTTGTATATCATTTTAAAGCAGAATAACAGGGCTTTCCAATCATTATCGGTATTTTTTGTTATAGTTAAAAATGAATTCAAAAAATTAAGAAAAAGATCGAAAATAGTAATTTTTTAAATAATTTTTCAACTTTAGTACTAATTTTTTGCCTCAAATTTTATTTGAAGTAGTTTTTTTCAATCACATGTTTAAAGAGTATTTAATCCTGCGTCGAATGCAATATTGTATAAAAGAATTCGTTAAAAATTGACTGAGTTATTCCATTTTTTAGTTTTGCAGTCATATTATTGAATTTATGCTTAAGAGAGTATTTTCTTTTTTTCTTACCTATATTTGTTGCTTTTTCTTTGTTATTGATTTCGTACAACATTTTCTTAAATTTAACAATGCAGTAAATTATGTTCTTAACATAAATATTAAGTATCTTGAAATCGTTTGTAAATTTTAACAATTTCATTAATTGTGAACTGAATATTTTAATCATAAGAAACAAAGTACAATCTGAATTAAAAATGCTTATTTTTTGTACTTCTTTTGAACAAAGAATCATCAGTGTCTCGTTTCAGAGACCAACAATATTCTGAAATCATGTTTACAGAACTTTTCCCTTGAAAGCGTTTTTCAATATGCTGAATTTCCTGATGGAATCTCTCCCCTTGTTCATCACTGAACTGACCAAGGTTGTCAGGAAAAAAATCCAAATGGGAGTGTAAATAATGGACCTTAATTGACATATTGCATCCCATTTCAGCATATGCTGTCAAAAATTCTTGGACAACATCAACATAGTTGTCACTCCTATGGTTTCCAAGAAAATTAATGCACAATGAAATAAAACTATCCCAGGCTCTTCTTTCTACATCATTTAATTTATCAGCAAACTCTTTGTCTCGCATAATCTTTCTTATTTGAGGTCCAACAAATACACCTACAAAGTATGAGAAAATTAGTTTTAAATATTAATATGTATGCTTACTTAGTATTAAGTCAACGAAGACCACGAATTCAGTTAATATCGTGATTAATGTAATTTATTTCAGCAAAATTGAGGCCTAAAAAAATATTTTACAACCTAATCTGCCGTACCTGCTTTAATTTTAGCGTCACTTAATTTAGGAAACACTTTCTGAAGATGTAGAAATGCTTCGCTATTCGAATTTAAAGCTTTAACAAATTGCTTCATGTAGCCAAGTTTCAAATGTAAGGGTGGTAATATAATATTTTCTGGTTGCACTAGAGGAATGTTTAAAACATTTTTCTTTCCAAGCTGAAACATTTTACGTGCTGGCCATTCTTTTCGATCATACTTGTTTGGTGCGCGACTATCCCATTCACAGAAATAACAAGGATATTTCGTATAACCACCTTGCATCCCTAACAAAATTGTTAAAACCTTTAAATCACTGACAATTTTCCATTCATGGGCAGCATAATTGATGGATTCAAGAATTTTTGCCAATGTCCCATATGTTTCCTTCAAATCAGTTGCATACGCTAAAGGAACTGATGGGAGTTTATTCTCATTATGCAACAATACAGCCTTCAAACTTAAAGAAAAAGAAGTATGTACATTCTAGCTAAATTATAAAAACAATTTATTTTCACCTTATTTTGTTGAAAAAATTCTTACTTTTGCATGATCCATCAATAAATAGTCGCCAGTCCTCTGGTATGTAATCGTGATTTAAAATTGAAAATAACTCTGGAATGTTCGAACAATACACGAGATTGCTACAGTCATTGGCAGTTTTAAAAATTTCTTTAAACAAATTTTTATCATTATTTCTGCAGGAAGTTACTTTAAAATCTCTTTCGACCAAATTCCACTGTTTTAATCTAGAACCAAGGACTTCAGACTGTCTTCCAGATAATTTTAGATCGCGTAAAAGATCGATAAAATCCAGATTTGAAACAAAATGTGGTTCCTTTGAACACGATGAGGGTGGAACATAATCTGTATCTTCAGAAATCTTTAGATCATTCATCTTTTGATCAAAATAATCAGGCAATTCCTCTTTTTCCGCTTTTTCAGTCTTAGAAGACTCAAGAAGTACTGGTTTTGTGATAGTCAAAACATCGGCATATTTTATTAACTTACGCGTTTTATATTGATGACCTACAATATTTGTTTGACAAAAGTAACAATCATCCGATTTATGATAAACTTGATAATGCCATGTCATTGGAACCGAGAAGGGCAAGGAAGTGTGCTTTTCGTTATTTTTGGATTTTCCTATTTTAAGTATTGTTAAACAAAGTAAACATATGTACTCCGGCTCATACCAAGAACTACCGTCATAAGAAGTATTAAATAATTTATTATATTCTTCAATGGCAACTTTGTTGCTTTCAAATTTGTACCGATGGCGATTGTCCACAAAATAGCCACATATATAACAAAAACTATTACGTTTATCGCACATTTTATCTTCTGCACATCAACAAGGAATACCAAATTTTATGAACGAACTATACGTACAATAAAACAATTTAAATGAAATCGAATAAATTCAAACTCTAACTCGATACGTACACAAAATAACCAGTAACCAAGGAAAGAACAATCTGTCATAAATGTCGTTTGCATTTGTTTCAATATTACATATCTAATAGACAACTTGTGGAAATCGTTAATAAAACAATAAATTGTTTTAAAAGAAACTATGTGTAATATAATTTTAGGAAAAAAGTTGTTTCAACAAAACTGAAAAAAAATTAATCGTTAATGAGTATATTTGAATTTTAAAATTTATCTTTTTGTGTTCTATCATTAATACTTAATATTTATATTAAGAACATAATTTACTGCATTGTTAAATTTAAGAAAATGTTGTACGAAATCAATAACAAAGAAAAAGCAACAAATATAGGTAAGAAAAAAAGAAAATACTCTCTTAAGCATAAATTCAATAATATGACTGCAAAACTAAAAAATGGAATAACTCAGTCAATTTTTAACGAATTCTCTTAAAAAATATTGCATTCGACGCAGGATTAAATACTCTTTAAACGTGTAATTGAAAGAAACTACTTCAAATAAAATTTGGGGCAGAAAATTAGTACTAAAGTTGAAAAATTATTTAAAAAAGTACTATTTTCGATCTTTTTCTTAATTTTCTAAATTCATATTTAACTATAACAAAAAATACCGATAATGATTGGAAAGCCCTGTTATTCAGCTTTAAAATCATATAAAAATCGTTGAAATCGGACCAAAAATTACAAAGTTATAAGATATTTTATACTTGAACTACAAAAAATTGGTTTTTTTGCTCTAAAATGAAATTTTGGGGGTGTTTCAGCAATTTATTATATACCATTTTCTTCAGTTTTTCAAGACGAACAAGTTGTATTAGGTCCGATTCAAAGTAATTTTATTTTTTCATTTTTTGTAACACAGTGTTATTATTAACTTTTACTGCTCTGTCTTTGATTTCAAATCTATAATCAAATTTATAAAAACAGAGATTTTAGAAAAATCTTCCACCATATTAGAATTTTGAGAAACTAACAAAAAAAAAATCAAAGTTTTCGTTTTCAAAAATGACCTAAATATTTTTTCAATAAAAAAAATGTTAATTCGGGAATTTTTTAAAATATCCGCCATACTGGATCCACCATTTTGTATTTTTAAAATTTGTAATGCGACCTAAAATAATAAATTTTTTTTTTCAAGCTCCTGTCGACTTGCTGTACATCGCAAGAAAAGATTTCAATGAAATTTTGAAATTTTCTCTAATGGAGGAATGGGACATATTTCAGGACGCTTTGAATAATTTCAATTACTTTAAAGGTTGGGACGAAAAATTAATGCGCGAATGTTGTATTCTCAGTAAAGTCAAAAATTACAAACCAAATGAGGTAATAATTGCAGAAAAAAATGCAAACAACTTTAATCCGAATTAATTAACTATAATAAAAGGTTATTTTAAAAAAAAAAACAGAGAAAGGAAAATATTTACATTTTATTTTTAATTAACAGATTATTATTGGCGATGGCAAGGGTATGGTAAATTATGTTCACTTCGTTCTTGCTGGTGAATGTAAATTAATAGAGCACATGATACTGAAGGAGAAAAAATTTAAACGAGAAACACAATATAGCTTATATAATCCTGAAAACCATGGATCAAAATTAAATGAAAATAATATTTTAAAAAATCAAAAATTAACAGAAAACGATAGGAAACTAAATCAAAATGAATGGGAGGTTTGTGAGAATTTTTTTCAGAAGTAAAAATTCATTTCAGCAACTGTTTTAATGTTTAATATTTGAACCATATATGTTTGCTTTTACAGCAAAAAAAATATTTGATATAAATTGAATAATAAACATTTTTTTTCAGTTTGAAAGAGTAAGAAGTTTTGAGTCAGTAAAACCGATTTCAATCACTGAATTGACAGAGTATTTGAAACGAAAGCGATTTCCGAGTAAAGATCGATTGAGTATGGCTACTGTAACACTTTTAGATGTTGTGAGTAAAAAAATACTGATCCTCAAAAAAAAAAATTATCTAGAGAATCAAATATTACTTCTTTAAAAATCCTCGCCACCCTGCATAAATGTTTTGTAATAAATTCTATAGATAAATCAATGGCATGAAATTACGGAAACTGCTACTATATTGATGAAAAAACCTTCGACAATATCACAGCAACAATATCCAAAAAATGTTCGAACAATATTTATGCAAATTTGCATATTCTACAGAGGATCTTGTTTTGCCTTGGGTAATAAATAACTTCTTTAAACTAGATGCTTTTTCTTTATATGCGGTGTATTGTTTTTTTTTACAAAATCTTATTCAGGTGAAGAGATGCGAAATAGACGAATAGTTTCATTAACTGATGTGAAATGTTTACTAATTCCACGTTACTGGCTGTTGAAGCAAAACAGGGCTAATATTTGGGAACGAGTGAAATTATTTCTAAATTCCAAGTATCCTAATAGAGATGAATTACTTCAAAAATTTGCATCACAAAGAAAGTGAGTTGATTATAATATCGTTATCATAATATATATGTTCTTAAGTATTGTAAAAAGAATTCTGCATAAAGTTCCGCTGGTTCTTTCCTCTTCGTCTCTTTCCACATAATTAATTAACTAATTCTGGCTAATTAACTACTAATTAGCCGGTTGACACACTTTCACTATGACTAGTGGGTCCATTGGTAACTCTGGGTTCTGACTTATCCTACTAATTAACGATCACGGTTCGGGGATAATTTCAACAGATGGAGTAATTGATTCACATCGTCACAAGACAAATAAAATACAACGAACGAAATTAAACAATGTTTGTGAAATGACACTTCCCACCATCCACTTCCCACCTTCCACTGTCCACTCTTACTTTCCACTCTCACTTCCTACCTTCTACTCTTACTTCCCATCTTCAACTTTCCAATCTCACTTCCCACCTTCCACTTTCCGCTCTCGTTTCCTACACCCACTTCCCACTTTCACTTCCCACCTTCCACTGCCCACTCTCACTTCCTACCTTCTACTCTTACTTCCCATCTTTCACTTTTTAATCTCACTTCCCACCTTTTGCTCTTACTTCCCATCTTTCACTTTTTAATCTCACTTCTAACCTTCCACTTTCCACTCTTATTTCCTACACCCACTTCCAATCTTTCACTTTCCAATCTCACTTCCCACCTTCCACTTCCCACTCTCACTTCACACCTCCCACTTTCCACTCTCGATTCCTACACCCACTTCCCACTTTCACTTCCCACCTCCCACTGCTCACTCTCACTTTCCACTCTCACTTCCTACCTTCTACTCTTACTTCCCACCTTCCACATCCCACACTCACTTCCTACCTTCTACTTTTACTTCCCATCTTTCACTTTTTAATCTCACTTCCCACCTTCCACTTTCCACTCTCACTTCCCACTTTCACTTCCCACCTTCCACTTTCCAACTCTCACTTCCCACCTTCCACTTCCCACTCTCACTTCACACCTTCCACTTCCCACTCTCACTTCACACCTCCCACTTTCCACTCTCGATTCCTACACCCACTTCCCACTTTCACTTCCCACCTTCCACTTTCCACTCTCACTTCCTACCTTCTACTCTTACTTCCCACCTTCCACATCCCACACTCACTTCCTACCTTCTACTTTTACTTCCCATCTTTCACTTTTTAATCTCACTTCCCACCTTCCACTTTCCACTCTCACTTCCCACTTTCACTTCCCACCTTCCACTTTCCACTCTCACTTCCCACCTTCCACTTCCCACTCTCACTTCACACCTTCCACTTTCCTCTCTCACTGCCCACACCCACTTCCCACCCTCCACTTTCTACTCTCACTTCCCACCTTACACTTTCCATTCTTATCTCCTACACCCACTTCCCACCTTCCACTTTTCACTCTCACTTCCCACCTTCCACTACCACTTTTCACTTTCTAACTTCCACTTTCTACTCTCACTTCCTACCTTCTACTCTTACTTCCAACTTCCCCACTTCCTACCTTCCACTCGCACTTCCCACTCTCACTTCGCACCTTCCACTTTCCACTCTCATTTCCTACACCTACTTTCATTTCCCATCTTCCACTGTCCACTCTCACTTCCTACTCTCACTTCCTACCTTCTATTCTTACTTCCCACCTTCCACTTCCCACTCTCACTTCACACCTCCAACTCTCACTGCCTACACCCACTTCCCACCTTCCACTTTCTACTCTCACTTCCCAACTCCTACTGTCCACTCTCACTTCCCACCTCTCACTGTACACTCTCACTTCATACCTTCTACTTTTACTTCCTACTTCCCCACTTCCTACCTTCCACTCTCACTTCCCACCTTCTACTTTTCACTCTCACTTCACACCTTCCACTTTCCACTTTCACTTCCTACCTTCTACTCTTACTTCCCATCTTCTACTTTCCAATCTCACTTCCCACTTTCACCTTCCACTGTCCACTCTCGCTTCCCACCTTCCACTCTTAATTTTTACTCTCACTTCCTACACCCACTTCTAACTCTCACTTCTATTTTCCACTTTTACTTCCCACCTTTTCCAGTCTCACTTCCCACTCCCAACTTCCACTTTTTACTCTCACTTCCTACCTTCTACTCTCACTTTCCATCTTCACTTCCTACCTTCCACTCTCACTTCCTACCTTCTACTCTCACTTCCCACCTTTCACTTTTCACTCTCACTTTTTACCTTCCACTTCCTACTCTTACTTTCTACCTTCCATTTTCACTTACTACTTTCTACTCCTACCTTCCACTGCCTACTAATACTTCCCACATTATGTATCTTTTTCACTTCCTACTCTCACTTATTACCTTCCACTTTTACTTCCTACCTTCTATTTTTTACACCTTCCTTCACTTTTACGCTCAACTTATTTTTCACACCTACTTTCCACTTACACCTACCACTTTCACTTCCCACCTTGCACTCTTAATTGTAAATCAGGTATTTTCATATAAAAGTGAGAATGGTGTGTGAGAGTGGATGTGGGAAGTAAAAGTGTAAAATTGGAGGGAAAAGTGAGAGTAGAGAGTGAGAGTTAAAAGTAGACAGTGGAAGTGGAATGTGGAAAGTGAGAGTAGAAAGTGGAAGGTGGAAAGTGGGTGTGAGACGTAAGAGTGGAAGGTGGGTGTGGGAGTGGGAAGTGAGAGTGGAAGGTGGGAAGTAAGAGTAGAAAGTGGAATGTAGTAAGTAAGAGTGGAAAGTAAAAGGTGGGAAGTGAGAGTGGAAAGTGTAAGGTTGGTAGTGTGAGTGGGGAGTAGGAGTGGGTAGTGAGAGTGGAAAAAGGATTAGTGAGTGTAGGAAGTGAGAGTGGAAAGTGGACAGTGGAAGTTGGGAAGTGAGAGTAGAAAGTGGAAGGTGGAAAGAGGGTGTGAGACGTGAGAGTGAAAGGTGGGTGTGGGAGTGGGAAGTGAAAGTGGAAAGTGGAAGGTGGGAGTGAGAAGTGAGAGTGGAAGGTGGGAAGTAAGAGTAGAAAGTGGAATGTAGTAAGTAAGAGTGGAAAGTAAAAGGTGGGAAGTGAGAGTGGAAAGTGAAAGGTTGGTAGTGTGAGTGGGGAGTAGGAGTGGGTAGTGAGAGTGGAAAAAGTATTAGTGAGTGTAGGAAGTGAAAGTGGAAGGTGGGAAGTGAGAGTGAAAGGTGGTAGTGGGAAGTGAAAGTGGAAAATTGGAGGGAAAAGTGAGAGTAGAGAGTGAGAGTTAAAAGTAGACAGTGGAAGTGGAATGTGGGAAGTGAGAGTAGAAAGTGGAAGGTGGAAAGTGGGTGTGAAACGTAAGAGTGGAAGTTTGGAAGTGTGAGTGAAAAGTGGAAGGTAGGAGTGGGAGAGTTAAAAAATTACAAAGAGGATCCTTTGCTATTTTCAATTTTAATTAATTGTCCGAATGACATTTTTTCCATTACTTAAAGAACATATTTTAATTAAAAGTAAGTTTCAAAAATCATTTTTTAAAAAAGAATTATTAATTATCAAGTAAAAAAACAATATTTTCCCTTTTCTAGATGGATAAAATACAGACAATCTTTAGTGGAAGAAATAATAGAGAGAAATGGTCGTCAAATACCTAATGATACCAGCAGGAGTGACGTCCCCTACTCCATAAGAATTAACGAGATTTACTAAAATATTTTAAAAAAACAATTTTCTTTTAATATCTTTTTATTTTATGTACAGTAATTAATTACAATTTTTTGTCATTTTTACTAAAAATATAAAATATATTGCAAAAACAATTATTGCATTCGTCATGAGAAAAGTATTTTTCTTCATTTTCAACTGTAGATAAATTTTGTTCTTCTAAAATAGTAACTTAACAACTATATCTTTTAATTAAAAATATCTGTATTTACAGGAAACATAATTATAATAATAATTCGTGAGACGCAAGGCAAAGAGTATATTAAGTACTTTGATAATTTTATTCGGCGCTACTTATTCATTCTAAGTAATAAAAATATTTTAATATATAAAAATAAGCGTAAAATCGAGATATGAAAAATGTAGTAGAAGCAAATTTTAGTATGAAACGATATTAGTATTTAAAAATATCAAGTTTAGGTATAAAAGCTCGTTCAGAGTGGTTAATAGAAACTTAATTTTTTCTTATCTTTTATCAAATGCTGTTTCAAAGTTTCTAAAAATTGAATTAGTATACAATGAACTTGTTAATCTTAAATAGCGATGAACATCTTAATTTTCTAAAAACAAATTTCTAACATACAGACATGTATTCTTTATATAAAAATTGTCAATAAAAAATTTACATTCAGATATAAATATATCTATTTTTAAAATTTATTTGTCAATAAATCTCAATCTGTATAATAAAAAAGTTTAAGTACTCCAATTTTTGTTTTGTCACTTACATGAAAAAGTGAAAACCCAGTTTGTTGATCAAGAATTTTTTTCTATATCATGAGAAATTACTCATGAGTAATTTCTTTTCGATTTATGAACAAATCTTTGGCCTTATTTTATTTCCAAATGATATTTCAGCAGTCTTCATTATTTTATTTTCTAAATTAACTAAAAGTCAATTAATTAATTTCGATTTCTGTTCGGTGGGATTGACGAATGTGATTTTTTTTTTAATGTCAAATGGGGCGTTTCACTATCCATAAACATTCACAGCCACTCTTCAAGTTGTCGAAACATTGTCAAGTTAAATAAAGGAATCTTAAAAAATAAATTTTTTAGGATGGCACATTATTTAAAGGAAGGGGGTTATTTAAACATCAACTTCGTCGTTGTCCTTCTGATCCATAAAAATGTAACTTGGATTAGAGAATGATTGAACAGACGTACCGGCCGGAAGATCCTTTCGTAAATCACTTTTTTGCTTCGGCATATTGACATAATTGTCCTGGGTGCGTATAATCGATGGCACTACTGTATTACCGTTTTTCCTCTCCTGATAATCAACTTCGTCTTCTTTTTCATCGTCCACTGATCGAGCGATACTTCCAATGGTGGAAGTATTACAGTAGCCTAAATTGGGATCGGGTTTTTCGGGTTTCCTCCTTCGGGATTGTTGCTCCTTGACGAATCTTGCTCGTTGTTCGTGAATATTTATTGGCTTGAGGTAGGGATCATCATCGTCATCATCCTGGAGCATTGGTGAGGATTCGACAATTTCCTCCGGTTCCGAATCAGACTTATTATTAACTGGAGTTGGAAATCGAAAGTGTGTGTGATTGAAGTCAGGTCCTGGACTGTTGATCATGATGTCGTCCTTGCCGGAAGGACTCATACTGAGGTAGGCGGAATCTCCACGTCCTCCGATACTTGGGGCATTCACGTAATCGTGGCTTGGAGATGAGAGTAGTGTATGATCGGGTGCTGCCATCATTTTTAGGTAGTCGTTCCTTCCCTCCAGGGCCGTTGTATTCATGTGCAGATAGGGTGTGTTCAGATCCATATAGTGCTGATGATAGCGGAAACAAAAAGGAAAATTTAATTAGAAAAATAATTACCCAGTGTGCGCTAAGATTTCTTAAAGATATCCTAAGATACCTAAGATACCTAAGGGACATCCCACAATTTTTGGTGCCTACTGCATTGGTGTTACTAGAAAATATTTCTATTATACCCAACTTCGAATATTCCCTTCTCTAGTGGAACTAAAACTGAACATTAACTTTTTAACCGATTTCCTTTTTGATCTCACCTGCTTCACACTTTCCCCCAATAGATCACCAATGGAATCGACTAGTTCCGAAAATGACGGTCGTAAAATTGGTCTGTCAGTCCAACAGAGCAGCATAATATCATACCTGAAAACAGGAAATTCTTAATTATAAATTTGTTCCTTCTGAGAAAATAAACCTGGTAATGGGATAAAATTTAGACTCACATTTCTTTTGTAGCATATTCAGGTTGTTCCAATCGGTAACCATCCATTAGTTTATGATATTGCGTCTCAGCGTCAATACTGTAGTATGGTGTTTGTGCTAATGTGAAAAATTCCCACAACACAATGCCAAAGGACCAAACATCTGACTGCGTGGAAAATACCCTATCGCGAATGGATTCAATCGCCATCCATTTTATCGGCAATAGAGCATCGCCCTTCTTCTTATAATTATTATCCTTGTACATTGTTTTCGCTAAACCAAAATCACAAATTTTCACAATATTATTTTCAGCCAATAGAATATTTCTGGCCGCAAGATCTCCATGCAAGACCTAAAATCACATGAAAAAGAAGAAATTCTTCATCACTATCATTACTATCATCATAAAATTAAAAATCTATTTAACAAAATTTAGATGACTTTAAAAGTGAAGTTAAAAACTAAACAGAGACCAAAAGGAAAAAAACTTTTGGGAACAAATAACATTTAGACAAAAATAATAAAAAACTTGGGAACAATTAAACATTTAGATTCATGCATTTGATGCAATTAAAAATTCATATCATTATGAAAAAGGGTGACATTAGGGAAACTAGTAAAAATAACATTTAGACATAAAAATTCTTGTGCTTTTTCTGTTGGTAGGAAAAACTTACTTTACGATCAGAGAGATATTCCATTCCACGTGCGACCTGAAAAGCCCAGGATGTTAAATCCTGTGTACAGATGGGTCTTAAGTTCTTATCTTTGTAATCACCGCGATAATTGGTCCTCCAATCTGGTTGAGAGGAGGTATTGCTCATACTAATTTCTCCTGTTGCTAAAGTAACCCCCTGCGAGTCTTGAGTGTAAGTCACTGATTCAACGCCAGGTCGAGGAGTATTATCCGAATTATTGCTATGACTAGGAGAAAAAGACAATGCAGCATATTTTACCCTGCATAGTGGAGAAAAAGAGAGAAAGAGATTGTTAACACATTGCCCACCAACACCGATTAGAAATTAAAATTATTTTGTTTTAATAATTGTTAAAAGATTTTTTTTAACTGCAACTATGTGGAAATCATTTTTTGGTCATTTTTTTTTGTAAATTGTAAACATTTTTTTATTCCTTTTTATTTTAATTTCATTTTTAGTTACACTTGCATTTTTAATTTTAACATTTTTTTAAAATTGGCAGTTGAAAGTGAAAATAAAAATTTGTCCAGGGGAAAATAAAAGTGAAAGTCTGTAAAAATTACTATGAAACAGAAAATTAAAAATCTGCCAAAGTGAAAGTGAAAATTAAAGTAAAAATGAAAATAAACTTCAAAATTAAAAATCTGCCAAAGGGAAAGTGAAAATTAAAGTAAAACTGAAATTGAAAATGAAATTGAAATTGAAATTGAAAATGAAATTGAAAATGAAATTAAAACTAAAAGTTATATTGAAAATGAAAGTGAAAATTAAAATAAATCTGAAAATGAACTTAAAATTAAAAATCTGCCAAAGTGAAAGTGAAAATTAAAGTAAAAATGAAAATGAACTTGAAAATTAAAAATCTGCCAAAGTGAAAGTGAAAATTAAAGTAAAAATGAAATTGAAAATGAAATTGAAATTGAAATTGAAAATGAAATCGAAAATGAAATTAAAACTAAAAGTTATATTGAAAATGAAAGTGAAAATTAAAATAAATCTGAAAATGAACTTAAAATTAAAAATATGCCAAAGTGAAAGTGAAAATTAAAGTTAAAATGAAATTGAAATTGAAAATGAAATTGAAAATGAAATTAAAAATGAAATTGAAAATGAAAATAAATCTAAAAATGAAACAGAAAATTAAAAATCTGCTAAAGTGAAAGTGAAAATTAAAGTAAAAATGAAATTGAAAATGAAATTAAAATTGAAATTGAAAATGAAATTGAAAATGAAATTAAAACTAAAAGTTATATTGAAAATGAAATTGAAAGTAAAATTAAAATAAATCTGAAAATGAACTTAAAATTAAAAATCTGCTAAAGTGAAAGTGAAAAATTAAAAAAAAAAAAAAATTAAAAAAAATTAAAAAAAAAAAAAAAAAAAAAAATTAAAAAAAAAATTAAAGTAAAAAAAAAAAATTAAAGTAAAAATGAAAATGAAATTGAAAATGAAATCGAAAATGAAATTAAAACTAAAAGTTATATTGAAAATGAAAGTGAAAGTGAAAATTAAAATAAATCTGGAAATGAACTTGAAAATTAAAAATCTGCCAAAGTGAAAGTGAAAATTAAAGTTAAAATGAAATTGAAATTGAAAATGAATATGAAATTGAAAATGAAAATAAATCTAAAAATGAAACTGAAAATTAAAAATCTGCCAAAGTGAAATTGAAAATGAAATTGAAAATGAAATTAAAAATAAAAGTTATATTGAAAATGAAAGTGAAAATTAAAATAAATCTGAAAATGAACTTGAAAATTAAAAATCTGCCAAAGTGAAAGTAAAAATTAAAGTAAAAATGAAATTGTAAATGAAATTGAAATTGAAAATGAAATTGAAAATGAAATTGAAAATGAAATTGAAAATGAAATCGAAAATGAAATTGAGAATGAAATTAAAAATGAAATTAAAAATAAAAGTTATATTGAAAATGAAAGTGAAAATTAAAATAAATCTGGAAATGAACTTGAAAATTAAAAATCTGCCAAAGTGAAAGTGAAAATTAAAGTAAAAATGAAAATGAAATTGAAAATGAAATCGAAAATGAAATTAAAACTAAAAGTTATATTGAAAATGAAAGTGAAGGTGAAAATTAAAATAAATCTGGAAATGAACTTGAAAATTAAAAATCTGCCAAAGTGAAAGTGAAAATTAAAGTAAAAATTAAATTGAAATTGAAAATGAAATTAAAAATGAAATTGAAAATGAAAATAATTCTATAAATGAAACTGAAAATTAAAAATCTGCCAAAGTGAAATTGAAAATGAAATTGAAAATGAAATTGAAAATGAAATTAAAAATAAATGTTATATTGAAAATGAAAGTGAAAATTAAAATAAATCTGAAAATGAACTTGAAAATTAAAAAATCTACCAAAGTGAAAGTGAAAATTAAAGTAAAAATGAAATTGAAAATGAAATTGAAAATGAAATTGAAAGTGAAATTGAAAATGAAATTGAATAGAAGTAAAAATGAAACAGAAAATCAAGTTCTATGAAAACTAAAATAAAATTGAAAGTCTATCAAAATAAAAATGAAAATAAAAGTGAAAATGAAGGTGAAAATAAAATTGAAACTAAAACAGAAAAATAAAAATCTTTCAAAGTAAAAGTGAAAATGGAAGTAAAACTAAAACAGAAAATCAAAGTCTATGAAAGTGGAAATGAAACGAAAAATTGAATTGAAAATTGAAGTGAAAGTGAAAATAAAAAAGAAACTGAAAATTAAAAATTTGAGAAAGTGTAAATGAAAATGGAATTAAAAATGAAACAGAAAATCAGATCATGTGAAAATGAAAATAAAATTAAAAGTCTATCAAAATAAAAATGAAATTGAAATTGAAAATGAATTGTAAATTTATCAAAATGAAAATGAATAACTGACAAAGTGAAAGTGAAAATGAAAGTGAAAGTGATATTAAAATTAAAAAATTCTGTCAAAAGTGCAAATAAAAACTAAAAATAATATTGAAAATAAAACTTAAAAGTCGAACAAAAGTAACATAATAAAAAAAAATTAAATTTAAAACTGACCAGTTAGGTTAAAAAAAAACTAAATAGAACCTATAAAAACTAATTTCAAAAAGAAATAAAAATAAACATCTTAATTCCTCGTCTTGGATTAAAATGAAAATTATATTAATTGTCCCTTATGTGGTTCATTGTTAGTTGCTACTGAAATTAAACGATAAGACGCAAGTTGACCTCAATTAACATTTCCACACTGTCAGTTACCGCGTTTGGAAGAAAGTTATTATACAAATCATTTAGTCACACAATTTTCTATAGCAGTTCTCACATGCACCAATAATTTTCTCATAGAAATTTCGTAATTCAATCTTTTAAAGAAAAAAAAAAATTTTTTATTCAAATGTTTAGAATTGAACTGCATTTAACCCACAAAACACAAATTCAAGACTGTTAATTTATTAATTGGCTACAATTTTTAAAAACATGCTGTTAGCTAATAGCTATATTAAAATGAATATTTTGTTATGTTAATTGTTCAAATTAGGTAATTTTTTTCAGAAGAAAAAAAGAGCTAATAAATATTAAAAGCAATAGCATTAAGAATATTAATTATAATCCATTAGGAATATCGAACTTTTTTAATTCAAGTTACAATGATATTGGCCATCTTCTTATTGACTTTAATTCAATAATTACAAAATATAACATTTCGTTTTACTTATTAAATTTATTTTTTAATTATATTATTAATCGATTATTTTTTTATTTAGTCTCTTATTTATTTATTTTTCTATATTTATTTATATTTCTCTATTTATTTATTTGTTTTTTTAGTTTCTTTATCTATTTATTTTATTTCCTTTTATTTTATTTACATTTATGTATTAAAAAAATTTTTTTTTTCATTTATTTTGTTACTATTTTTAATTGGATCTTTATTTTATTTTTCAATAACTAATTTTTCAAAAATAAAAAAAAAATTTTTATGCAACGTGCAATCTAAAGAAAATAAGAATAATAAGCCAATTCGTTGCTAACACTTCACCAAATTTTATATTTATGAAAATTTTTTTTAAATTTAAAAAAAATAAGAAACATACCTGTTTACATCATCGTAATTATTGACTTTGGATAAAATATCCTGACCAATATTAACATCCAATTTCCCTGTAGTAGGATCAATTTGATCTATAAAATCGCCTCTATGTCGAAGAAGGTAATTGTGTAGATTTCCAAAATGGCAGTACTCCACAATGACTAAAAGTTCACCTAAAAATAATTTTTATAAACAAATAAATACATTTTCTTTTTTTTTTTTTTTTTTTTTTTTTTACTATCAAATATATTATAATAACAAAAAAAATATTTTTTTTTAAAGCTCAAAGAATCGTTAAAATCTGATTTACAAAATATCAAAATGGCGGAATATTTTTCGTTTAAAATTTTCCAAATCCGTGGGATTTTTGAAATCATCACTTAATGAAAATTTGATGATAAATGAAATTTTCAGTTTTTAGATTGAAAACTTGAAAAATAAATTAAAAACTAAAAAACTTAAATTGAAAAATGAAAAGTTTAAATTGAAATATAATAGTTTAAAAATTAAAAATTAAAAAGTTTTAAATCAAAAGTATGAAAAATTAAAAATGAAAAAAAAAAATTTCAATTGAAAATTTAAAAATTGAAATATTAAATTAAAAAATGTTAACAAAAAAAAACTCACTTTTGGAAATATTTTTTGTACAAGCACCGAGGAGATTAACAACATTGAGATGCTTTCCAAGATGAATCATAATTTTAAGTTCGCTGACGAGTGCTTTTATATAAGTTGGATCAATTGTTCGTTTCACCATTTTCACAGCAACAGTGGTGACATCTTCATTTTCCAAAATTCCCCGCGCACGCGCTTTTCTCACAACGCCAAACGCTCCGCTGCCCAATTGCTTTCCTATAATTTCAAATATTTTAATATAAATACCATTACCATTTTTTTCATTAAGTGTATTATTTTATTAAAAAAAAAAAAAAAAAAAAAAAAAAAAAAATTCCGTATTATTTTATTGTTATATTTATTTAATTGTTTTCTTTTCTTATTTTTTATTTTCATAAATGAATATTATTAAATTAATATTTTATAAATATTATCAAATTAATATTTTATAAATATTATTAAATTAATATTTTATAAAATATTATTAAATTAATATTTTATAAAATATTATTAAAACAATATTTTACAATTATATTATTAAAAATTTAAAAGTATTTTTTTAAAAGAAAAAATTAAATATTTTGTAAAAATATTTCTTGCATTGAAAGAAAATTTTATTTTTATTTTTACGTTAAGATAAAAAATTTTAAGTTTGATATAAAAACAAAAAAATTTTTAATACCAAGATCCAATTTCTCTCGTGGAAATTCATATTTTTTGTCGTAAGGAAGATGCTCCGCTTGATCTTCGAGTGTTAGGTCAGGATTTAAACATTCAAGTGCTCCTTCTTCAAAATGAGTCAATCCAGCCTCCATCAACTGCTTTCTCATTACCTAAATCAAATAGGACGTTTTATAATATTTAATCAAAACGATTCTAGTCAATTCAAGTGATGATGTCATTTATAATAAACTCTTTTGAAATATTTTAAGTTACACTCAACGACTTCACTTACTATTTTATTAACTAGAGATTCTCTTTTTGAAAAAAAAAAATATTCATTTTCCCTTTGATCTTAATTTTTTTAATTTTAAAACTTTGTTAACGTATTTTTATATTTTTAAAACTCAGGTTATTTTTAATTTAAAAAAAAATAAATAAATAAATAAAAAAAAAATAAAAAAAAAATATATCAAATTTTATTAACAAATATTTTTACTTCATAATTTATTTTTTTATTTACATATTTTTTTAGCTTTTTATTTACTTTTTTAATTATTTATTTACTTATGTATTTACTTATTATTTATTATATGAAGAATATATTTTCGAAAATTATTTCTTAAATATCAAAAGTAAGTTAGTCATATCGAGTTAAAATTAAAAAGGCAAATTTGAACAAAAATTTTTAAAAAATCCAAATTTAATTATTTTTATTGAAAAAAAAAATTTAGGGTTTTTTATTATTTTGATTTAATAAAAAAATTTACCCTTTCTCTCCTGAATTTGATGCAATAAATAATAGTGAGTATACAGCAAACAATTAATACACCACAGCCAGCAATAATCCAAGTCTTTGGCAATTCTTTTCCTAAAATAAACAAAAATATTTACTAAATCAATTAAAAAAAAAAAAAAAAAAAAATTATAAATTTTTCAAAATTTTTAATATTTTCTTTTCAATATTTTTAATATTTTAATATTTATTTTCTTACCAACGACAATGAACATAAGAAATCTTTCCTCTTTAGCAAAACGATTTTCAGCACGACACAAATATTTGCCACTGTCGCCTTCATCGAGATATTTTATATTTAATTCCTGTTTACTTCGAGTAAAAAAATACTGATTGTTTCTTTCAAGTAAATTGCCATCCTAAAAAAATTTTTTTTTTTAATTTAAAATTTTTTTTATTTTACATTTTTTTTTATTTTACATTTTTTTTTTATTTTAGCTTTTATTTGAAAAATAGAAAATATTAAAATTAGGATAAAAATGTTAACTGTTAAAATGTCAATTACAATTTTTATTTATAATGAAAAAATTACTTATAATAAAATTTTTATTTATACCTATAATAATATTAATAGAAAAAAAATAATTTTATACTTGAAATAAAAAAAATAAACAATTTTATTTGAACAAAAGTAAATAATTTAAAATTCCATTATTAAAAAGAAATAGAAGTATTTTTGTTTCAAATAAATAAAATTATAATTTTACCTTGTACCACGTGACATTAGGTTTAGGTGTTCCAGTGGCAGCACAAGTTAAACTTATTGTATTGTGACCCAGAATATTTAAATCGAAAGTTACTTCCGTACCGTTCATGTTTGATTCGATAATTTTCGCTGGTTTCGGATCTTGAAATTATTAAATATTTGTTAATAATAATAATAATATACTCAAAATAAAAAAAAGTAAATTTAAAAATTGAATTTGAAAATATTTCAAATAAATTACTCTTGGAAAATATTTATGTATTTGACAAATATTTAAATAAATATTTTTATTGGAAAAGTATTCAAAAAATTATTAAATTAATTAATTTTTGTTAAATATTTTTTTTATTTCTTTATTTTTTTTTATTTGAACATAAATATTTAAAGAAATTGTATTTGAAAATTTTTTGAAGTAAAGCATATTCGAAAAATATTAAAATAAATATATTCTAATGATATTTAAATAAAATATTTTTGAAAAATATTTTAAGTAAATATTATATTTCAAAAATATTTAAATAAATTATATTGAAAAAATATTCAAGTAAAAATTTTTTTTCGAAAAGTACAATAAAAAAAAAATAATTAGAAGTTTAGATTTATATAAATACCAGCTAAATTCAGAATATAGTATTCCCTATATTCGTTGAAATCGTTAGCAGTCGCCACGCATGTATATTCAGTCGCATCCGATTTTTGTAAATTTTTTATTGACAACGTTGAACGATGTGTAAACTGAGTTGTTTCGACAATTACTTTCACCCTGTCTGCAATCATGATAAATGAATTTTTTCCCCTCAAATACAATTTTTATTATTTTATTTATTTTTTGTCAAAAAAAAAACAAGAATTCATATTTGAAACATCATAATAAATAATAAAAAAAATTATTGTTTCAATAAAAATATTGTTCAAAGTCAATATTTTTAACAAATTTTATTCTTAATTCAATTTTATTTCAATATTTTTTTTTTTACTTTTTATTATTATTAAAATAATTTTTATTTATTGTTTTTATATTTTTTTACCCCTTTATACAATCTTTTTAGAAACTTGAACTTTAATGATAAATTTTTTTTCAAAAATTGTTAATTTTTTATTATTAACTAATTTTTTTTTATAATTTAAAAAAGTCATCTTACAGAAACCAAAAAAAAAAAAAAAAAAAAAAAATTTTATAAATAATTCTAATATCTACATATTTAACTAATTTAGAGAAAATAATTATTTAATGAATAATAAATAAATTGTTATTTATACTCTTTAACTTAAAATTTTTTAATTTGAATTTTTTTTAAGTTATAAAATGTAGAATAAAATTTACCGTTTTCAATAATATTTTGTTCGTCAATTTGCCATCTTAAATTATTAGTATAGTTATAAATGGATGCGAAACAAATTAGTTCCAAGTCATCTCCAACTGTCATTTGACTCTCAGGAATTATTACTCCGACACCATTACTTCCATCTATAAAAAAAAAATTATTTTACATTTCATCACCAGATCTTCTGCACTGTAAATTTAAATAAAAAATAGATTTAATATCGAAATTAAATTATTTGCAGATAAAAAATAACGAAACATAAACTACAAAAACATAAATAAACTAAGTTCTAACTGAAAAGTATAAAAAAATAGTCATGACAAAAAAAAAAAAAACCCAATTTTATTATTATTATTATTGTTAGTTTTATATTATTATTACTATTTTTATTAATTTTATTCGTATTATTTACTTTATTTTTATTAATAATTATTATAGTTATTATTAAAAGTAAAATTTTTTTTATATAAATACAAAATGCAATTTTAATTTACTACAATTTTATATGAAAAAGAAAAAGTTATCTATACAACTTTCATAGATTAAAAATTTTAATTTCTTTAAAATTACTCCTAAATTTCATTTTAATAACTCACCAGAAACAAAAATAACTTCACGTGCCGTTTCACAACCAACTTCATTGCAAGCAACGCATGTAATAATACCAGTCATTTTAACATGAAATTTCACTATTGTCTCATACCTAATAGGTGACTCTTCAGTTAAAGTCCACTCCTAAAATTAAAACATAATTATTTCAAAAAAAAAAAATTTATTCTAAAACGTTTTTGAAATAATTAACTAATAATAAAAAAAAAAAATTTTTTTTTTAAAATATAATATGTATTTTTTCCTACCAAAATGTATTCGGCAAAACAACCAAGTCGAGATGGATAATGAGGACAATTAAGATAACTCCAGGTCACATTGCTCGCTGGATATGCGTCCACTTCATTTCTTATCTCGACTAATTGATTTGGAGCGTAATACGCGTGTACTTTAATATTATTTCTTGGCCTCACTGAAAAAAATTGTTCATTCATATTTTATTTATACATGTGCTTAATTCATCAACATTGGCAGAAAAACGTAAATGTAAACATAAACGTAAGTGTAAACAAAAACATAAACCCAAACATTGAAATAAACGTAAATAAAAAACTAAAAAAAAAAAAAAAAAAAAAAAAAAAAAAAAAAAAAAATGTTAACATAAACGTAAATATAAACATGAATACAAATCGAAATGTAAACACGAGCATAAAAATAAACGTAAACAATAACATTGACGTAAACACGAACGAAAATATAAGCATAAACATAAAAAAGTAAACAAAAACACAAATGAATATGTAAATACTGACATAAACGTAAACATAAACGAAAATGTAAATAAAAAATAGAACAGGTAAACAAAAACGTGAGCATAAGCGCCAATGTAAACACTGACATAAAAATAAATGTATACAAAAACATAAACGTAAACACGAATGTAAATATAAGTATAAATATGAAAAAATGTAAACAAAAACAAACGTAAATATAAGCGCAAGTGTAAACACGAACATGAAAATAAACGTAAACAAAAACGTAAGGAATCAAATAGCTTTTTCTTTGTGTAATTTTTTTTTAAATAATGCAATAACAGAATTAGGGTAATAAATAAAAATCTCAAAAGAAGACTAAAAATCTATTCTTAATTAGAAAAAAAAATGAAAACAAAAAATAAACGTAAAGATGAACATAAGAAGTGTAAACTAAAACATAAACGAAAATGTAAACATGAAAAAAAAACAAAAAAAAAAACAAAAAAAAAAACAAAAAAAAAACAAAAATAAAAACGTAAGCATAAGCAAAAATGGAAACACGAACATAAAAATAGACGTAAAACAAAAATAAATGAAAATTTAAAAAACATTAACTCAGAAAATAAAAATTTCTTACTTCTAACATAGAGTGAAAATGTGATGGACTTATTTCCATGTTGATTTGAAACTTCCAGTGTATAATTGCCGGAATGATCCAACCTCAAATTTCTAATGGAGAAAGTCGTGAATGTCAATTCAGGGTCCACTGTTATATTATATTCAGAATGATGTGATACGTCATATCTTTCGTATAATGGTTGCATCTCATTCTTTCCTAAACTGTACATCCTACACAAAATGAAAATGTATGATTTTTTTATTATTTAATTCAAAGTTTTTTTTGTTGTTGAAAATATTTGGAAAATCATATTGTGCAATTTATTTCCGTTTAAAAAAATATCTAAATAACTTTTTTTTAAATTTTTTTAATTATTGCAATAACAGAATAAGTGTAATAAATAAAAATCTCAAAAGAAGACTAAAAATCTATTCTAAATTTCTAAATCATATAATTAAGAAAATAAAATAAAAAAGAATCCATTAATGAAATCAAGTTTCAAAACTTTTTTAAAAAGCAAATCCGTCTTATTGGATACGCTATTTTGAATTTTTAAAAACAAACTTTAGATTCGTAATCAGCGACCCCAAAAAAAAACCTCCGAGTAACTATTTTCAGGCGGTTTTGACTGAATTTGTAATAAAAAAAAGTCCGCCATATTGGATCCGCCATTTTGAATTTTCAAAAATCGAATTCAAAATCGTAACCCTAAAAACCTCCGAGTAAACAGTTACTGGATCCGCTATTTTGAATTTTTAAAAACTAACTTTAGATCTATAATCAGCAACTCCAAAATGTCATTTTTTCGAATTCTCATTTATGCGAACTGCCATTTTTTCGAATTGTCGTTTTTTCGAATTGTCATTTTAACGAAATGTCATTTTTACGAATCGACATTTCTACGAATTATCACTTTTGCGAAAAGTTATTTTTGCGAATTGTCACTTTTGCGAAAATTCATTTTTACGAATTGTCATTTTTTCGAAAAGTTATTTTTGCGAATTGTCATTTTTATGCGAACTTACATTTTTTCGAATTGTCATTTTAACGAAATGTCATTTTTGCGAATCGACATTTATACGAATTGTCAATTTTGCGTAAATTTATGTTTACGAATTGCCATTTTTGGCGAAAATTCATTTTTACGAATTGTCATTTTTACGAAATATCACTTTTACGAATTGTCACTTTTGCGAATAGTGATGTTTGCGAAATGACAATTCGTAAAAATGGCGATTCGCAAAATTGACAATTCGTAAAAATGACAATTCGTAAAAATGAATTTTCGCCAAAAATGGCAATTCGTAAACATAAATTTTCGCAAAATTGACAATTCGTAAAAATGTCGATTCGCAATAATGGCATTTCGTTAAAATGACAATTCGAAAAAATGTAAGTTCGCATAAATGACAATTCGCAAAAATAACTTTTCGAAAAAATGACAATTCGTAAAAATGAATTTTTGCAAAAGTGACAATTCGCAAAAATAAATTTACGCAAAATTGCCAATTCGTAAAAATGTCGATTCGCAAAAATGACATTTCGTTAAAATGACAATTCGAAAAAATGGCAGTTCGCATAAATGACAATTCGCAAAAATAACTTTTCGAAAAAATGACAATTCGTAAAAATGAATTTTTGCAAAAGTGACAATTCGCAAAAATAAATTTACGCAAAATTGCCAATTCGTAAAAATGTCGATTCGCAAAAATGACATTTCGTTAAAATGACAATTCGAAAAAATGGCAGTTCGCATAAATGACAATTCGCAAAAATAACTTTTCGAAAAAATGACAATTCGTAAAAATAAATTTTCGCAAAAGTGACAATTCGCAAAAATAACTTTTCGCAAAAGTGTCAATTCGTAAAAATGGCGATTCACAAAAGTGACATTTCGTTAAAATAACAGTTCGTATAAATGCAATTCGGTAAAATGACAGTTCGGTCAAATGACATTTGGGGAATAATCATGCGCCTCAGTTGTTTTTAGCTTCTGGTGTTAATTAATTAATTTTTCATATTATTTGATATTATTAGCATATAAAAAAGAATATTACCATCTAAGTGTTGGTGGTGGGTGAGCATGAATGTGCACTATCCATCTCACATGTTCGGTTTCGTTCAGCACGTGATAACGGTAATGATCATCACTGGTCACTTCGATAAAAGTAATACGAGGATCTATAAGGAATTAGCAAAACTGATCTTTAAAACTGTTTTATTCTATAATAAAATTCAGAGGAAAATGGAACCTTACTTACCATGTATTTCTATTGATGTCTTAACTTCCTCCTTTGGACCATTTGTTTTAGTTTCACAGTAGTAGACACCATTATCCTCATTTGTGGAATTTAGAATATTTAATTCTACAGTGTACTTCCATGAACTTAGTCCCAAGTGATTCGTGTAATTTTTAACCGGTCTCCTTGGGTCCTGAAAGTATGAAATTTTTTTCTAAATGCGAAAATCTACCTCCAAAGTAATAAAGCTACCTAAGGGAATTTTTATGACGAGGAGACTGATCATCGTCGAAAATTAATATTTCACCTTACATTTTGAATCAAAGTCCTATTAGGAGGTCCGAACCAACGAACAGTAAAGGGTCCTCCTTTCGTTAAAGTTGCTGTACAATTGACACTTAAATTTTGCCCCTGAATCACATATCGAGGTCGTACGGGAGAAATTTTTAAATCTTCTATTAGAGGTGGTGCTGTAAAAGAAAATTTACATGTAAGCTTACTTTCTCTTTACTCAGGAAGGACCTTTACTCCAGGTTAATTATTCTTACTTACTTGTGACCATTAAATAGACATCAATCGTTTGACTGTAACCATCTTCACGTGTTGCAGTACATTCATATTGATTGCTGTCAATGACTTTGGGATTTTTGAGGATAAATCCAACCTTCGGATTGAATGTATCTTGTATTTTTTCATAAACCTTGAAAAATTATTTAAATCTATTATTATTATTTATTTATCTAAATTAAGTTAAAGTTAATTATTTAAAAGACCTTGGTAATCGGTACTGTAAATTGAAGATTAATTTAATCATTTGAAACTATAAAGAACTTACCGAATCACCAATAACTGATATCGTAACCTTCAAATCAGGTGCTGTAGGACGACAGGGAATAATTTCATCGTACCCTGAAGTTGCATGCAGAACCTCCAATTCTAAATCCGCTACTAGTAACTGATCGCCAGCTAAAATGAAAAAACAATTTTTAACCCAAGTCAGAATTTTATAAACGAAGAATAATTAATTATTCTGATAGTAATTAATAATAATAATTAATAATAATTAATAATAATTAATAATAATTAATAATAATTAATAATAATTAATAATAATTAATAATAATTAATAATAATTAATAATAATTATTAATAATCAATAATAATTAATAATAATTAATAATAATTAATAATAATTGATAATAATAACTAATAATTATTAATTATTGTGAATTTGATAAATTTCGAATATTGTTAGGGTTAGGGCGAAATTTTCCATCGTGCCGCACCTGAGTATACGCAGCCAATCAGCGCCCGAGTGCTCCCCACTACGCACGGTACCCACGACCCCCCACGCGGGACAGACGACTAGTATATAAACCAACGCGCTGCGCGAAAATGCGGAGTAGTCGAAGCAGTCTTATTGTGGTAACACGTCTAAATTAGATACTTTGACTAAATTTTATTGTTCTTTAATTTCAGATAATTTCCACTCCCGCTGATCGCAAATCGTTTTTTCCGAAGACGTTCAACAAAATTTAATCCTTTATTTAAATATTTTCATCTCGATTTTCATACACTTTGGTAAAAATATACAAAAAGTTTAAGCAAAATTAAATATTTAAAAATAATTATATAATTATATTAAATTATATATAGTATAATTAATAATTATTATATAATTAATTATTATTAAAATTATTTATATATATATATATATATATATATAATTATAATAAAAATAACAATCATAAATAATATAAATTACATTGAATAACAAATATTAAAAATGACAATAATTAATAAAAAAATAACACTAATAAATAATAAAAGTAAGAATGATAAAAAATAAAAATACTACTCATTAATAAATAATAAAATTAATAATAAAAAATAACAGTAATAAATAAATTTAAAAAATCAATAAGAGTACAAGCGATTACATTTTAAGGTTTTTTGTCATAAAAACATAAATAATTATCGTAACGGCCCCTATGGGGGCCGTTACGTTAATTATTTATTTTTGGCCTCGAAACACTAATAACAATAATAAATAAATTAATAATGAAAAAAATCACTGTATAAAAATAAATAATTTAAAAATAAATAAAAATAATGTGAAATAAAATAAATAATAAAAAAGTATAAATAATATAATAAAATAAAAAAAAATAATTAGAAATAAAATTGAATTATTTAAAAAAAAATTTTAAACAAGTTTTATTTTAAAAACTATTAGTAGAAAATTGTAATATATTAGATAAAATTTTGAAATACATTTTACGTAAACATAAGTCCAGGAGAATTGAGCGTGGTAACCCATATCTTGCTTGCTAGGGAAACCAACATCCTCTTCTGCACAGCCATACCACCCAGTGTCACCGGAAACGGCTGACAATCGCCGAAAATTGATAATGAAATTCCCATCTGGATCAATGATTGTCGATAAAGTTGCGTCTGAAGTCTCAATCTGTAAAATTGAAAAATCTTTTTTTTACTAAATATTTTATTAACTTCATAAAATAATTTATATTATTATTTTAATTTTTCATTATTTATTATTTTGAGAAAATTAATTATGTTATTGCTGATTATTTCTAAAATAAATTAATTATATTAATTATAAAAAAAATTATTAATTATTTGAATAACAATATTAAAAAAAAAAATTATTTATATTTGTATATTATTATTTTGAAAAAAATTAATTAAATTATTGTTAATTATTTCTAAAATAAATTAATTATATTAATTATAAAAAATGATTAAATACTTAAAAAACAATATTAAAAAAAAAAAAAAAAAAAAAAATCACGACCGATAAGCCTTTTACTCAAAATACCATACTAATTATTACTTAATTAACAGTTAATTAATTATTTATATTTTTATTATTTTTATTTATTATTTATTAATGTTTTAATTATTTATCAATTGTTTTCCTTTAATTATTTGTTATTTTTATATTTTAATACTTTGTAGGTAATAAAATAAAAAAGTATTTTTTCAATTTAAATAAATTACAAAAATTTAAATAAATTCAAATAGAGAGTTATTAAAAAAAATGTTATAACGACTAAAAAACTATTTTTTTTTGTAATAACAGTTTTTTTTCTCTATTTCAAACAAGAATAATATTTTATTCCAATAAAAAAATTTTTTTTTGTTTTAGAAAAAAAAAATTACACTTACATTTACGAGTTCGTGAGGATAAACGAAAATTATTGGTGTACCGCTTGTACAATTCAGTTCCAATAATTCACCTTCGCTTATAATGATTTCCTCTGCCGAGGGATTTAATATTGGTTTAAATGCCAATGAACCTGAACAGAAAAATATTTAAACAATGTTAGTTTATTTGATTTTAAATTAATTATTAAAAATTACTAATTAATAATAATCATATTAAATTATTATTTTTTATTATTGTTATTATTACTCTCACAACAATCATTATTTCCTAAAATATTATTATCATTTTTATTATTATTATTATTATTATTATTATTATTATTATTATTATTATTATTATTATTATTATTATTATTATTATTATTATTATTATTATTATTATTATTATTATTATTATTATTATTATTATTTCATTTCATTTATTGTAAACGGGACATGCCCGTTTACATAATTATTATTTTAAAATAATATTAAAAAATAGTAAGAAAAATTAAATTAAAATTTTTTTAAGAAAAAAAAATAATAACATAGGAAAAGGAAGTACAGATTAATTGACATAAAAAATTTAATTGTAAATATAAACAATGGAGGAATTCTAATGAAAAATAGAATTTTCTCAAGAGATTTAATTTTCAAAATTAATTTTTTAATTAATTAAAAAAAACTGTGTTATCGACTAAAGGCAAAACAATAAATCATTTGTGTGTGAAATGATTAAAGATTATAAAGGAAGTCTTTCCTTCTATAGTGATATATTTCTTATCACATCGACTTTAGAAATTATAATATTAATTAATTTTAATTGCATTTTAAAAATAAATTTCTTGCAAAATGAATTTGCATTTTATAATCTTTAAAACTTTTTTCTTTTTTAATTTTTTTTAATTATTATTTTAATTATTTATTGTTCATTTATTTTAATTTCAAAGTTTGTCATTAGCTCATTTTTTTAAGATTTCTTCAACAAATTGTTAATAAAAAATTAAAATAATAAATAATGCCGAATAAAGTAAATTAAAAATAAAAGGTAAATTATCTTACAAAATAAAATTCAACATTTTTTAAAAACAATTGGAAAAATTTTTCTCAAAAATATGCGCCTGAGTGGAAAATTATTTTTCAAAATAAGAGATTTTTTTTATAATTTTGTTTAAACAAAAGCAATTCTTGTTTTATTTATTATTAAAAGTGTCACAGTCTACTTTTTGGTCAATTATTTTTATTATTTATTTATTATTTCAAATAAGTGTTTAAAAAAATTTTCATTTTTTACTTTTTGAATTTTGAAAAAAGTAATTATTAAAAAAAAAAATTAATCAACTTTTTAGTTAATTTTCATTATTCATTTATTTAAAAATTTCTAAAAAAAAATGTTAGTCTCCTTGTTTTGGAATTTTTAGAACAAAGTCAAAAAATTTATATAAAAAAAAAAAAAAAAAAAAAAAAAAAAAAAAAAATTGTTAAATCAACATTGTGCGTTAAAATTTATATATAACAATAAGTAAATATTTTTCTATTTACTTATATTTAACATTTCAAAATTATTTAACTGCAAAAAAAAAATAAAATAAAAAGAAAGTCAAAAAATTTTTTATTGGTGAAATCTTACCCGGATGGCTGCATTCACGAGATAAATGCCTATTTCCTCAAAATAAGATTAATATTATTCTTATCGTTTTAAGAGAGGTGCTAAGAAATCATATATAAATATACAAAAAAATACTGAAAAAGGAAATCCCACACAAGTTCATGAATGTTTGAAATCCGCCTCTTTTCCTTATTTATTTTTTTAAACTTCCGGACTATATTTTTCCTCCATTCTAAATATAAAAAATTATATATCTTTGTGTACAATTTCTTTCCAAATTATGATAATTATATAATTGTTTTACTTGGTTTTATAATTATCTCTACAGGACGTGTTAAAATTTCAAACAGATTTTGAATAAAGTAAATTAGTTTTTAATGGGCTCATGGTAAAAATTTCAAATACTTTTATTTTTTTTATTAATTAATTAATTTATTTATTTATTTACAAAAACTGTTAAATGTTTAACAGTTAAACAGTTTTAAATGTTTAACCAAAAATATAATAATAATTAATTTATTATATTTACTTGACTCATAATTTGTTTATTATTTATTTAAATTTTTTAATGTTTATTATTTATTTATTACATATTTATGTATTTTTTAGGAAAGTTTAAAAAATAAGGCAAACAACAAAATTTCAGTAAATAATAACAATAATTGTTTAAATGAATTCTTTAACTAAATTGTTTAAAAAAATTGTTTAAATAAATTATTTAAACAAATTGATTTAAAAAATTGTTTAAATAGATTATTTAAACAAATTGATTAAATAAATTATTATTTAGAAGAATCACTTACATATAAGTTGTTTGAATAAATTGCACAAATAAAATATTTTAATAAATTGTTTAAACAAATAGAATTAACAAATTGTTTAAATAAATTGTTCAAAGAATTGTTTAAATAAGTTGTTTGAATAAATTACTTAAATCAAATGTTTTAATAAATTGTTCAAACGAATTGTTTAAATAAGTTCTTTGAATAAATTGTTTAAATAAAGGGATTAAACTAATCGTTTATATAAATTGTTTATTTAAACAAATTGTTTAAAATTTATCCATTTAATAGAGAAAATAAAAAAAAATTTAATAGAAAAATTACTCTAGAAATAGAAATATTCATTATTTCTTTAAACAAAATTTATTATAAACAATTATGGATACATAAATATTTTTTAATGAAAATTTATTCTTGGAAAAAGATAAAATTAAAGCAAAATGTTATAAAACGATTATAAGATAAATTATTGAAAATAACATTTATTATTTGTTTAAACAATTATTGTTTCAAATATTGTTTCAATGAAATTTGTTTGATTAACAGATATTTCAACAATATCCTTATAGAAAAATTGTAAAATTGTGAAAACATAATAGTAAAAAAAAGAAAAAGTTTTATAATAATTTGTTAACAAGAAATATTTTTAAACTATTTACTTATAAATAAAGTGTTTAAACAGTTTATTTATAAATAACAAATGTTTAAACAAATTGATTTTGAAATAACAAATGTTTAAACAAAGTGTTTCTAAATAACAATTATATTTAAACAATTTGTTTCTAAATAATAAATGTTTAAACAATTTTTTTTCTACATAACAAATGTTTAAACAATTAGGTTCTAAATAACAAATGTTTAAACAATTTGATTCTAAATAACAAATGTTGAAACAATTTGATTTTAAATAACAAATGTTTAAACAAATTGATTCTAAATAACAAATGCTTAAACAAATTGTTTCTAAATAACAAATGTTTAAACAATTTTTTTTCTACATAAAAAATGTTTAAACAATTTGATTCTAAATAACAAATGTATAAACAATTTGTTACTACATAACCAATGTTTAAACAATTTTATTTTAAATAACAAATGTTGAAACAATTTAATTTTAAATAACAAATGTTTAAACAAATTGATTCTAAATAACAAATGCTTTAACAAATTGTTTCTAAATAACAAATGTTTAAACAATTTTTCAAAATAAAAATGTTAAAAGTTTTTTTTACTTCAATAAATGTTTGTCGAGGTTTGTAATAAACTTCTTTATTAGAGAAAAATGAATCAATTCACTAAATTTTGTTATCATAAAAAATTTTTTTCCTTCAGAAAAAAGTTGAATTTATTTTTTTATGCTCTTATAGATCGTAGAGACGAGAATCATTTCTTTGATATCGATTCATTAAACTATCCTCTTCAACAATCATTGTCTGTAATTTTTCCAAGGACATTAGCGCTCAGTATAATATAAAATTCATGCGAATGAAGATAAAAATGTGTGTCTGTCTATATATTTCTTAACGTACGATGAAAAAAATTTTTGTAATTACTAAACTTTGTTACGAATAAAAATATAAAGTAATCAAAAAATAGTGAATAAAAAAATAGTGATTAAAAAAATTTTTTTAAATAATTTTCTTTTTGTTAATTACACAAAAAAAGCAGTAATTTTTTTGGAAAATATAAAAAAAAATAAAACAAAAAAAAATTTTGCTTTTTTTTATTTTTTTATAATTATTTTAAAAATTTTTCAATATAAATTTCGAGTAATTTAGAAAATTATTTAACTTCCTTTCGTATATTTATACTCTCAACAAATTTCCAGAATTATTATTGATTTCAATAAAATGCAAATATTTCTACTTGACTAAATTCAATTTTCTTTGCTATTTCTAAAAATACGCAGTAGTTTTCACACAAATCGTTGAGAGAGAGAGAGAGAGAGAGAGAGAGAGAGAGAGAGAGAAATGATTTTAAATTAAAATTTGTTCTCAATTTCTCAAAATTGAATTTTTCTTTTTCTTGGAAAATTAAATTGCAGTTGTGATGTAACAATTTGTTAAATATAAAATAAATCAATTCTTTCAAAAATTATTTTTGAATACTTTTTCTAATTGATTTTTCAAAATATAATGAAAAAAAAAATAATGACAAAGATTTTGAATAATTGAAATTTTATAAAATTTAAATGAAAATAATTGATTTTTTCATCAAAAATATTTTATACATACAATTTTTTTTTACAATTTTTTTTTTTTTTTAACGTTTGAAGAATTTAAATTGCAAATTTTGAAAATAAATGAATTCTCAAAAATTTTGAATGAAAAATCTTTAAGTTTAAATTGAAATTAATGAAAATTATGCTTCTAAAAAATTATATTTTAATATTTTTTGATAAAGCAATATTCTTTGAATTTTTATATTCTAATATTTTTTTTTAAATTCAATTATTTTAAATATTTTCAATATTTTCAATTACATACATATTTCCTAAAATTCAAATACATATAAAAAATAATAAATATTAAAATTTTTTATAATTATTTTTAACATTTTTGTAGAAAACAATCAAATTAAAAATTTTTAATTAAAATTCTTCGAAAAATTAGTTTTTATAAATTATACAAAAATTCTTTTAAGAAATTCGTTTATTTTCGAAAATATACATTTCAATATTTTTAAAAAGGTAATTCATAAAATTGTTGTAACCAAATTTTTTACGATTCAATTATCTTCAAAAAAAGTAAACTAAAATTAAAAAAAAAAATTTTAAATTTACTTTTTTAGACTTATTAAAATATTGTAGAAATCATTTTCATATAATTATAATTAAAATTCTTCAAAAATTTGTTTTTTTTATTGTGTTTTTTAGTGTAAATATTAGTGAAAAAAAGTTTAGTAGTAAACTTCTGAAATATTGTAAAATTTAACTATTTTTAAAATAGATTTTAGTAAAAAAAATTTTGTTTCTAAAAATCTACTTCTGAATTATCGTAAAATTTACTCTGTAAGATTCTGCAAAAAATTTACCAGAAATTAATTAAAAACCCAAATTTTAGATGCTAAAATAATAGTAAAGTAACTTTTACTATTCTGTCCTTTTAAAAATTATAAAAGTAGAGTAACAACGTCAGGACTAAGCCCTTAGTCAAGGTTGGACCCCCTCTTTTTTTTAAATTATTAAAATTTTTAAAATTTTAAATGCTAAAATAAAAGTATAGTAACTTTTACTATTTTTTCTTTTTAAAAGCAATAAAAGCAGTAGGGGAACGTAGTCAGGGTTGGACCCCCTAGTCAAGGCAATTTTTAATTTTAAAAATCCGACATATATTCATAACTAACGATCCCAAAAAATCCATTTCTTTAAAAATCAAAAATTTATTATTCTTAATTTAAAAAATGTTCTTGAATTTCAAAAAAAAAAAAATTGTCATATTTATCTCACAAATAATGATTAAATATCAATTTTCACGAAAATACTTTATATATAAGAAATTATAAATAAAAGAATATATATATAAGAGAGTGATTGGGCATATGATACAGGTGACTCATATTGGAGGCGTATCATTGAGACCACTTGTGTTTTAACAAACATTCACGGATATAGGTGTAAATTTTTTTTTTCTTTTAATAATTATGGTTTTATAAACTTTTTTAATGGATTTCACGTTATTATTTAAACAAAAATGAAATATTATTGATTGTGTTTATGGTAAATTGGGTAAATTTAAAAAATTATGCAAAATCAAGTAGCAGAGATTATGCAAAAAAAAAGAAAGATAAAATCTGAGACAGATAAGAAACGTAAACTACGATGAGTTGATTTTGTAATAAGGTCGATGGATATCGGACCAATGAGAGAAGTCAATTATAGCAACAGGTGTAACAACAGGAACGTGACAATGTCTCCGTGAATATTTTATTCTAATTTTAAAAATACTCGTCACTTTATTATTAATCGCTTAAACATTGTTTCTAACGATAATAATAATAATAATAATAATAATAATAATAATAATAATAATAATAATAATAATAATAATAATAATATAAATATAAAAAAAATAAAAAAAAATTTTTAATTTAATTTTTATATTAATAAAAATTAACAAAGAAATATAATAAGAATAAATAATAATAATATAAATAAAGCAAATAATAACAATATAATATTAATAATATAATAACAAGACATATAAAAATAAATAGTAAAAATACTAATAAAAATATTAAAAGTAATATAATTATAATTAACAAAAGAATATAAAATAATACAAAGTAATTATAAGAGAAATACATTTTTATTATAATAATTAATCTATTTTTTAAATGAAATAAAAAATACATGGTAATAATAAAAAATAATAAAAAATACAAAAAAAATAATATTACTAGTAATTACAAAAAATATAAGAACAAAAAATAGTAAAAATAATAATTAATAATAATAATTTTCAAATATTAAAAATAATGTAATTTTTTTTTTTTTTTTTTTTTTTTTTTTTTATTACTTAAAAAATAATGTAATTATAAATGAACAAAAGAACATTAAACAATTAAAAATATTTTATTATTTTATTTTATTATTAATTATTAACATTAGTAAATTTTTTAATAGAAATAAATTTTTCTTTTATTTTCTAAAAAGTCTAAATAGAATTGAAAAATTTAAAAGAAAGAAACTTATTCAGTTTTTGATGTAATTTTTTTTTTCATTATTACGTGATAATTTATAAATAAATTTTACATTTACTGGTTATATAATTAAATAAAATTAGAGATGAAAAAAAAAATTCTTTCATTAAAAGACAATAAGTCAGTTACACATTAGTAGCACTAGAAAAATATCTTATATTCTTTTTTTTTTCTTAAGAAATTTTCTCCTACAGTAATTATAGAAAAAATTATTTTTAATTATATATAATTTAGTGAAAATAAGTTGAAAAATTTTTAATCACAAGTTCTTTGCACAATAATATTGTATACATATATTTTTCTTTTGTATAATATTATATTTGTCTCTGTATTTTTCTTTGTTCTGCAATAGTAGAAATATTTTTACAAATAAATTTTCAATTATTATTTATTCATTTATTATCTTATTTTATTCATTTTTACTTATTTTCTTAATACTTATTATTTATTAATTAATTTATTTATAGTTTCTATTCAATTTTTCATTAAAAAACTATTTTAAACACAAATTATTTACCTATAATTTAAAAAAATAGAAACAAATTTATTAAAATATTTTTAAAAAATTGCTTATGTTTTGTTACAATATTTGTCAATTTTCATCGTTTTTTTGAATTGAAAATATTTTTTAAAGTATTACTTAAAATATTTTGAAAATTGAAGCAGTTTTTTTTTAAATAATTAAATTTAAATTCCAAAAATTAGTTGAATAATAATTAAAAATATTTTCAGTTTTACAAAATGTTTAATATTTTTACTTTTTAATAATTTTCCAGCTTTTTTTCTCTTTTAATGTTTAAAAATTGTTGTTAAAATACTGTGAATGTTTAATGATTTTTTAAAAAGTATTTTAAGTATATAAATTTGAATAATTTTCTCATTTCAAAGACAAACAGACGAAAATTTCTTGTTAAAATATTTTAAAAACTATTTTTCGAATTGATTTTGAAAATATAATAAAAAATTATTTAACATTTGTAAAATATTGTTTCAATACAGTTCAAGCAACATTTTAAGCAATATTACAAAAAAAATTTTTTAAATATTTTTAATAACCAAAAAAAAACAGTTTAAACTATTAGAAAATTGACAAATATTATATGTTTCGGAATATTTTGAGCAATGTTTTAATTTCTTTATATTTTATCTCAAATTTAATTTAATTTAAATTTTTAATTTATAAATAATTATAATAAACTAAGCATTTTTTAAAATGTTAAAAAAATTTTTTTTCAACATTTTAAAAATGTTAAAAACTTTAAATTTTAAAGAAATTAAGAAATATTGTTTCGAAACATTTTGTGCAATATTTTAAAAATATTTGTTAAATATTTTTAAAATTTAAAAATTTTAACATATTTTTCGAAATAAAGTTTTTAAATTATTTCAAAAGATGTTAAAAAAAATATTCAAAACAAATTACTTTCAATAAAGATTGTTAACAAGGTTCAAAAACATATTTTAAAGAATATTTCAAAAAAATGTGTTTTTAAAGAATGTTTTAAAAAGTATTTCAAAAATAATATAAAAAAATGTTTTAAAGAATGTTTTAAAATGTATTTTAAAGAGAATTTAAAAAAATATTTTTCAGAATTTTGTAAATAAAAAAGAACACGCTCCTGAAATGCCGCTTTTTCATTCATTGAACGAGAGGCCACGTGACCTCGGCGTGGCAATAAATGACAGTTTTTCCCGTTCTCCAAAAGTGTTACACACCTGAGTATAAAATGAAGATGAAGAAAAGTAATCCAAAGGGACAGGTTTGTCCCATTTTTTTTTTTTTATTATTATTAAATCCACAAATTTCACTTCACTTTAACATACCACCAAATACACCAAAACATTCTCACAATAAAATGACAAACAAAATTATTCCACACGCAGACATACACTCACGAGAAAAGAAAATTACAAAAATAATCTTTCAAGTTGTCATTAATTTTTCTCGCGTAATTAAATTCACATAATATAAATTAAGAGTAAATATTTTCTTTACCGAAAAAGAAAATAATAATAATAATAATAATAAAAACATTAAAAAAGCCGATCGTCGTGAATCCACACGTTCGACGATCACTTTCTGACTAACCATAAAGAATCCATGGAGAAAACACGTATCTCCACACAAGAACCCCACCCGCGTTACTTTTTTAATGTAGTTATCGGTATCTGACGTCATCGCAAACTTGCTCACTCTCGAAGAGTATAGTGATGGGTTTAACCCATTCATATATAACGAGCATCTTTGAATCGTCATCAATAATAAAATAACTATTTACTTATAAAAATATATCAACGGAAATTGTTCATTTATTTAGAGAAAATTCATTCGAATTCAAAATTATTTTTTTTCTCTTTAATTTTTATTATAAATTTTTAAAAATTAGGAAAATTAATTTTTTTTAAAGTTTTATATTCATTTACTGTAGAAAGATTGGAGGCAACAATGCGGCAACGTTGCATAGGAATATTGACGAAATTGATTTGTAAAATTGCTGCAATATAAATATATAATCTATAATAATTATAAGAATCTTACTATAATAACAGTAAATTGTAAAGAAGTAAAAAGCGATGCAGATTTAAAATTAACACCACAAAAAAAAAAAAATCCATTTTGGAGTTATTTTTACAATCAATGAATTTTTAGCTCAAATCAAAATCAAGTCAACGATTTCTTACTAACACTAAATAACTAACTAGAAAACTAACTTACTAACATGGTTACTAACCAACTTACTAACTAACTTACAAACTAACTAACTTAGTAACTAACTTACAAACTTGATAAAAAATTAACTTACCAACTAAATTACTAACTTACTTAATGATTTAGTTACTAACTAACGTACTAACTAAATTACCAACTAACTAACTTAACAATTTACTAACTACCTAACTTAGTAATTAACTAACAAACTAACAAACTTACAAACTAAGTTATAATTAGTAACCAAGTTAGTTAATAACTAATAATAACTAAGTTAGTTAGTTAGTAATTAAGTTAGTAAATAAGACAAATAGTTAGTCAGTTAGTAACTGAGTTAATTAGATAGTTAGTAACTAAATTAGTTCATAATTAGTAGTTAGTTAGTAACGAAAATAGTTAATAACAAATTTAGTTACTAGCTAAGATAGTAAGTTAGTACGTATGTAAGATAGTAAGTTATTTCGTAACTAAGCTAGTTATTATCAAAGCTAGTTAGTTAGTAAGTAAGATAGTAAATAAGACAGATAGTCAGTTAGTAACTAAGTTAATTAGATAATTACAATTAGTTAGTAACTAAGTTAATTAGATAGTTAGTAACTAAATTATTTCGTAATTAAGTTAGTTAGTAACTAAAATAGATAATAACAAAGTTAGTTACTAGCTAAGATAGTAAATTAGTTCGTAACTAAGATAGTAAATTATTTCTTAACTAAGCTAGTTAGATAGTAATTAAGATAGTAAATAAGAGTTAGTAACTAAGTTACTTAAGTTAGTTAGTAAGTAAAATAAAAAAAAATAATAATAATAATAAGATAGTAAGTTAGTTCGTAACTAAGATAGTAAATTATTTCTTAACTAAGCTAGTTAGATAGTAATTAAGATAGTAAATAAGAGTTAGTAACTAAGTTACTTAAGTTAGTTAGTAAGTAAAATAAAAAAAAATAATAATAATAATAAGATAGTAAGTTAGTTCGTAACTATAAGATAGTAAATTATTTATTAACTAAGCAACTAACTATCTTTGATAATAACTATTATCAAAGATAGTTAGTTAGTAAGTAAGATAGTAAATAAGACAGATAGTCAGTTAGTAACTAAGTTAAGTAGATAGTTAGTAACTAAATTAGTTCGTAATTAAGTTAGTTAGTAACTAAAACAGTTAATAACAAAGTTATTTACTAGCTAAGATAGTCAGTTAGTACGTATGTAAGATAGTGAGTTAGTACGTACGTAAGATAGTAAGTTAGTTCGTAACTTAGATAGTAATTTTTTTTATCTAAGCTAGTTATTATCTAAGCTAGTTAGTTAGTAAGTATGATAGTAAGTTAGTTCGTAACTAAGATAGTAAATAAGACAGATAGTCAGATAGTAACTAAGTTAATTAGATAATTAGTAACTAAATTAGTTCGTAATTAAGTTAGTAACTAAAATAGTTACTAACAAAGTTAGTTAGTAGCTAAGATAGTAAGTTAGTACGTATTACGATTGTAAGTTAGTTCGTAACTAAGATAGTAAATTATTTCTTAACTAAACTAGTTAGTTAGTAACTAATATAGTAAATAAGACAGATAGTCAGTTTGAAACTAAGTTAATTAAGTTAGTTAGTAACTAAAATAGTTGATAACAAATTTAGTTAGTAGCTAAGATAGTAAGTTAGTACGTATTACGATTGTAAGTTAGTTCGTAACTAAGATAGTAAATTATTTGTTAACTAAACTAGTTAGTTAGTAACTAATATAGTAAATAAGACAGATAGTCAGTTTGAAACTAAGTTAATTAAGTTAGTTAGTAACTAAAATAGTTGATAACAAATTTAGTTACTAGCTAAGATAGTAAGTTAGTACGTACGTAAGATAGTAAGTTAGTTCGTAACTTAGATAGTAAGTTAGTTCGTAACTTAGATAGTAATTTTTTTTATCTAAGCTAGTTAGTTAGTAAGTATGATAATAAGTTAGTTCGTAACTAAGATAGTAAGTTAGTTCGTAACGAAGATATTAAGTTAGTTCGTCACGAAGATAGTAAGTTAGTTCCTAACTAAGATAGTAAATTATTTCTTAACTAAACTAGTTAGTTAGTAAGTAAGATAGTAAATAAGACAGATAGTATGTTAGTAACTAAGTTAATTAGATAGTAAGTAACTAAATTAGTTCGTAATTAAGTTAGTAACTAAAATAGTTACTAACAAAGTTAATTACTAGCTAAGATAGTAAGTTAGTACGTATTAAGATGGTAAGTTAGTTCGCAACTAAGATAGTAAATTATTTCTTAACTAAGCTAGTTATTATCTAAGCTAGTTACTTAGTAAGTAAGATAGTAAATAAGACAGATAGTCACTTAGTTCGTAATGAAGTTAGTTAGTAACTAAAATGGTTAATAACAATGTTAGTTACTAGCTAAGATAGTAAGTTAGTACGTAACTAAGATAGTAAATTATTGGTTAACTAAGCTTGTTATTATCTAAGCTAGTTAGTTAGTAAGTAACTAAGTCAGTACAAAGTTAGTTAATAAGTTAGTTAGTTAATTAAGTTATTTAGTTAACCCTTTCCGTCACGCAATTAGAATTATACACAAAACATTATAAACGCTATTGTAAATAGGATTTCTGAGGTCGCTGAATACGAATTCAGGGTCAAATTTACAAAATTTAAAAAATTCAAAATGGCGGATCCAATATGGCAGACGAATTTTTAAAAATTAAACGGATTTACTTAAAACTTGTTACTCGGGGGTTTTTGGTGTCGCTGATTACGAATTTGTTATTAGTTTTAAAAAATTCAAAATGTCGGATCCAATATGGCGGACGAATTTTTAAAAATTTAACGAATGCACTTGAAACTTGTTACTTGAACGTTATTGGAGTCGCTGATAACGAATCTGCTATTAGTTTTCAAAAATTCAAAATGTCGGATCCAATATGGCTATGTTGGGTCCGCCATTTTGAATTTTTGGAAACTAATAGCGGATTCGTTATCAGCGACCCCTAAAAACAGCCGAGTAACAAGTTTCAAGAAAATCTGATGGGTTTTTATGTTTTTGTTTCAATCATCTTAAAAGGTGGTCGATACATCGACCACTGTGACTGAAAGGGTTACTTAATAAGTTCGTTAGTAACAAAGTTTGTTAGTAAATTAGTTACTAAATAAGTTAGTTAGATAGTCAGTTAGTAACTGCATAAATTAAATAGATTATAACTAAGTTAGTTAGTAATTAAGATAGTTAGTAAGCAAGATAGTAAGTTAGTAAGTTAGTACGTAACTAGGTTAGTTAGTAAGCTATTTAGTAATTAAGCTAGTTAGGTGGTAAGTAACAAAGATAGTTAGTAACAAAGATAGTTAGTAACAAAGTTAGTTAGTAACAAAGTTAGTTAGTTAGTTAATAAGTTAGTTAATAAGTTAGTATGTAACTAAGTTAGTTAGTAAGTTTAGAACCAAATATCAAGAAACTGATATTGATTGTTGATATTTGGTTCTAAAAGTTGAAGTGTCGTTCTGGTAGATACACCTTTGTTAGTGCGCACCCTTTAGTTGGTAAGTTAGTTAGTTAGTAACTAAGTTGGTTAGTTAGTTAGTAACTAAATTAGTTAGTAGGTTAGTAACTAAGTTGGTTAGGTAGCAACTAGTTTGGTTAGTTAATATAAAAATATATACTTAATATCTTTTGAAATTTAAAATCACTAAGTTTTTTTCTATTGGAGGTAAATTGGTATTTTGTGGAATTACCAAGAATTACCACATTGGATTTTATAATATTCTTTATTACCGATTGTAAATTGTAGAAGAAGAAATTATCGTATACTCGTATACACTGTTTACCAAGTATAACCTTGCTTGTTTATCAACTTCGAGTATATAAGAGACAGATGGCACCACAACATAAAGCACTGTGATCTACGCCAGTGTAACCTTACAGTGAACTACATTACCACGCTGCGAAATCCACTGTATGTGAAGTCCACACTCCACAATTATACTCGATCAGATTATATAATTTCCGGTATAATTTTGCAAGAATTAACTGATTCGTTAATTTAAACTAAATGTACTGATTGTGAACTTTGCAGATGTTATGCATTATGCTAAAGAGGCTGAAGATATATTTGTCTATTGTTAACTCAACCTAATATTGCTATTGATCTTTAGAAGAACTAACTTATTTACTAATACAAAATTACTAACTAACTTACTAACTAATTTAGTTACTAACTTAATAACTTACTTCCTAAATAACTTATTAACTAAATAACTACCTAACTAAATAACTAACTTAGTTATTAACTAACGAAATTAGTTACTAACTAACTAGGGTCAGTTGGGGTAAATAGGAACAGATTTGCTAAGTTTTACCAATAACATAAGTTTTTTCTTTTAAATCCGAATACTTTTGGTTTTTTTGTGTGTTGAGTTATTATTTCACTTCCGTGGAACAATTTTATGGAGTAGTAAAAAATATGGGAATCATTAAATCGTAATAATCAACTGTTTCTATTTACCCCTGAATTTTTCAACTTTGCTAAAATTTAGGCGTAAATAGGAACAGTTGATTATTTCTTACAAAATTTAAGAAAAAATCAATTTCAAGTATGGAAATATTAAATAAGATACAAAGAATTACATAAAAATGATGTTAGTCATAAAATAATTCAGACTAATAAATAATAATGCATTACGTAAGTTTAACCCTTTAACGCCCAGCGTTTTCGATCAAAACCACTTTTGACTTTAAACCTTCACAACTTTGACAAAAATAAAAATATTTTTGATTTCTAAACACCCAACACTCACAAATTTATTCTACTTTGTGAAAAAAATTTATAGTACAATAAAGAATTCACAATTTTTTAATTCAAACAATAATAAAAAAGAATGTTTATGGCAAGATGTAGTATTAATAAGAGATAAATATAAATTTTAATATGAATTTTTAGTTAATTTTTTTCCAAAAGCAAGTCAAGAAAGTGAAAGGGTGTCTTCTTTGATTTTCAATTTTTTGTGCAATAGGAAATATTTTTGTATATACTGCTGCTAATTGAGAAACGGAAAATAGGAAAATACTTAGAACTTGTTGGGGGTAATATAAGCTTCAAGATGTAAGGCCGTATTTATTTTTAAAATTTTTTATTTAACTGAAATAACTACTGTTCCGGTTTACCCCTTGTTTCTATTTACCCCAACTGACCCTAACTAACTTAGTTACTAACTAACTTAATTTATAACTAACTAACTTAGTTATTAACTAACGAAATTAGTTACTAACTAACTAAATTAGTTACTAACTAACTAACTAAATTAGTTTAATCTTAATAAACATTTTAATCTTAAGAAATTTTACAGTAAATCCGTTTCAATTTCTTTAAATATGTAATAGAATCTGCTTTTTCTTTTTTGAAAATTATTAAATTACATGTTTTATAATTTATAACATTATAAAACATAGATTATTTCAGAAATTATGTTAAATTTAATAAAACAAGGCAAAGACAATAATTTTTTTTGTTTCTTAAAAATTAATAAAGTGTTTCTAATTACTTTAGGCATGTCCCTATATTTACTCATTTATTGTTTCTTTCTTACTTTTTTAATATTCGTTTATTGTACCTCTAAGAAAAGGAAAACAATTAATTTTTACAACATTGTAGTATAAATAGGAAAATTTTATTGTTTATTTACACATATTGATGGAAATTATAAATTTTGTAACAATTTTTTTTAAATCGATGCTTCTTTAAAATATATAATGTCAATACAATATACTATAATGATGTCATTATAGTTGGATTATCAATAACAATCAACGTTAAATCAAGCACAGAATTTTGAATTTATTTTCTCGAATATATCAAAGTCCTCGTTTATTATATATAGAATTAGTGAATTTTACTTTTTATCTAGCTGCAGCTTCCATTCCGTTTCCATAAGGTGAACCTGGATTCCAAATGCCTGAACCATAAGCCGGGCTAATGTATCTCCAACAATCGTTATCAATGTCGTGTCTGATGTAGTAATAACCATATTTATATTGGTAATTATAATATGACATAGATGATACCCCAACTAGGATTACAGCCAGTGCAAAAATAAGGAATAAACCTAAAGCAAAGTAAAGCGAAAGCATTAAAATTTTTATTCCACACTTCATTTTCTTAAGAATTTTTATAAAAATAATGAAAAAAAGGTTTGTGAACAAAACAGAATCTTAAGTTTATAAAATTTGTTTAGTTTTTTTTTTTTTTTTTTTTTTTTTTTTTATAATTTTTAATTTATTTATATTCTTTATCAAGATATTTGAATAAAAACACATCAAATTGACAAATATTTTACAAGAAAATTTAAATTTTCAATATTCCAAACTACATTTGAAATTGCAAAAATTTTCAATTTTTTATTTTCATCTAGGCTAATAAATATAAAAATGGTAATAATTTAAATTTCAAAATTATATTTTTGAAATCAATCATTTTTTAGAAGAGGAATTATTTACATTATAATAAGAAACCGATAATTTTTTAAAAATAATTTTCTCAAAAAAATTAATTTCTTTTAAAAAAACAAAACATTCTTAAAAACTTAATTTCTTTTTTAAAAATAACTTTCTCAAAAGTTTAATTGTTTTTTTTTAAATATCTCAAAAAATTAATTTATTTTAAATAATAATTTTTTATTTTCAAATGATTTACTTACTTGAACGCATTTTGAACAAAAATATAGACAACGTATAGTAGTTCGCAAGCAACAGTACAGCACAAGTTGAACTTTAAAAATGAATTACACTTTTCAAACGAATTGAAGTTTCTATTTAAACCAAAAACAAAATTAATTTTTAATGAGAAACTAATATTGCATCTAATTGTTTTTATGTAACATTAAGTCACTGGAAATTTTCAACTAATTTAAATCGTTAATTATAAAGATTAAATTTTTAAATGATAATGAATTCCTGGAAAAGAGAAAGTTACACTTTGGGAATTTTGTTTTCATTTTACATAATAATGAAAAATTATTAAAAAAAAATCATATATTTTAAAAAACTTTAATTGAATAAAAATAAAGGTAATAAGACAATAGAATTTTAAAAATTTTCAAAAATTACAATTTTGAAAAATTTTTTAAAAATTGTAATTTATGAAATTTTAATACAAAAATTATATGTACCTGTTAATTTTAAAGGTAATACAATAATTGTAATATTCAATTTAATTAAAAAATATTAAAAATTGATATTATATTAAATATAAATTTTTAAGGTAAAAAAAGATTCACTTGTTAATATATAAATAAAAGTATTTTTTATTTCCGATCTTTTGTTTTACGTGTGTTTTTTAATTTTTATGAAATAATTTCTATGAAAATTGGCCTCTAAATTTTTAATAATTTAATAATTTTAAAAATTTAATAATTTTTATGAAAATAAAAAATTAAAAAGGGAAAAACATTTTTATAATAGAGATAAAAATTCTATTTACCTAATGATTAATTTAAAAATATGATCTAATCTTATTTTCCCATTAAGTATCAATTAGGATTAAGGTTTAAATACAAACTTCAAATCGTTTAAAACTTATAGTTCTGTTTCAAAGTTACACTTGCACCTTCCTCAGAGCACTCTTCTTACATTTTCTTGAGAAAAATGCGTTCGAGTAAGTAAATCAAACTTTTTATAAAGTAAAAAAAATTTTTTTTAAATAAATTAAAAAAAAAAAAAAAAAAAAAAAATTAAATTTAAATTTTCTAACATTGAAAAAGTCATAAAATTCGTTTTTTACTTTAGGCAGAAAAATTTCAATTTTATTAATTAACAATAATAATCTTGGTATTCTTTTATTCTTTCATTTTTTGTCTGTCCAAAATTTAAAGTTAGTTTTTGTATTTTTTTTTTTTTTTTTTTTAAATATTGTTCAACAAATCGAATACATACAGGTATTTTTTTCATGATTTGTAATAAAATAATATTAGACACTAGAAAATTAAAAAAAGAATTATGATTAACAAATAAAAAATATACAAATAAAAATATAATTTGTTTATTATATATGCTTTTTTCTATAACAAATTTCGTTGGACTGAACAAAACTCTGCACAAATTTTTCTCCTTTCGATTTATATAAAAAATATTAGAAAATTGTTAATTGTTAAAAAATTATGATTAAGAAATAGAAAATGTTCACATTTTATGCCTAATTTTTATTTCTTAAAAAAAAAAATTATTTCTTAATAACAATATTGTTTACAAACTCATTCCTTTATTTTGGGGAAAAAACATTACATATTCCCATTTCTTAATATTTTTGTAGAAAATTCTCAATTTTCATAAGGAAATAATTTTTATCATTCATTCTATATTTTCATTGAAAATTTTTTAATAAAATTCAAAGTTATTTAAAAATAAAGGAAAAAAAACATGAAGAAATCGAAATTATTTTAAATTATAATAGAATATTGTTCCTATAACTTCTTAAAATCAATATTCATTAAAAAAGTTCTAATTTAATTTAATTAAAAATTTAATTTTTATAAAACATTTTTTAATTAAAAAAAACACTAAAGAAAAAAATTTTTTTTTAAATTTTTTTAAAAAATGTAATGAACCTTTTTTTGTTTTTTTAAATATTTTTCTGTGCTTACAATATTAAAATGTTTTAGATTGTAAATCCAATTTTGCATTAAATATAAAATTCACTCAAAAAAAAAAAAAAAATTGCAAAAAAAATTTTTTTTTTTAAATTTAATGAACATTTTTTTGTTCTACAAATATATATTTCTGTGTTTACAATATTAAAATGTTTTAGATAGTAAGTCAAATTTTGCATTAAATGTGAAATTCACTAGAAAAAAAATTGCATTTAATAAAATTTTATATATTTTTGACCAAATTTTTGTTTCAGATCTAGCATTGCTTTCTGTTTTGGCTGTTATGTTTGTTGTGGTGACATGTCATCACCACCATCATCATCAATATTTTGAAGGTTACTACTATGTCTACACGAATTTACCCCATCATTGTTATAAAAGAATTTTCTCCGAAGATCCCAGCAATACATTTTATGCGCTACAAAATGACAATAATGACAGTAATGAAAACACTGATGTAAACAGTAATGAAAACATTAATGGATACGGTATTGCACCCACTAATATTAACAACGAAGCTGTTGATGCAAATTCAAGCGCTGCACTCACATTCTAATTGTAAAATATTATAAAAAGAAAATTAAACTTTCCTTTCATTTTTATAAAAATGTAAAAAAAAAACTTGATCTAAATAATAATAGAATAAAATTTTAATTTTCTTTTATTTTTTCCATGAAAGAATAGTTTACACTTAATAAATTGTTTTTTTTTTATTACGAAATAGTTGCTTTTTCTACTATTTGTAAACTCTGAACTCAAATTAATGTAAATTAAATTTTCAATTTTAATTTTCAAAGCTCTGCGTGTAAATTTTGTTTTTTTTTAAATTGTTTCTAAAAATAATGTATGACAAAAATAAATGTAAATAAAAATTGACATCTTTATATCAAACTCGAATTTCATATTTTTAACTTAAATCCTTTTTATGGATTTTTTTTTTTTTTTGTTTGTTGTTGTGAGCAATTTCATTTTTATTAAATTAAAAACAATACAATTTTGTAATTAATAATTAAATTAGTTTCTATAATATATTTCGAAAAAATTAAATTATTAAAAAAAAAAAATTAAAAAAAAATTATTTTAGAAAAAAGAAAAAAAATTTTTTTTTGTGTTTGTTTCATACTTTTTTGAAAAAAATGAAAAAAAATAGTGGAATTTTCATCATTTTATTATTATTCCAAAATTTATGGTCACTTTGTCCGTCACCAGCTGATGAGGCAATTTACGATGTTTATCCAAAAATCGGCAAAGAATTTTAAAAGTCAAATGACCTCGAATAGAGAGAATTTGAAATTTAAATTAAGTGAAAAATCCCATACCCCCTCCCCCTCCCTAATGATCTAATGGTTTACAAAGAGATGTAATAAAATTCTATAAAAATATTTCCTTATTTTGATAAATCTTCGTCTTGGGGGGAAGAGGTTTAAATAGTAGGTTCCAAATCATTTCAAAGTAACAGTTTACGTTTGGATTCAAACTTGTGCTGTTATTTTATATTTTTTGTGTGTCTCTCCAGTTTTTTGAGAATTCAAAAATGCGTACAGGTAATTTAAAAAAAAATTATAAAATTATATTTTTTTTATAATTTTTTTTTTGTTTTTTTTTTGTTTTTAACATTTATTAAATTTAAACATAACAATAGAAAAGAAACAAAAATTTATATTTTACAAGCTATTAGCTTGTGTATTTTTTATTAAAATTTAGTTTCCAAAATGAAAGAATTATTTTCTTTTGTTATTTTAAATGTTAAAGATTGTTATTGTTATTTTTTAACAATAATTTTTTTTTTTTTAATTTTCTATTATAAATAGAATTTATTGTTTACTTGCCTTATTTTCCAGGACTAGCATTTATTTTTCTCCTTATGCTCTTTGGAGTGATGTCATTTAGACCTCCACCCCCACAAAATCCATATTTTGAGGGTTATTTCTCAATCGACAGGCGTATACCTAACATCTGTTTAGGGTACATTTACCCTAATAACCCCGGTAATCCTGGATCGGGCATTGGAAGTTCCGGACCTGGCAGTTCATTGGGAAGTGCCAGACCTGGCAGTTCATTGGGTGACAGTTTACAATCTGGTGGATCACTTGGTGTTGATTCTTCATTTGGTCCACGCCGTAGGTTCTTACCAAGTTGTAAGTGTCTTTAATCATGACTGAACGACGGTAGAGGCGCTGACTGTCCTCTAGTAAACAATTTGTATTGTAAAATAAAAAAGCAGCACATAAAATAATTAATATTTTTATTACTAAGTTAAACTCTTGCACTTAACAAAACGATTTTTCATATTAATACTTAATTTAATATTTAAACTTGCTATGCAAGTTGCAGGTATTGTTTATCAAACATAAAAAAAAACTTAAAAAGAGTAAGAGGTCCTAGTTTATAAAATTTGTGATTTTTTATACACACTATGTTCATAATATATTTTTTGTGACAAATATCGCCATACTTTATTGACTCTTCTTTCTCTATTGTATCCTCTTACGCCTAATTTCGTTAATTTATCGAACAGCAAATCTGAAATGAATACGATTTCAAAATTAGAAATTTGGTGTAAATTATATTATGGTGAGATAAATGTGAAATTTCATGTCATCTACATTTATGTTTTTTAGGTGTGTCAATGTATTCTTTAATAATTACTAGTGGTTTCGAAATGTCGTAAAGGTGCTCTAAAGGGCTATTACAATGTGTATGGTAAAGTAGGGTAAAAAGTCACTTTTTATTTTTTACATTGTAAAGTCGAAATTTAAATTTCCTTTTTCACATACGAGCCGTACTTTTTTCGAGTCGACTCGATATTTTTATAAGATTTTTTAAATGTTTTTTTATTATTTTAAAAAATTGTCATACAATTTTGAGAGGAAGTTAATCATATTTTTTTTATTTTAATATTATTCAATAATTACATGTTTAATTTGAATTATTAAAAAATATCATAATTTTAAAAACTTGAAGAAATTTCTCATAAAATTTAAGTACTTTGAAAACTGTTAATTAAAATTATTAAAGAAATTCCATTATCTAAAAAAAAAAATTATGTTCATCAATAATATAAATCTTTGCAAGGAATTCAATTATTTAAAAAAAATTTAATAAAATTCTTTGCCAAAATTTGAATTGTTTTTAATCCATTTTTCAAAAAATAATTTTATTATTGGGCCATCTTTAATTTATAGTTTTAAGTAAAGTGTTCTCTTATTTGACTCTAACTGGATACATTTTTGTTAGTAATTTTTCACTTTTTGGCTGTAAACTTTGTATTTTTAAATATATTCACTGGTTCAAACTGCGATTATTTTCAAAAATTGTTATACAACTCATTAAAGAGTTCATCATTACAATTTTAGTATTTTAATTAAATTTTTTAAAAAATTGATAATTTTCAAAAGTTTTTACAAAAATTCATCGTAAAAATGATATTCTTAGCAACATTCAATTATTGAATAAATTATTTATTTTTTATTTAAATACTCTAATTCTTGTAGAACTTTCTGATAAAAATTAATTTAAAAATGAATTCCGGTTAAAATTTTAAGTAATAATTAAATATTAAAAGCATTATAGCATTCTCTAAATTTGAATTAGTAGAAAGTTACTAATGAAATGGTGAAAAGACGTTCACTAAATGATTTAGTAATAATTCTACTAACAAATAGTAAAATTTTACTAATTGTTAGTAAAGCTTTACACTAATTTTTTAGTAAAATTTTACTAATCATTAATAGAACTGTTTTATTAATAGTCGATAAAACAGTTTCACTAATTTATTTAGTGAAAAAATGACTTTTAATTAGTGAAATTCTGCTAAAACATTAGTAGAATTTTACTAAACATGTGTAATATTCTGCTAATTGAAAAGGTTAAAAGTCATTTATGAAAACTGATAAAAATTAGTATAATTATACTATTTTTTAGTAGAATTCTACTAATTCAGATTTAGAGAGTGCATGATTGTTTAGAAGTAACAAATTAAATTTTGAAAAGATTTTAAATTAAAATCTTCGAAAATCTAATTTTTTTGTATTTTTGATTAATAGTTGATTTAAAGATAATGTTTTAGTTAAAAATTCTAAATTCTAAATTCCTAATTTTTAGGAATATTTTTGAAAGTATCCGCAATAATTTCTAGAGTGAATCAAAATATTCTTTAGGGTCAATAAAAGTTAAAATTCTGTCTGAAAATTAGGAACAACAAACTTAAATTTTTGGGGCAACCCTGAACAAACAAGATTTTTGATATTTATTGAAAATAATTTTATATTTTGTTATTTAAATTTAAAGATTAAAATACAAATGAGCCGTTCGCTAGAAAAACGACCTAAGTCGACTTAAGTTTTTGACGAAAAAATTAAATTAAAGATTCAGAAACGAATTACTAATATAATTTACGTATTAATTATATCGCTCATTTTTCCCAATACAAAGGTATTATCAAAGAATTCTTTAAAAGAAAAGAAGGTCGAGTAAACAATGTTTTGCTACTTTAATAACATTATTTTATAACAAATGACTTAAGTCGTTTTTCCAGCGAACCACTAAAAATGAAACAAAATTAAGTATTTTATGAAAGAACACTTTTATTTTAATGTATTAAAACATATTTATTATTCTAAAAAGTCTTACGATATATTTTTTAGTAATATTCAATTAAATATCAACAATATAATGCACAAGTTTAGTTAACTAAATGAAAAAATTACTCGCTTTTGTAATAATCCAAAATTTTTGAAAATTTCAAATTTATAGCAGTGAAGGCTTGTAGGAAAAACCTTCTTTAGTATTTAAAAAAAAAGAAAATTGAAATCGGTGGAGATTTGTATTGTCGGCAAAATTTTGTCCAAAACACTGCATTTCTTCCCACTGTACGCGGTAGCAGAGGACGTGAACGCGCGCTTGCGTAAGTGCTTCAATTTCGGGACCCAGGAAGTTTAAACACCTCAATTAATTCATAAATAGTGACCTACAACTTTAGAAACTTGATATATGTAATCTATATGTCTTGTAGAATACACTGATAACAAAATTTTTAAAAACCGCTTAAGTCGACTTAAGTCGTTTTTCGAGCGAACGGCTCAAATATAATATTAATGCTGATTCAATGTGCTTTAAAATAAATAAACATTTAAAATTATATTATGGTCAATACATTTTATTTCAACTAAAGTGTCTGCAGACTAATTTTAAAACATTGTAATATTCTGCATGAATGATTTTCATGTTACTAAAATCACAAAATAAAAAGATTTTTTAAAAATAATTTAGGTATTAATGACTGCAATAAACCTGTAAAATTTCAGGACAATTCATTAAAATTTGTCCGAGATATTTTGTACACAATAATTTGTGACAAACATACATACATACATACATACACATACATCTGAACATTTGCTCAGAATTGAATATACATGTTCCAGACGAAAATAAGTCAATATAACTTTATATATTTATATAATAACTACATATAATATAATAACTTTATATTTATATAATATAAATCTTTTTCTAAAACAAATAACCTAATTCTATAGAAAATTCCTGTAAAAATTATCTTGAGCATTTCAATTGATTTTGGGAAATTAATTAAAGTCCACAATCGTTTCAAAAGTTAAAACATGTATAAATTGAGAACTACTAATTAAGTAGAGGATCATTTGTTTTTTTTATTAACCTAAAATTGTAAATAAGTTTTTTATTATTTAAAAAATTTTAAATCATTGATGGAAGCTGCAGTTTTAATTTTGTCATTTATTATTTATTACTAATTTTTTCTTTTATTATTAATTTATTTATTAAGCTAAAAAATAAAAATTGTCCACTACTATCCAAATTTCATAAGTACAAAAGACACTTTCTATTTAATTAGTTGTTCTCAATTTACACATGAGACATTCCATTTCAAAACGACGCCCTCTTTATAAACAATTGCCATTGTAAGGCAATTTTCAAATAATTATTTCTCATGTTTATTGAATCCAAACTTTATTTACTATTAGTGTCTTAAAAAGAAAAATTTCTTAACTTTACGACAGTAAAAAATTCTTTTTAAAAAATAATATTATTAAAGAAAAAATTTAAGTTTTAAAGATAACCTTTTAAATATCTCAAAACAAGTTAGGTCCGATTTTTTTTAAAGTTATATCAAAATAAAGCTTAAATATTCTACTTTAATCTCCTGGTAACATTATAATGGACAATTTAGGGGTTTTTATAAAATTAATTTATTTTTATAAAAATTGCAAAGATTATAATGTATTTACAGAGCGGAATTTGTTTTTTTTCAAATTTTACACACTTTAACCTCTGACATCATTGTAGAATTTAATTAATTTTGTAAAAATTCCTGAATTGTCCATTATAATGTTGCCAGGAGATTAAAGTAAAATATTTAAGCTTTATTTTGACATAACTTTCAAAAAAATCGGACCTAACGTTTTTTGAGATATTTCAAACTTTAAAACTTAATTTTTTTCTTCAATAATATTATTTTTTAAAAAGAAATTTTTTATTGTCGTAAAGTTAAGAAATTCTTCTTTTTAAGACACTAATAGTAAATAAAGTTTAGATTCAATAAACATGAGAAATAATTATTTGAAAATTGCCTTACAATGGCAATTGTTTATAAAGGGGGTCGTTTTGAAATGGAATGCTTCACATATTTTAAACTTTGAGAGGATTGTGGATTTTAATTAATTTCTCAAAATCCACTGAAACGTCCAAAATAATTTTTACAGGAATAAAAATAAAATATTTATTCTTTATTTTGACATCAATTTTATAAAAATTGGATGTAACATATTTCAGACATTTAGACGTTTAACCTTTAAATCAAGTTTTTTTAGAATTACGTTATTTGCTTCAAAAAAGCTTTATACTATCATAAAGTTCAAGAATTTATCTTTCAAAATTGCTAGTAGCAAAATTCAATTGGTTTATTTTAATAGGAGAAATATTTATTTAAAAATTGCCGTAAACTGTCAATTGTTTACAGGGGGGTCTCGTTTTGAAATAGATCGTAGATTACTTAGTAGACAAGTAGACAGGTAATAAATAATTTACAAAAAAGAAAATTTCTGCTATTAAAAATTTGAGTTAAAAAGTAATTAAAAATTTGAAAAAAGCCAATTAGTTGTATTTTACTAAAAAAATCTGGAAAAATAGGCCAGTCGGTGAGTGCAAGAAATGCAACCTGAAAATTCTCAGTGGTTCCTTGTAGTTGCAGGGACCCACATAAAAGACCCACAGACCCACAGTTTGCTCTCGATTTCCGGTTGCAAAAAATGGTGTAAACAATCATTAATGTTCGAAAAACATGGATTTTCAAAAATAAATGTCGGTTAAATAGAAATTAAATTTTTATTTTATTAAACATAACTTCTGTTTAATTCGAATTCGGCTAAAAGGAGATTATGTCTAATAAAATTGTAACAACTCGAAATTCTCACAAATGAGTTTTAGGGCCTACTCATGCGCCTCAGTTTTTTTTATATCATTTTTATATCCGCCTCAACATAATTTCCCCACTTTTGGCCCTGCGAATTTGGTTTTTTCATTTTTTAAAGTACACTCAAGGAGCAAAAGTTTTATCATATTTAAATGGAAAATGGGTTTTTTTGTCATAAACAAATGGAATAACTTAACCAATTTTCATTTTATCAATTTGGTGTAAACGGCATTTAATTTCATTTCTTTTCACCAAACTTTTTCGTACAAAAATCAGACATAGCTTCAAGAGTGGGGTAGTTAGTTTTTTTATTACAAAAAATTCCTGATTAGTTAATTATTAATATTTTTTAACCAGCATACATACTTTTTTCAACCTTTGGACTGAATTAAATTTTTTTTTTTTAATTTAATGTATTTTTTTACGCTGAATCCGAGAATTATTTTATATTTTTTCAAAATACAATATTTTTGATAATAACAAAAGAATATATTTTTTAACAAGAAATGATTATAATATGATAAACAATATGATTATTGATAAACAATAATAATTATTATTGTTTATCACATTTAACAAAAAATTCTCTTTGTACACATTATTCCATTGAATTTGAAATAATATTAAAACGAAAAAAATTGTAATTATTTATATATAAGCTTGAAGCATAACGTGCACATATGCACGCAAGTTCAATTCGAAACATCTACTAAGATAACGATGCTACACACTTATTTACAAATAAGTTAAATTTCTTTTTGTCATAATAAAACTTTAAATTCAATGGAATAATATGTACAAAGAGAATTTTTTGTTAAATGTGATAAACAATAAGGGTACGTCTGATTTTTTTACGAAAAAATTTGGTGAAAAGAAATGAAATTAAATGCCGTTTACACCAAATTGATAAAGTGAAAATTGGCTAAGTTATTCCGTTTGTTTATGACAAAAAAACCCATTTTCCATTTAAATATGATGAAAGTTTCCAAATTCGCAAGGCTAAAAGTGGGGAAGTTATGTTGAAAAATTACATGTTTTTAGTTAACAAATGGAATTATGCATAAATTATTTATCCGCAACTAAATTAATTAACCTTTTTTAACTTACGTTTGAAAGCTGTTTCTAAGCTCTATAACTTCCATTAACAACTTTTTCCTCTAAAATTTAACCGGAAGCAACGGTCGTTGAAAACCCATGTTTTTCGAACTTTGACGATTGCTTACACCATTTTTAGCAACCGGAAATCGAGAACAAACTATGGGTCTCTTATATGGGGCCCTGCAACTACAAGAAACCACATAGACTTTTCAGGTTGCACTTTTTGCACTCACCGACTGGCCTAAAAGTCTATTTGTCGCATTTTTTAAAGAAATAGTCGCACAATCCGAGCCCTGGTTTACATTAATTTGTAACAATAAATTTATGCATTTTTAACAAATGCCAATCATTTTTGTTATATTTTTGTACTGAATTGTATTTCATTTAAATTATTTTCTAATGACATTTTTAGTTTCTAATTAAGAAAATATTGATACCTTTCAATAATTGATATTTTGATGGCGTCACTGCTTCCCGAATGTTTTCTTCTGCCAAATGTTTATTAGCTCTTTCTGGATTTAAACATTTTCTTTGAAGCCCTTCGCGTGTCCAAATAACCATCGCCATTTCCTTGATAAATTTTGAGTCATCTTTCTTTAGATTAATCATTTCCCAAGTGCCGAGGCCAGTTTGAACATTTTCCCCTATATGTACCTGCAAGGAAAATAAATCTGTAGTTCATGAACATAAAATCATTTTTAATTTACATAGTTAATCAAGCTTTTTATGTAACTACACATGCACTATGTACATACTACTTCATTATCTATAGTTATCTCTCGTCGTAGACCCTCAGTTGTATTATGTGAATTTTGATTTGTAACGTTTATACGAGTATTTCTCCGCGTGGCGTTACGTGCAGTCGAATTTCGGGTTTCCACACGACGAGTATTTCTCGGCGTGGCGTTGCGTGCAGTCGATTCTGGGGTTTCCACACGACGAGTATTTCTCGGCGTGGCGTTGCGTGCAGTCGATTCTGGGGTTTCCACACGACGAGTATTTCTCCGCGTGGCGTTACGTGCAGTCGAATTTCGGGTTTCCACACGACGAGTATTTCTCGGCGTGGCGTTGCGTGCAGTCGATTCTGGGGTTTCCACACGACGAGTATTTCTCGGCGTGGCGTTGCGTGCAGTCGATTCTGGGGTTTCCACACGACGAGTATTTCTCCGCGTGGCGTTACGTGCAGTCGAATTTCGGGTTTCCACACGACGAGTATTTCTCGGCGTGGCGTTGCGTGCAGTCGATTCTGGGGTTTCCACACGACGAGTATTTCTCGGCGTGGCATTACGTGCAGTCGATTCTGGAGTTTCCACACGACGCGTATTTCTCCGCGTGGCGTTACGTGCAGTCGAATTTCGGGTTTCCACACGACGAGTATTTCTCGGCGTGGCGTTGCGTGCAGTCGATTCTGGGGTTTCCACACGACGAGTATTTCTCGGCGTGGCATTACGTGCAGTCGATTCTGGAGTTTCCACACGACGCGTATTTCTCCGCGTGGCGTTACGTGCAGTCGATTCTGGGGTTTCCACACGACGAGTATTTCTCGGTGTGGCGTTACGTACAGTAGATTTTGGGGTTTCCGTACGACGAGTATGTCTCGGCGTGGCGTTACGTGCCGTCGATTCTGGAGTTTCTATGCGACGAGTATTTCTTGGCGTGGCGTTACGTGCAGTAGATTTTGGGGTTTCCGTACGACGAGTATGTCTCGGCGTGGCGTTACGTGCAGTAGATTTTGGGGTTTCCAAACGACGAGTATTTCTCGGCGTGGCGTTACGTGCAGTAGATTTTGGGGTTTCCATACGACGAGTATTTCTCGGCGTGGCGTTACGTGCAGTCGATTCTGGGGTTTCCACACGACGAGTATTTTTCGGCGTGGCGTTACGTGCCGTCGATTCTGGAGTTTCTATGCGACGAGTATTTCTTGGCGTGGCGTTACGTGCAGTAGATTTTGGGGTTTCCGTACGACGAGTATGTCTCGGCGTGGCGTTACGTGCAGTAGATTTTGGGGTTTCCAAACGACGAGTATTTCTCGGCGTGGCGTTACGTGCAGTAGATTTTGGGGTTTCCATACGACGAGTATTTCTCGGCGTGGCGTTACGTGCAGTCGATTCTGGGGTTTCCACACGACGAGTATTTTTCGGCGTGGCGTTACGTGCCGTCGATTCTGGAGTTTCTATGCGACGAGTATTTCTTGGCGTGGCGTTACGTGCAGTTGATTTTGGGGTTTCCGTACGACGAGTATGTCTCGGCGTGGCGTTACGTGCAGTAGATTTTGGGGTTTCCAAACGACGAGTATTTCTCGGCGTGGCGTTACGTGCAGTAGATTTTGGGGTTTCCATACGACGAGTATTTCTCGGCGTGGCGTTACGTGCAGTCGATTCTGGGGTTTCCACACGACGAGTATTTTTCGGCGTGGCGTTACGTGCCGTCGATTCTGGAGTTTCTATGCGACGAGTATTTCTCGGCGTGGCGTTACGTGCCGTCGAATCCGAGGTTTCCACGCGACGAGTATTTCTGACTGTACTGTGAATCTTCGAATCTGAAAAATATGATTATTAAATATATATATATATATATATATATATTATAGTTAACAATATTTTGATGTCCAGCGAGTTTTCAAAAATTCCAAGCCTTTGAGAATCTCTAAGGTCGATCCTTAAGTTAATATTTTGAATTTAAATTAATATTGTGTCAACTGTTTTGTAAAACTTACTACTGTTTGATGCATCATGAATTTCACCTCCACCGCCTGAAGGTGAATATCGTAAACGCTGAGGAGTACCGTCAACTTCATTAATTGTGTCAAGAGAGTCTATGAGAGGAGAAAGAGATCGTTTATGACTTTGACAATTATTTATTAAAAAATGATAAAATAATTTATTGAGACTTCTACAGTTGTTTATTTAGTCAGCATGATTGAAATATACATATTAAAAATTTTCAAATTTACATGAAGCTTATTAACACACACTAAAAAAATTGGTTAGAATGTGCTTTTTACTTAGGCAATTTTTTCCTAAGAACAAAACCAATACACGCAAAGCAATTGTCTTTTTAAAAAAATCAATTTTAGCCTTATCTAAGGTAATTTTTGCCTTAGCTATGGAGAAAATTTTTTTTTTTAAATAAATAATTGCTGTGCATGTTTTGCTATTGAACCTAGACAAAATTACCTTCGTAAGAAGCACATTTTGACTATTATGTTTTTCAGTGTTTTCATTTTCTTTAAATTAAATTTTCTTGAAAAATCTACAATATATATACTGTCTAGAATAATTTCTAGTACAACAGATTTTTAAAAAGTTTTTTGTTTCAGTTTGACGACCTGCATTTTCTAAGAAAAAATTACTCATTAAAGCCCACAAAAAATGACCTACAAAATAAGCCTAAAATCATTAAAATGGCGTTAATTATTATAAAAGTTATTAAAATGTTTGTGAAACATTGAAAATTACGATTTTTTAAAAAATATTAAAACAAAATAGTGACCAAATGACTTCTGCAAGATATTTTCAAAATCTTTTATTTCAAAAAATAAAAAGAAAAAAACTTTAAATTTCATAAATTTTATATTTTAAAAATATACCATTATGGTTTAATATACCATTAAGCTCAAAGGAGGTGAAGTTGTTTGTGAGAAACATTTCCATCCAGAAGATATTCTTCACGAAAGATTATTATATGGACCTGATGGTGTTACAGTGATGGGAAGGGTAAGTAAATAATGGGTTTTATTATTTTTAAATATTCATATTATAGAATGACATAAATTATTTTATTATAAGTAAGAATTAAAATTAATATTTGCTGTTTATGATTTTAAGTTTAAATAAATTGAATAAATATTAAATTTCCATAATTATTGACATTCACTATCTAACTTTCAGTACTAATATTTTCAAATAATTTGTACTCTTTTTGTCAAATTAATATAATTTAAACAATTTAATTTGATCTAAAAAAACGTTAACACCAACAATAATTATACATATTATTTATTTACGCTTTATTTATTAAAAGTATATTAATTTAATTATTTACGTAACAAAATTGATTTAAGCTTATAAAATAATACTAATATTATATTATTATATTTTTTATATATTTTTATTAATGTAATTAATTGTTTATTAAATGTTTATTATTTTTCAGAGTACTTATAAGAAACCGATGCTTCGAAAAGGCGCTTTACCTGCATTGTTATTAGGTAAACCAGAAAAACCACAAAAAAGTCGATTAAAGCGTTTCAGACTCGAAGACGAAAATATGAATGACGAGGTATCAACGAAAAGAGGAAAAATGAACGAAGATAACACTGATAACCAAAATAATAATCAAGAAAAGAGTCATGAAAATGTCATTATTGACAATAATCCTTCGGATCCTTCTGATGGTGATGACTCACAATCAGAAGATTTATTTAGTAAGATTATCAATAGCAACAATAGCTACATTTGTTTGCCAATATCTTGGGGAAAAACTGTTTTTTATTGGAATGAGAATAAGGATAAACTTGTAAATTTTCATAAGTTGATTGCCAGGAAAGACGAAAATGGTGAAGTCGAGACTTTTAGTGAAAGAGAATTTACTATTGATGACAAATTGACATTACACATTAAAATTAATGGTGTAAAAATTGACCACACAAGATTTGGCATTCAAAATAATGTCATAACATCAATTGACATGTTAAAGGACACCATTAAAATAATTGATGAATGTAAAATTTGCCAGGGTTGTCGAGATATAGCAAAAACACCTGAAAATGGGCTTTTATTAGAAAATTTTACTTATATTGACAAATTAAACAATTTGAGACATAGTCAATGTTCTCTTCTATTGACGGATGAAAAATATCAAAATAATGCCTGTAAATGTTGTAAATCTGTCAAACATTTACTGCATAAAAAAATTATTAGAAGACAACATTGCAAAAATACAAAATACTTGAATTTAAAAAATTTAAGTCCGAAAAGGAAAGAACAAGTTTTGAAGCTTAAAAGACTAAAAGCATCCGAAGGTAAGGCAAAGAAGAGAGCACAGGACTCAAATCGTTCGTTAAAAAAAATTGTTCAAAAATGTCAAATTAAAATGAACAATATGTCTGCAAATTCCCTCGAAACTTTAATGAATAATAAAAAATTAAGCCCGAACGAAAAAACAACTCTCCAAGAAATTCTCAAAGCTTCAAAGACCAAAAATGCAAAAGGCAGAAGATACTCTGATGGTTGGATTATTTTATGCCTCCTTATGCAAACTAAATCACCAGCTACATATAGGATGATCAGGGATCTTAAAATTTTACCTCTTCCCCATGAGCGAACAATTCGAAAGTATTTATTATTCTAACATTTAATTAAAATTTAATCTACAACGAATTTATAAAAGGTTTTTAGGAAAAAAAATTTTTAATTAGAAATACTTTAATTTGTTTAATTATAAAAAATTTATTTTATAGATATTTAGGTGAAATTGACTGTCCGTGTGGATTTGATCCAAATTTCATCAAACTCTTAAAGGAACACTTTTCTTCAAAAAGCGAAAAAGAACTTCATGGCGTCCTTTTATTAGACGAGATGTCTACACGAAAAGGTTTGATTTTAGATAAAAGAACAATGAAGTATAAAGGAGTAGAGGACCTTGGAGACGACGTTCCAAAAGATGAAAATGTAAATTTGGCTGATCATGGTTTAGTGTTGTTTTTTCAATCTCTATACGAAGATTATTCTCAGCCAATTGCAGTTTTTGCATCCAGTGGGCCTACCTCTGGTAAGGATTTAGCAAAAATAGTTCTGCAAGCTATAACATTACTAGAAAATATTGGCGCGAAAATACACGGAATTGTTTCGGATGGAGGTGCGCCGAACAGAAAAATGTGGAATGAGTTAGGATGTAGTGGCAAATTGAACGATTTTAAAAACTTTTTCCAACATCCTTTGCATGTAGACCGAAAAATTTATTTATTCTGGGACACCCCTCATCTCATAAAATGTATACGGAATCGTTTGGCTAATTCTGGAGAACTGAAGGTTAATTATCTTTTTAATGTTATTTTACTTATTTCATATTAATAATAATAAAAAATAAATTGCAGATTCATTCCGAAGAGAAAGCAATAAAATGGGAATATTTTCAAATATTGCATGAACTAGATCAAATGCAACCAGCGTCTTTAAGAATTTGCCCAAAAGTGACAGATCATCATATAAATATTATGAAAAAAAGTTTTCTAAAGATGAAAGTTAGTTTTGCTGTTCAAGTATGTATTGTTAATAATAATTTTATTTTTTAATGACTGTAATTGTTATATTATTAATGTTGATCATTATTGCAGATTTTGAGCGACTCTGTTAGTCGAGGGTTGATGTATTACAAAAATTATGACACAAGACTAGAAGATTGCGAAAATACGGCAAATTTTTGTAAGAGAATAAACGACATGTTCGATGCTCTAAATAGAACATGGAAAAATAGTCATTCAGGACTTACACTTGAGTGTTCAGACATGAAAGTAATTATATTAATTTCTTTTTTTTCTTTAAATAATTTCTTTTAATTACTTTTTTTTCTTTAAATAATTACTTTTTAAAAATATTTATTATATTTATTTCAGGTCTTATCTGAAAGTTTGATATGGTTAAACAATTGGGAAAGACGGGTTAACGATGGCTCACTCAAAAGTACAGACTTTTTAACGTATCAAACTGCAGAAGGACTGCGAATGACTCTTCAGTCAACAATTGATATCTCGACGTATTTGATAGAAGTTTTGAAATTAGATGTCATTTTTACAGGTCGCATAAATCAGGATCCTCTGGAGGTATCTACAACGTACAGGAATACAGGACTAACAAATTAACACAAAAAAAAATTCCCTTAATTTCTCATTAGATTATTAACAAATTTTTAACATATATAAGGAATAGTTTTTAATTCATGACACTTTTTTTAATTTCTTAAAAAATATTTTTAATATTTTATAGTCATATCGTAGTTTAAACAAAAAATTTTCTATTAATTAATTCAACAAATTAATATTAAGCATAATTATAAATTGTGTAATGAATTTACTTACTTGATAGTTTCAAAAATAATTTTTTGTTTATACTAGATTTTAACGTATAAAACCGGAAATTAATTTATTTCTACAATTGTCATCTAAAATAAAATTTTGGAACTTCGTTATGCTTTTCAGAGATTTTTTGGGACTGTTAGATTAGCAGGAGGAACTAATGATCACCCAGCTACGCCAACGTTTCTCCAGCTTTATAAAATCTTATCTTTATTTGGAATTCTAAAACCATCAAGTTTAGGAAATTGCTCCGTTCCAAACGTAAAATCAAAACCATTGATTTCTATAAAAAGGTTAAAAGAAATTTTTCATTCTGATAAAAAAGATGATTCAATTTTTAATGAAATCAAAAATAAATTAAACATTGTCATTAGTAATGAAAATAGTGACTTTATAGATTTCACAAATGCTGTCGACCACGATTACGACTTACCTCCAATCATCGAATGCCTTATTTATTTTACGGCTGGAAAGTTGTGCAAAAATATAATACAATTTTCAAAATGTGAGACATGTCGTAATGCTTTTTATTATTCCGAAGATGAATCTCTTTTCGTGGAAAATTATCCTCTGGCGAATATAATCACACTTAATCGAGAAACTGAAAATGGAAGTGGCATTCAACATCCGAATCGACGATTATATAACTTTTTAAAAAAAGTGGAAATGTTATATATTGCTAACAGCAAAAAAACTAATGTTTTCGAGTTAGTTTTAAATAAATTAACAGAAGAAAAATATGAACATCCGTGTTCTGAGCATGCTGTTGAAGTTTACGCATACGTAATTCAATTTTATCTAGAACATAGAATGCGAAATTTTGCCAAATCGATTATTAAAACCAAAGACAAAATATATTCGCAGAAGAAAAAAGCTTCGAAATTGGTTACAATGTAATCAAAAAGAAAATATTAAAACGCCAAATGCGGAAAACCAAAAAAGACAATTTTTACTTATATTAAATTTATAGTATTATTTTAATATTATTAAATAAAGTTGAATTATATTAAATAAAAAAAATATATTGTTAATATATAAATATGTTTATCTATATATAATTCTTTGAATAATAAATTGTTCTTACCCGTTGGTAAATTATGTTTCTTGAAAAATAATGTATTTCATTTTTAATTAGATTTCCCATTTAAATCGATATAATAAAATATGAATGAGCAACATGGAATATATAAAAAATAATGTTTATTACAAGAAATTCGAAAATTAAAAAATGATAATACAAAATAAATAAAATATTAAATATTTTGATTTTTAAATATTTGATTTTCATTTGCTAATAAAATTAGTCTCATTCACTGATAGAGAATATAAAACTAATCATTTAATTATATTTTTTATTCTACTTATAATTTTCTGCAGAACACTTTTTTTAGACTCAGAATATTATTTTATATTAATAAAACATTTAATGTTTATAAATTTCCCATGCATTTATTTGAATTTTGGCCTAGAGGGCATCCAGCGCCGCCTGGTGTGCTCAGTCAACTCTCTGGACACAAAATCGCATGTATAACAGAGGGAGAACCTACGGCGTGATTTGGTGGCTCTAGTGGCGGGTCACTTGCCGATTTTGAAAACTCATCGATATAATAGAAAGCTTTTTAAAAATTTTGTTGAAAAAAATATTATGTAAGAAGCATAAAAAAATGTTTATTCATTTATTAAAAAAAAAAAAAAAAAAAAAAAAAAAAAAATGTTTATCCATTTACCATGTGCTTTAAATTTTAATCCGGCATTAATTTTAAAGACATTTTTTTTATAAAACATGGTGAATAAACTGCGTGCTCAATAATAAATGTAAATTTTGTGTGATGAAAAATAAAAATTAAATATTTATAAATTTTTGGTAACTTCTTTATTTATGTTGAAAAAAAAATAAATGTCGATGACCGGGTGTTACAAATGAAAATGACGATTTTTTTCTAAAAATTCAACAATTTTTAATTTCATTTTGAATTAAAAATTTTAATTGACAATTAGAATTTATAAACATTTTCTTTCATTATTTAAAAAAAACTGAATTTTATTATTGTATTTAAGAAATTATTTTCTTATTTGAAAATTGTGAATTTTCTACCTTAAAATATTAAGAAATAGGAATATGTAATGTTTTATTTTCAAAAAAAAAAAAAAAGTTTGTGAACAATATTGTTACTGAGAATTAAAAATCATGCATAAAATATGTTCCTTATTTTCAATTTTTTAATCATAATTTTTTAACAATTAACAATTTTATATTTATTATAAATTTTATTTATTTTTTTAATTTTATATTTTTATAAATTTTACATATTTTTTTATTTTTATACTAGCAACAAATCGCGCGGCTAATTTCTTACTGACCTTTTTTTAAATAAAATTAGCAATTTTTAAAATAATAAAATTTGAAAATTTTCTAATTTAAATTTTTGTTGAAAATACTAAAAAAATTCAATTTTGTAAAATTTAAAGATAATTGCAAAAATTCTTTAAAAAAAGAATAAAATTCTTCTTATTAAATTCAACTATGTTCAAATCTTGAAAAAAATTCTCGTGAAAATCCCAATTATCTTTATAAATAACAAAATTCTTCTCCAAAGTTCAATTATTTTCAAAAATTTTTCTAATTTTAATGATTTTCAATATCTACGATTTTAATAAAATATTTCCCAAAACGAATTCAATTATTTAAAAAAAATTTTAATTTGAAATTTTAGAAAATGACAATTTTGAATGAATATGAATTAAATAATAAAAATTTCAGAGGAATTCTATTATTTACAAATTTTTTATAAATTTCTTCGTAATAATTCAATTATTTTCATGAAGAATAACATTCTTTTAACCAGGAATTCAATTATTTTCATAAATAATAAAAATCATCGCAGAATTTCAATTATTTTTGGTACAATGTTAATGGAATTTCTCGAAAAATGTAATTATTCTTAAAATTTTTATAAAAATTAATTTTCAAAGATTTTAATGAAATAATTTTTAACAATTCAATTTTTTTTCAAAATAATTTGAATTAAATTCTTCGTAGAATTAAATTAATTTTAATAATATCAAAATTCAATTATTTTTAATATCTACTATTTCAATAAAAATTCACAAAAGAATACAATTATTTAAAAAGAAATATATTATTAAAATTCATCGCAAGAATTAAAGTATTTTTCATAAATAATAAAATTCTTCTCAGGTATTCAATTATTTTCAATACAATTATTAAAAAATTCGATTGTATTCAATAAATTAAAGAAATTTTTCAAAAAAATTCAATTTCCAAAAATTTTTATTAAAATTCAAGAATTAAATGCTTAATTTCAATTATTAAGAAAGAGGATTATTATAAAAACTTGAAAGAAATTATTCATATAGAATTCAATTACTTTGAAAACTTGTAATTAAAATGATTAAAGAAAGTCCATTATTTTAAAGAAACTCAAAGAAATTCTTCAAAAGAATTTAATTAAGATTATGTAAAATTTTAATAAAATTCTTCCTAAATTCAATTATTTTCATAAACAATAAAATATTCTTCGAAGAAATTCAATTAGTTTCAAATTTTTTCATAAAATTCTTTGTAAGAATTCAATCATTTGCAAATGTTTTATAAATTTTTTCGCAATAATTAAATTATTTAACAAAAAAATTAATAAAAGTTCTTCATAAGAATTCAATTATTTTTGAAAATTTTAATAAAATTTGTTGCAAAAATTTAATTATTTTTAAAAAGTTTGATAAAATTCTTCGAATCAATTCAATTATTTTTAAAAATTTTGAAAAAATTTTCGGCAAAAATTTCAATTATTTTCAAAAATTTTTCTCAATTCAATGATTTTTATAATATCTACTAAAATTTTTCAAAAGAATTCAATTATAAAAAATTTTATTGAAATTCTGCGCAAACATTTCATTATATTCATAAAATAATTAAAATTTCACAAGGAATTCAATTATTTTCATAAATAATAAAATTTTTTAAGGAATTCAATTATTATTTTCGTAAAAAATAATTTCAAATTCTAGAAAATAATAATTAAATTAAAATGATGAAAATTTGATGAAGTTACAGTAACAATATTCTTATAATGTAAAATAATGATTTTATCTCTCGGTCATCTTTAATTTATTAGAAAACATGAAGAAATCGATCACTCTAAGTCTTCGACTCGGAGCAATTGATATCTTCATGTTTTATAAACAATACTTTTATAAGTTGTTTAATTTACAAAAAGGTTTGAATTTTGAATTTTTGAATGTCTTAATTCCTGTGGAAAATCCTGTTCCAAAAATAAGATTAAAAATAGGAATTGTGCAAATATTTGTCTTCTTTTTCTAAAACAAAATAATAATTTTCTTTAAAAAAATTGTGATTGAAAAAGAAAATAATGGAAAATAAATAAATTTTCTATTTCCTAATCACAGTTGTTTAATAATTTTCGAATTTTTTTAGAAGTAAAGAACAAAAATAATTTCAATTTGACAGAACATAATATTTAACAAAATTTTAGTCTTTTAATGAAAAGAAGTAAAAAAAAATTCTGATGATTTCTATTTTCTATCTAAAGTTAACAAAAAACAAAAGTATAAACAAAAGACAATTCTTCAGAGTGTGAGGGACAGAAAAAGTGAATGAAAGAATGAAAGAACATTCAAATTAATATAGTTAATTTTTTATAAATAAAAAGAAGAATAATTTGCATAATTCAAATCAGTCAAACGAAATTTTTAATCAATTATTCAAATTATTATTTTTATATCTATTTTTGATCAATTTATTATAATAAATAATAATTTTTAATCCTACATTAAAAATTAAATTATTTAATTTAAATTAAATAATTATATTTAGAATTTTTATTTCAATTTCTTTTAATTATGTTTTTAATTAATTTAAGAACATTTAACTTAATCCTTAGTTTAAAACGTTACTAAACGTTATCACTAAATAATAATAACATAATCTGTAATATAGATGAGAATTTATCTAAGAAACGATAGCTATTGTATAATGTGGAAGTAGCAATAGGATGGGCGAAATCTCAGTAGAGGGAGTATGAAATATATAAACGTATGTAAAATGAATTGATCAACAATTTAATTAAATCTTTATCAGTTGTCTATCAATTTTCTTTCTGATTATATTTTTCCCTCTAAATAAGCATCTCTCTAAGAAAATAAACAATTTTTCGTCAAAGTGATTAGTGAATTTTTCTTTTCGTATTTTCGAAAAATGATTGCAGTATTATTATTATTTATTGCTTTCGCTTTAATTATTTATCATTATCACACGCATTATGGTAAATGTGGAAAACTTATTAATTTAATTCCAGGACCAGGGATTACTCCAATTTTTGGAAATGTCCTACAGTATAATCTTCCTAATGGTATGTTTATTATTTCAAATTTCAATTTAAATAGATCCATTTTTTTTTTATTTTATATATTATTTCTTATTTCAAGTTAGAAAAAAAGAAAAATATCTCTTAATATTTATTTTTTACTTACTTTAATTTAACGATACGGTTTTTGCTATACGTAATGCGGAAAGTAAACTTACAAAGTGTTACAAAGTCAGTAGGCGAAGGTGATATTAAAACATAAACTAAATTTTATTATTAATTTAATTAATAATAATAAAAAAAAAAATTATTAGTTAATATGTGTAAACAAATATCAATAATTTTATCTACATTGTCTATTGTCTATTTTTTCAACTAAATTTCATTTACATAATTTTGTGATATGTAAATTTTTTTTTTTAAATAATTGATTAATGAGATATATTTGTGACAGTGATTCAGCATTTGAAGAGGAGTTCGAATATTAATATTGAAAAATGTTTTTAAGTCTTTTTTCAATGAAGTTATTAAGAGATCTTTCTGCTTATTAGTGACATGCAATGATAGAAATGTTTTTTTTTTTTTTAATATTGTTCTAGTCTGCTATTTCCATATTTTAACTATTTGCTACTTTTATTAATTCCGTAGAGGAACGAAGTAATATAATTTTTTTATATTAAAAATTTATTTACCTTCCAATTGAAAACTAATTAACTTTTTAATTAACAATAATCGTTATTATAATAAAGGTTTTGTGTAATGAAAATTTTTTTAAAAATTATATTAAAAGATATCAAAGTCGTAAGATCGTCGAATTTTTAATTAGAAAATAATTTCAGATATATATTATTTATTAGTAAATATTTTTAAAAAAATTATTAAAAGTTGATGAAATGCTGTAATTTAATAATGAGTTAAATTTAAAAGTCAACTCTTTAAAAAAACTCTTTAGAAAAAATTTGTTTTAGACGAATTGTGGACTTCACAGAGAAAAGTGAATGCACAATATTATCCAATTGTGCGGCTATGGTTGGCGAGCATTCCGGTTATAAATGTATTTCATCCAGACGATGTGAGAGTAAGTTTGACAATAATTGTTTATTGCTGGCTAGGGGTCATTATTTTTTAAAAAAGAATAAATTTAAATTAAATTAAAATAATAAAATCCCCGTGGGGTCTTTAGCAACCCTAATTAGGAATTTCGAATCTTTCTAAAATTTATAAAGATGATTCAAATATAAGATTATAAGTAAACTAATAGTCGCGTAAAAAATAAATGTTTACAATTCGTTTGCTGTTTAGAATTATTGAAAAAAATTATTAGGGTATTTTTCGAATATCATTAAATAAAGAATTTAACTTTTAAAAATTAATTTGAATTCCATTATCCATTAGTATTTCATATTTATACATATGAATATGTCTCTCTACCTAATTTGCATATTCAATCGTTTCCTTATGGGATGGTTAATATAAAGCAAGAACTAATCATTCTTGCAACAATTAATTTGTTTTATTTATTTATAGACGGGACAAACCCTTTTATACAAAAATAATTAATTCTATGAATTTGAATGTGGTAAATAAAGAATTGCACCTAGTATAGCTCTACCAGGAAATTATAAATCAATATATGAATAGTTCAGGTTATTTGAGAAAAAAGTAAATATAATTAAAGATCTTGGTGTAACTTTTTTGACTAATTTATATCCTTTAATGATTACATTATAGTAGCATTGTTGACAGCGCTAGTAAAACCCCTTGGATTTTTATAATTAGATCATGTAAACAATTTAAGAGAATCACAAAACACGTGCTTATTAGCACCTAGCCGGATTCACTAGGAACGCATGATTATTCCCCAAATGTCATTTTTCCGAAATGTCTTTTTACCGAACTGCACTTTTTCGAATTGTTATTTTTACGAAGTGTCATTTTTGCGTAATGTTATTTATACGAATTGTCATTTTTGAGAAAATCTATTTTTACGAATTGTCATTTTTGCGAATGGACATTTTTACGAATTGTCAATTTTTCGAAAAGTCATTTTTGCGAATCGCCATTTTTACGAATTGTCAATTTTTCGAAAAGTCATTTTTGCGAATTGTCATATTTGCGAAAATTCCTATAGTAAACTTGTATGCATATATCGATATTCACTATAGGAATTTTCGCAAAAATGACCATTCGCAAAAATGACTTTTCGAAAAATTGACAATTCGTAAAAATGGCGATTCGCAAAAATGACTTTTCGGAAAATTGACAATTCGTAAAAATGTCGATTCGCAAAAGTGACAATTCGCAAAAATGACATTTCTCAAAAATGACAATTCGCAAAAGTGACATTTCACAAAGTTGGCTTTTCACAAAAATGAGTATTCGCAAAAGTGCAGTTCGGTAAAATGACATTTGGGGAATAATAATGCGCCCCATTCACTATACAAAAACAAAAAATTAGATGTAACAAATTTTTCAGTTGCTACTCACCAATACTACGAACATTGAAAAAAATTTAATGTACAATTTTTTACAACCTTGGTTGGGAACTGGTCTTCTAACAAGTGCAGGTGCAAAATGGCAACATCGTCGAAAAATGTTAACTCCAGCCTTTCATTTCAATATTCTACAAGATTTTACTGATATTTTTGTTGAGAATGCACAAAAATTAGTTGAGAGTTTAAAATCAAAGGAAGGTGTTACAAAGGATATTGTTCCACTCTTCAAAATACATACCTTAAAAATCATATGTGGTAATAATTTTCAAGCTTTTGTCGGAATGCCACTTTCAGGCTTCACAGTGCCCCTAAAAAGTATTTTAGGGTATATAGGGGACTGAAAATTAAAAAATAGGGGACTTTTAGGGGACACCATAAAAATTGATTAAATAAAAATATAATTTATTTATACAGGGTTGCCATACAAAAATTTAACTCCATTTTTCCCTGGTTTTTCCCTGATTTTTAAACACAACTTTCACTTTTTCCCTGACCCTAAAGAATATTCTGAACAATTAATTATTAATTATTATTCAATTAAACATTTTCAAAAAAAAAATAATTCTACAGAACTGTTAGTTAAAAGCAAGAAAAATAATAAATTAATTCTACGAGAAATCAATTATTTTAATACAAAAATAAATAATATTGAATGTTTCTTAAAAATCAAATTTTACAGGAAGAATTTTATTAATAACTTTTGAAAATATTTAATTTCTCTTAAGGAATTTAATTAAAATTTTAACGAAATTTATTATATTAAAAAATTTTATAACAATTTTTGAAAATAATTGAAAACTTTTTCAAGAACTTTATTCAATTTTTTTTTAAATAATTGAATTCCTGAGAAGAATTAAATTAATAATATTTGAAAAAAATTGAATTCCTAAGAAGATTTTAATTAATAATTTTTGAAAAAAATTGAATTCATGAGAAGAATTTTATTAATATTTTTAAAAATAATTGACTTCTTGAGAAGAATTTTTAAAAAATTTTTGACAATAATTTAATTCTTGAGAAGAATTTCCCTGTTTATTTCTCTATTTATAAAGATAATTAAATTCTTGACGAGAATTTAAAAAAAATTTTGAAAATAATTTAATTTCTGCAAAGTATTTAATTACTTTTTAAAAGAATTAAATTTTCGCGATGAATTTTTGATATTTATCAAAATAATTGAATTTTAGAAAAGAATTTTATTAAAATTCCTTAGAATAATTTATTTTATGGGAAGAATTATAAAAATAATTGAATTTTCACATAGAATTTTATTTAAATTTTTTTAAAAAATTAAATTTTTAAGAGAAGTTTTATAATAAAATTTTTAAAAATAATTGAATTTCTGGCATTTTTATAATTTGTAAAAATAATTGAATTCTTAAAGAATATTTTGATAAAAACTTTTTAAATAATTAAATTTCCTTAAAACTTTTATTATTTATGAAAATAATTGAATTTTTAAAACGAATTTTATTAAAATTTTTCAACATAATTTTATTTAATTACTTTTTAAAAGAATTGAATTCTTGCGATGAATTTTTGATATTTATCAAAATAATTGAATTTTAGAAAAGAATTTTATTAAAATTCCTTAGAATAATTTATTTTATGGGAAAAATTATGAAAATAATTGAATTTTCACATAGAATTTTATTAAAATTTTTAAAAATAATTGAATTTCTGGGATTTTTATAATTTTTAAAAATAATTGAATTCTTAAAGAATATTTTGATAAAAACTTTTTAAATAATTAAATTTCCTTAAAACTTTTATTATTTATGAAAATAATTGAATTTTTAAAACGAATTTTCTTAAAATTTTTCAACATAATTTTATTTAATTACTTTTTAAAAGAATTGAATTCTTGCGATGAAGTTTTGATATTTATCAAAATAATTGAATTTTAGAAAAGAATTTTATTAAAATTCCTTAGAATAATTTATTTTAAGGGAAAAATTATGAAAATAATTGAATTTTCACATAGAATTTTATTAAAATTTTTTAAAATAATTGAATTTCTGGGATTTTTATAATTTGTAAAAATAATTGAATTCTTAAGAATATTTTGATAAAAACTTTTTAAATAATTAAATTTCTTTAAAACTTTTATTATTTATGAAAATAATTGAATTTTTAAAACGAATTTTCTTAAAATTTTTCAACATAATTGTATTTAATTACTTTTAAAAAAAAATTAAATTCTTGCGATGAATTTTTGACATTTATCAAAATAATTGAATTATTGCAACGAATTTTATTGTTTTATTTGAATAATTAAATGTTTCTTAAAATTGAATTCCTTTCTCAAGTTTTAATAAAATTTTTAATAATAATTGCATTTTTCAAGGAATTTATTAAAAATTGTATTAAAAGTATTTGGAATTTTGCGATGAAAATAATTAAATTTTTGCCGAAAAATTTTGCTATTTGTAAAGTTAATTGAATTTTGTAAAGAATTTTATTAAAATTCTTAAAAATTATTGAATTTTTGTGAAGAATTTTGTTATTTATCGAGATAATTGCTTTAAAACTTTTGTAATAATTAAATAATATGAAAAAATTCATTCTTGTCAGAAATAGAAAATTTTTTTTGAAGGTTTTGTATTAGAATTAGTGTCAGTTTCATAGTTTACGAAGCTAAATTTTGTGTGAATTCATCATTAAAAGATAAAAGAAAATAATAGGGGAAATTTGGGGGAAATTTTGAAAATAGGGTACGTTTAGGGGCCAAAATTAAAAAAAGGAGACTTTTAGGGAAATAGGGGTCAGACTGTGAAGCCCGCACTTTAAATACTATACCTAAAAAAAAAGTTAATAATAAATTTTCCATTTTTATCTACTTTACCCAATAGAGACTGCAATGGGTATACAATTGGACAAAGTAGGCGATGAAAAACAGTATGCAAATGCCATTCGGGAATTAGGTAGTATTCTTTTTTACAGGTGAGTGTAAATTAAATTTTTCAAAATTTGACTCTTGTTCCTTTGCTCCCCATTGTATACACATATAATTTGATTTTTCACAAAACAATATTTGTTGATAATAACTTTTTTACAGAACACCTAAACCATGGTTTCACATTGATTGGATATTTAGTTTATCACCGAAAGGACAGATTCAGAAGAAATGTTTAAAGACATTACATGATTTTACAACAAAAGTATGTATTGTATTTTTATCAAATATATCGTCAAACAAGGATTTGTCGATATCTTAATTTTTTAACACATCTCAAATTTATTATTTTGTTAGATTATTGAGGAGCGGAGGAAGTACCTAAAAAGTAATTTAAACGGAAAAGAAGATAGTTTAAAGAAGAACGGTCACGTGGAGGACGATGTTGGTAGTATGTATTCTAAAATCCAGATTGTAAGCTATTTCCAAGATTTTTTAAAAAATATAGAAAAATTCTGATTACAGTTCGCAAAAAACGAACGGCGATGTTAGATATTCTGATAAAATCTGCAGAAGAGAATGAAATAGACGACGATGGAATTAGAGAGGAAGTTGATACATTTGTCTTTGAAGTTAGTATAGCAAAAAATTGCTATTGCTCCATCGGATTTTTTTTTTCTTTTTTAGTTATATTTTTAGAATTTTTTTATCTTTTCTCAATTTAGGGTCATGACACCACGGCAATGGCTTTTATTTTCACAGTCGCTCTTTTGGCGGAACATCCAGAAATTCAGGTATAAATATAATTATCCCAACGAATACAAATTGGAGTTCTTTGATATATTCCTAAATTTTAATTTACATATTCTTTTTGGAAAACTAATTTTTTTATATTTTAGGATCTAGCCAGAAAGGAAGTAACGGAACTATTCAAAAAATCCAATGGCAAAATAGGAATAAAAGAAATTAATTCTTTAGACTATCTTGATAGATGTGTAAAAGAAAGTTTACGTTTGTATCCAAGTGTTGCGACCATTGGTCGAGCAGTGACTGAAGATCAACAATTAAGTAGGATATTTATTCAATTTCATAAAACTAAATAACTACCTTCCACATAGTAAAAGGAAGCAATCTTCCAAAAATTATATGTCTTAACGTTCTAATTCTCTTTTTTTAGAAAATTATCTAATTCCTGCAGGATCTATGATTAATATTCACATTTTCGATTTACATAGAGATCCAAATTATTGGCCTAATCCACTTGTTTTTGATCCAGATAGATTTTTACCAAATAATGTACAAAATAGACATCCGTTTGCTTATGTGCCATTTAGCGCAGGTTCTCGTAATTGTATAGGTTAGCAGTATATTTATAAAAATTTAATAGCAGTTAATTGTGAATCCGGCAACCAACTTTCGTTTTCTGTTTTAGGACAAAAATTCGCAACATTAGAACTAAAGGTGTTGATATCGCATTTATTGGAAAATTTTAAAATGTCCACGAATGCCATAACAAATGAAATTAAACTTATTCAGGACTTGGTTATCACTCCAGCGGAACCTATACGAGTGAAGTTTACCTCAATAGTATAATTTGTTTAGTAATTATGTAAAGTTAAAGTGTATTCTTTAAATTAATACTTATTTATATTAATATTTACAATAATTTAATTTAATCTATAATCGAATTAATTAGAATTAATAATTCCGATTAAGTTTGATAATTCGTGTGCGGGTATATAAATAATCATATTTCAGTGTTAATTTACTTATTCACCCAGATAACAAAATGCGCGTTGTGTGCTACTAATATCATCTGCACGCGTGCCGATTTATCCGCACTATGCGCGTTCACTGGACCACTCAGATGCGTCATCATATGCGATCCATAACTGTCGCATATTGTGATGGGCACATGCGTGACGGTATAATGCGAATAAATTATATTTATACTTCAGCCTTATTTGAATTAAATAAAAAGAAAAGATTATTGACATTAGTAATTTTTTTTAAATTAAAATGTTATTTATAAAAACGATTTTAATTTAATATTTCAGTACAATTTTGGAATTGAAATTGTTAAAAACTTCCAAATTCTTTTTTTGAGGTTATATCTAATACAACAAAAATATATATGTACTTTAAACAAATTAAATTTAACTTTCTTATTTTGCTGCAGTACTAAAAATTAAATCCACAATAATTCCTCACAATAATATCGCAATAAAAAACAATAAAAAATGAAATCACAATAAAAACTTATTTTGATAACACACCACAAACAATGCTGTCGCCATTATAAAATGTGTGATTGCCGATACGGGTGGTTGCGCATCATTAATTGCGTGCGTATTAAGTGCAGTTCACTGCACACGCATTCACAGCATTCGCACTGTGGATGGTAAAATGCGTATGGATTGACTCTTCTAGCGAGTCGCACTTGTGAACGGAACATGCTTATCATTTTGTATCACAGGCGCTTACGAAATGCAGTTCACAACACTCGCATTATTACCAGCGTCACAGACGATAGTAAGATGCGTATATGAACTGACTCATCTGGTAAGTCGCAGTTAGTGCAAGAAACATGCGTTTAAATGCGACGCACGATTGTTATCTGGGCATATAAAAAATTTGCTTATTTCTTGTCTCTTTGTTTTTAATTCCCTATCACGTATTATTATCAACTTTCGGTAATGTATATCTAAATCTTTATTTATTCTTCCGCTATTTTTAGGACCTTAATTTTTATACATAAAACTTTGGTAAATTTCTTGGTAATTCGGATGTTGAAAATTATGTCAAATGGAATTTCGGACAAATAAATTTTATGTTAAATGCATGTTAAATGGTTATTCGAATAAATGAAAATTATGACAAATAAAATTTCTATAAATTAAAATTTCTGAAATATGACATTCCGTAGATTTAAAGGTTATGTCTCATGAGAATTCGAGTAAATGCGTTTTATGTCACTTGATAATTCGAGTAAATGAACATTATGACAAATAAAATTTCGATAAATGAAATTTCTTAAATATGACATTTCGAAGATTTGAAGGTTATGTCACATGAGAATTCGAGTAAATGCGTTTTATGTCACTTGATAATTCGAGTAAATAAACATTATGACAAATAAAATTTCGATAAATGAAATTTCTTAAATATGACATTTCGAAGATTTGAAGGTTATGTCACATGAGAATTCGAGTAAATGCGTTTTATGTCACTTGATAATTCGAGTAAATGAACATTATGACAAATAAAATTTCGATAAATGAAATTTCTTAAATATGACATTTCGAAGATTTGAAGGTTATGTCACATGAGAATTCGAGTAAATGCGTTTTATGTCACTTGATAATTCGAGTAAATGAACATTATGACAAATAAAATTTCGATAAATGAAATTTCTTAAATATGACATTTCGAAGATTTGAAGGTTATGTCACATGAGAATTCGAGTAAATGCGTTTTATGTCACTTGATAATTCGAGTAAATGAACATTATGACAAATAAAATTTCGATAAATGAAATTTCTTAAATATGACATTTCGAAGATTTGAAGGTTATGTCACATGAGAATTCGAGTAAATGCGCTTTATGGCACTTGATAATTCGAGTAAATGAACATTATGACAAATAAAATTTCGATAAAAGAAAGTTATAATGTAATATAATATTTCGAAGGTTTGAAAATTATGTCAAATGGCAATTCGGAGGATTATTAAATTATGACAAATAGTCATTCGGAAAAACAAAATGTATGTCAAAAAAATTTTCGACATATTAAAAATTATATTAAAAAACAATTCGACTATTTAAATAATAGGATAAAGAATAAATCGATAAATTAAAAATTATGTTGAATGAAATTTCGAAAACTAAAAATTATGCGAAATGATGTTTCGATGATAAGAATTTCGATGTTTTGAACATTAGGAAATTGAAATTTGAGGAATAATCATTATGCGCCCCCTTTTAAACAATATTGAATTTTTGCGAAGAAAACTTTTGAAAATAATTGAATTTTTGCAATAATTTGTAACTTTAACAAAATTAAATTTCTTTTTGTGTTTTTAACTAAACATATATCTACTATAAATCAATTATTTTTAATAATTTTTAAAAAAGTTCTTTAAGAATTTACAAATTCATATTTATTTATAATTCAATTTTACAAAATTTTTAATTATTCGTAAATTCTTCAATTAAATATATATATTAGAAAATAAAAACTGTATAAATAATTTCAAAAATTTCTCAAAAAAAAAATTAATTCCACAGAATTTTTAGTTAAAAATATGAGAAATTCAAATTTTCAAAGATTTTAATCTGAAACCTTTTTAAAATTCAATTATTTCTAAAAATTTACGCTCTTAATGCTTTTAAAATTCAATTATAATCTTAAATTTTAACTGAAATCTATTTTTAAGGGTATTTGAAACTTGATGACGTCACACATGCTTTGCACAAACTGAAACGTCATCAAGGTTCAAATGCCCTTAAAACAATTTAAATTGAATTCCTCGGATGAATTCAAATATTTTTTAATATTTCCATAAATTTCAATTATGTCCAAAAAATTTTAATAAATTCTTTGAAACAATTTTTATAAATATTAGTAAAATTCTCCGCAAGAATTCAATTATTTTCAATACACTTTTAATAAAATTCTTCTTCATAAAATTCAAATGCTTTCAAAATTTTCAATTAAAATTATTTAAAGAAACTCCATTAGTTTCAAAAAAAAAAAAAAAATTCAAAGAAATTCTTGAAAAGAATTTAATTAGGATTTTAAAAAATTTTTAATAAAATTCTTTGTGAGAATTTCAGTTATTTTCCTAAATAATAAAATTCTTTGAAGGAATTCTATTATCATCAAATTTTTTTAATAAAATTCTTTGCAACAATTCGATGATTTTCAATATAATAATTTTAAAATTGAAAATATTTGAAAAGAAAAATTATAAAAAAAAGTTAATAATAATGCAATTTATTTTGCATTATTTTTGTTTATGAATCACAATTTTTTTAAGAAAATTATTTTTTTGTTTTAGAAAAAGAAGAAAAATATTTGCAAAATTCCTATTTTTTAAATCTTATTTTTGGAACAAGGATTTTCCACAGGAATTAAGACATTCAAAACTTTCGAATTCAAACATTTTTTAAATTAAACAATACTTATAAAAGTATTTTTTGGGGGAAATTTTATTAAAATAGTAGATATTGAAAATCATTGAAATTAGAAAAATGCATTTTATTTTTGAAAATAACATTGATATTAGGACAAGAATTTTTTTGACATTTAGGAAAATAATTCAAGTTTGGAGAAGAATTTTGTTACTTATAAAGATAATTGGGATTTTTACAAAATTTTTTTTTCAAATTTTGTACATAGTTGAATTTTATTTATTTATTTTTTTTAAATAGTTGAATTTCTGCAATTATTTATAATTTCTCCAAAATTGAATTTTTTTAGTGTTTTCAACAAAAATTTGAATTAGAAAGTTTTCAAATTCTATTATTTTTAAAATTGGTAATTTTATTTAAAAATATTTAAATATATTTATTCGCAAAAACAAAATTCAGTAAATGCTGAATATTAGTACAATGGAACAAGACAAACTTTTATTTAATTTCGCAACATTGTTTGAGATAAGTGGTAAGAATCTCAACGTGATTATAAGACTAGGACTGTAATTAGCTTCCACCGAATTTTGAAATAGTACAAGGTGAATTTATAATGATAATCTAAAGTCAAGAGCAATTTTGAGAATTTAGCATATAAACATCTGCGAAAGGTAAAAACAAATTAGATACATTTATATCACTGAAATAGAGTGCGAAGTATATAAAAGAGAACTAATTCCTACTTTCTGTTTTCTTGCTGCATCTATACTAGCACCACAAATTCATAATCGACATTTTTTTTTTAAATATGATACTATTCTTTTTAATCCTAATTTTCGGACTACTAACTATCTATCATCTAACTGTACATTATGGAAAATGTGGAAGACTCATTAACAAAATTCCAGGACCCAAAAATCTACCAATTTTTGGTAGCGTCTTTGGTTACATGGTACCAACAGGTAAAATTTAAACTCTCAGTTTTGATAAAATTTTACTTTCATTAGAATTTTCAGTTTCGAAAAAAATTGTTCGTGTGTTGTTAACAGAAGAGAATTAAACAAGTGTATGTTCCAGAAATTATTTTTATCTATATTTTCAAATTATTTCTAGATGAATTATGGATAGCTCACAGAAAAATTAACGCGACGTATTATCCAATCAATAAAGTTTGGCTTGGAAGCACTCCAGTTATAAGTATTTACCATCCAGACGATGTTCAGGTAAACTATATAATTTTTTTTTTTTTAATTTTTCACCTATTTTGAAAATTTTACTTATTTTCAGATATTGCTCAGTAGTTTTAAACATACAGAAAAAAGTATGTTGTATAAATTTTTACATCCTTGGTTAGGATCTGGATTACTCACCAGTTCGGGTAAGAATATTTTCAGAAACAAAAATCGTGTAAATTTTAATATTAATTTTAAAAAAAAAATTTTTTTTTTAAAATTAAAATCTATCAAAATTTACTAAGTAGAAAAAAATTAAAAAAACGAATATAGATTTTATTACAAAAGAATTTTTTTTTTTAGGTATCAAGTGGCAAAGACGAAGAAAATTGTTGACACCAGCTTTTCATTTTGAAATTTTACGAGGTTTCATTCACGTCTTTAACAAGCAGGGGGAAATTTTAATAAACCGACTAAAACAACAAGGCGAAGAAGTGATTCAGAATATTGTACCAATTTTCACCGAATGTACGTTAAATTCAATTTTAGGTAAGAAAATAATAAAAAAAATAATACTATGTACATTTCGAAACTTCGAGGGATCCAAAATAAAAAATAATTTTTATCATTTTAACAGAAACAGCAATGGGCACAACATTAGATGAAAAAAGTACAAGAAATTTATATGGATCGGCAATTCGACAAATTTCTGACAATTTATTTTTTCGGTAAAAAAGATTATTTCAAAAATAATAATTTAGTTAAAAAATCAATTTTTGCAAATTTAAACAAACAAAAATTACGAATTACCTAATAAGCTTAATTTTTTTTATGCAAGAGCTTTAAGACCATGGCTTCATTTAAATAAAATTTTTAACATTACTCCAACGGGAATGAAGCAACAAAAATTAATTAATATACTACATGGATTTTCTAATCAAGTAAGAATTTGGAAATTTTCATTTTTGAAATTTTTTTAAACTAATATTTTTACTTTATAGTTTTTTTTTTAAATTCTTCAACTAGATTAAAATTAATTATTTTGTTTTGAAGATTATTAAAAATCGAAAAAAAGATAAAGAACGTATTTCGAGAATGAATGATGATAAATCTTTTGCAGATGCTAAAAATTCGGGTAAATATATGAATATTATTTTTTTGTCATTGGATTTTTTAAAAAAATTGAAAATAATTCGAATTATATTTATAGAATATAAAATGGCACTGCTTGATATTCTGATAAAAGCTGCGGAAAAAAATCCTGACGTTGATGATGTTGCTATTAGAGAAGAAGTGGATACATTTGTCTTTGAGGTGAGGAAATAATTTTTTATAATAATACGGTAAATATTTAATTATTATTATTTTTTTAATAGGATTTAAGATTTTGAAAAGTTTTAAATTCAAACCTTTTTGAATATTAATCAAATTTAAAAATATTAAAAATAAAGAAATTTAATTAAAATTCTTTGCAAAATTCAATTATTTTCATAAATAACAATATTAATCGCGAGAATAAAATTCTTAAAGATAATCAAAGATAATTAAAGATTAAAGATGATCGAGTGATAAACTAATTATTTTATATTATAAGAATATTGTTACTGTAAATTCTTAAAAATTATTTTCATACTCTATTATCTGAAATTTAAACAAAAATTCATTTTCAAATCAATTTTTATTAGAAAATTCTATGAGAATTTAATTATTTAAATACAAAAGTAAATTATTTCTTGAATAATTGAATGTTTCTTAAAATTTAATTCTTATAGAGAATTTTATTAACAAATTTTTAAATAATTAAATTCTTTTAGCGAATTTTAATAAAATTTTTTAGAATCATTACATATTTAGAGGAATTACAAGTAGTAAAATTTCTCAAAAGAATTAATTTTGTTTTGTTTATTTATTTATTTAATCATGAACGGGTTTGAATAAATTATATTTTAATAAATAATAAATCGATTATTTGGAAATTCATTTTTAAATCAATTTTTATTAGAAAATTCTACGAAAATTCAATTATTAAAATTCAAAAATATATAATTTGCTGAATAATGAAAAATGTTTGTTAAAATTAAATTCTCATAAAGAATTTTATCAACAAATGATGATTAAAATTGTATGAAAAATAATTGAAATTCTATGATAAGTTTTTATTAATTTATAAAAATAAAATTTTCAATTAAAATTATTAAAGAAATTCCATTAGTTTAAGAAAAATTCAAAGAAATTCTTCAAACGAATTTAATTAGAATTTTTAAAAATTTTAATAAAATTCTTCGCGTGAATTCAGTTATTTTTCTAAATAATAAAATTCTTTGAAGGAATTCTATTATTATCAAACTTTTTCGATAAAATTCTTTGCAACAATTCGATGATTTTCAATACATTTATTTTAAAATTGAAAATATTTAATATTAATATTTAATTTAATAAATAATAATTTAATTTAATAAAAGTTTTTAGAATCGTTACATTTATAGAGGAAATTACAAGTAGTAAAATTTCTCAAAAGAATTAATTATTTATTTATTTAATCATAAACGGGTTTGAATAAATTATTTTATAAAATAATAAATCGATTATTCGGAAATTCATTTATAAATAAATTTTTATTAGAAAATTCTACAAAAATTCAATTATTAAAATTCAAAAATATCTAATTTATTGAATAATGGAAAATGTTTGTGAAAATTAAATTCTCACAGAGAATTTTATCAACTAATTTTTAAACAATTGAATTCTTTTGACGAATTTTAATAAAAATTTTAACATTAATTATTACATTTTTAGAGGAATACGATTTAAATTATATCAAAAATAATTGAAATTCTATGATAAGTTTAATTAATTTATATGAAAATAATTGAAATTCTATGATGAGTTTAATTAATTCATGAAAATAATTAAAATTCTATGATGATTTTTATTAATTTATGAAAATAATTGAATCTCTGTAAAAAAAATTTACAATTTATGAAAATAATTGAATTATTGCGAAAAAATTTATAAAAAATTTGTAAATAATTTGAAATTCTGGTAAATTTTTATCATTTATGAAAATAATTAAATATTTTCGTAGAATTTTATTAAAATTTTTTTAAATAATTGAATAATTTCAACGTAAAATCTTGCAGTTTATAAAGATAATTGAAATCATGATGAGAATTTTTTTTTTTAATTTTTGCAAATAATTGAATTTCTGAAAAGAATTTTATTCTCGTGATTAATATTGTTATTTATGAAAATAATTGAATTTTGCAAAGAATTTTATTAAAATTCTTGAAAACAATTGAATTTCTAGGAAGAATTTTGATATTTATCAAAGATAATTGATTTCCTTCTAAGAATTGCCTTAAAATTTTTGGAAATAATATTAAATACATATTAAAAAATTCAACTAATTTCAATAGGATTGAAATTAAAATTGTATTAAAAATAATTGAAATTCTGCGATGAGTTTTATTATTTATGAAAATAATTGAATCCATGTAAAAAATTTTATTTACGAAAATAATTGAATTATTGAGAAGAAACTTATAATAAATTTGTAAATATTTAAATTCCTGTGAAATTTTTATTATTTCTGAAAATAATTAAATGTTTGCGTACAATTTTATTAAAATTATTTTTAAATAATTAAATTCCTTTCTATTTTATTAAAATAGTACCTGCATATTGAGAATCATTGAAATGAGGAAATTTTTTGAAAATAATTGAAATTTTGACGAGAATTTTATTAAAATTTTTTGAAAATATAATTAAATTTTGAAGAATTTTTTTATTTATAAAGATAATAATTAGGATTTTGTCGAGATTTTTTTTGTAAATTTTGAACATAATTGAATTTTGTAATAAGAATTTTATCACTTTCGAAAATATGTCATTGAATTTGTACAATCATTCGTAACTTCTTCAAAATTCAATTTTTTTTTAGTGTTTTTGACTAAAACTCTTCTATAAATCCATTATTTTTAATAATTAATTAAATATATTGACAAATTTAACTAATTTTAGAAGATTTTGAATTATTAAAATTTTTCAAAAATCTAAGTTCATTAAAATTTTTAATTAAATTCATTCAACATTGAAATTTTATAAAAATATTAATAGAAACCATTTGAAATTCATTTATTTATGAAAATTGTAAACGGAACTCTTTTAAAATTGAATTAATTTTGAAATATTTAAATAAATTTAGTCATTAAATAATTTATTTATTTTATGATAGTTGTTCAAGATTTGAGTTATTGAAAACGAAATTTTTGTCAAAAATTGAAAAAAATGAAGGTTTTGTATTAGAATTCGTGTTAATTTTATAGTTTATGAATCAAACAAAAAAGACACAAAAATTCAGAATTTTCTTAGGAATTTTAAAAATTTAACTTTAATTTCCCTGAATTCCCTACGTCAGAATATATTATTATTATTATTGTAATAATATTAAAACTATATATTCCAATTTATATTTCATTTAAAAAAAAAAATTTGAATTAAAAATTTTTGCCTTCTATTATTTTTAAAATTGCTAATTTTATTTTAAAAAGTGAGTGAGTGAGTCATAATGAAACCCCTAGTTTCTAAATCAAAAAATGTTTCTTGACTTTAGGGTCATGATACAACAGCAATGGGGACTTGTTTTACAATATTACTTTTAGCTGAACATAAAGAAATCCAGGTACCTATGAAATATCAATTTTTTTAAAATTAATTCTAAACTGTATAACTTAGTATTAAAATTATTCTGTATTAAACAAAAAATTATTCCAAAATTATCCTAAAATTAATTTTATCAAAAAAAAAAAAAAAAAAAAAAAAACTTTTTTTTCTTTTCAGAAAATAGCAAGACAGGAAGTTTGTGAAATTTTCAATGAATGTTGCGGAAAAATTGGCATGAAGGAAATTAATCAATTTACATATCTCGATCGTTGTGTGAAAGAAGCACTTCGTTTATTTCCAGGTGTTCCTGGTATAGCACGAGTTCTTCATGAAGATCTTCAACTCAGTAAGTTGGGAATTTTTTTTTTTGAATTTTATCTTGAGATCAAAATCAATATTAGAAATTTTAAAAAATACTTTGGTGCAAATAAAAAATTATATGTTTTGTTAATATTTCTACATTTATGCGAATTTTATCTTTAAATTTTGAATTTTTAGAAAATTATCTAGCCCCAGCTGGAACAAATATTCACTTGCATATATTTGATCTTCATCGAGATGAAAATTTTTGGCCAGATCCACTTGTTTTTGATCCAAATCGATTTTTACCGGAAAATGTACAAAGAAGACATTCATTTTCCTATGTTCCATTTAGTGCCGGTCCTCGAAATTGTATAGGTAACAATATTACAGAATTTACAATCAAAAATCGCTCAGAAAAAATTTCAAATCTTTTTTATGAATATAATAAAATTCTTCTTCAAAATTCTAATAATTTCAAAAAAAATTTTTTTTTTTTATTTATTTGTATTTTTTTTATTATTTTTTTTTTTCATAAGTTTTAATTATTTTCAAAAAATTTCCTCAATTCAATGATTTTCAATATCTAATATTTTAATAAAATTTTCCAATGAATTCAATTATTTACAAAAAAAAAAATTTGAATAAATTCTACGCAAACATTTAATTAATAAATAATAAAAATTTCACAGGGTGTTCAATTACTTTGAAATTCGTTATAAATTTCTTCGCAATAATTCAATATTATCTGCGGATAAGAAATAAAATTTTTACAGAGATTCAATTTTTTTTATAAATACTAAAATTCTTTTCAAAAATTCTTTTTTTTGTAAAAAAAAAATAAAATTCATTTTTGAATTTAAATCCTACTCCCTATTTTTATAAATAATAAAACTCATAGCAGAATTTCAATTATTTTTCATACAATTTTAATCTAATTTCTCAAAAAATGTAATTATTCTTAAAAATTTTATTAAACTTTATTGAAAGAATTCAATTATTAAAAAAAAATTAATTAATTATTAATTCAATTATTTAAAAATTTGTTTATAAAATTCTTCAGAAGAATTTAATTTCAAAAAATATTCAATTATTCAATAAACTATTTATTTTTGGATTTGAATAATTGAATTCTTGTAGAAATTTGCAATAAAAATTAATTTAAAAATAAACAGTTAAAATTTCATATAATTTTTTTTTTTTTTTTTTTTTATTACTGCTTTATTGAACATCTTAGATAATAATTGAATATTAAAAGCATTATAGTATGAATTTTTTAGAAATATTGAATTTTGAAAAGGTTTTTTTTTATTTTTGGAAAAATTTAATTATTTTCAAGTTTCAATTGGTTTCAAACGTAATAAAATTCTTCGCAGAAATTCAATTATTTTCAAAAATTTTAATAAAATTCTGGATCAAAATTTCAATTATATTTCAATAAATTTTCATATAATTCTACGAAGTCATTATTTTATTTTCACAAATAATAAAAATTTCACAAAAATTCAATTATTTACAATTTTTTTAATATATTTTTTCGTAATAATTCCACTTTTTCATAAATAATAAAATTCATCGCTGATTTTCAATTATTTTAGATACAATTTTAGTCGAATTACTCAAAAAAATGAATTTTTTTCATAAAAACTATTAAAATTGTTCGAAATAATTCAAATATTTAAAAATTTGTTTATAAAATTTTTTATCTGAATTATTCAATTTTAAGAAGTTATCAATTATTCAATAAATTTTTAGTTTTTGTATTTCAATAATTTAATTCTCGTAGAATTTTCTAATAAAAATGAATTTAAAACTAAATTTCAATTAAAATTTTAATTTTTTTTTTTTTATTAATGCTTTATTAAACATCTTAGGTAATAAATGAATATTAAAAGCATTATAATTATAATTATAATTTTTAATTTTTTTTTTAATTTTTAATTTTTTTTTTTTTTTTTTTCATTATAATTTTTAGAAATAATTGAATTTTTTTTTAGGTCAGAAATTTGCCATGATGGAAATAAAAGTTCTTGTTGCAAATCTACTTTTTAATTTTGACATGGAAACACTGGACTCATTTCAAAATATTAAACTTCTTCAAGATATTATAATTAGACCAGGTCAACCGATACGAGTCAAATTCGTTCAAAGGAGTCTTCCAATTTTATAATCTTATATTACTATTTTCATAACAATATAAAGCTACCTGTATGACATAAGTGAGACAAAAAATATTTTATAAAAAATAAATAATATTTTGATTTCCATAAATAATCACCTCTTGTTTTTTTTTTTTTTTTTTTTTTTTTTTTTTTAATATTATTAATAATTAATTATTAATTTGTTTATAACTTGTCACTATAACTATTGGCAATTTTTATCAAAAAAAATTATTTTTTATATGCAATAAATTGCAATTTTTTTGCGACACTGAAATTGTAATGTAACATTTTATTATTAAACTGTTCTGCGCTTCGTTCAAACAAAGAGAAAGTAAATGAGAGAAAATAAGAGTATCTCAAGAGTATGACCATTTTATCAAATCTTTAAAACTTGAAAATTTTTTTTTTTTATATAAGATAAGTGATGGAATTTTTTTTCAAAATAATATTTTTCATTAAAAGTATAAATACAAACGGAAAGAGCTTTCAAAAAAAAAAAAAATTTTTTTACTTTGAAAAAAAAGTTTAACTTTACTCTTAAATAAATTGAAATCTTTCCTTTTCAGTACTTTCAAGAATTGAGATAAAATACTTTCAGATAAAATAAAATCAGTCGGTGGTAAACAGTGATTCGAAGTGTCACGTTATTATATTCGTTGTAAAAACATACTTAAGTTTAATTTTTGACAAATTTTTTAATTTTCTCTTTATTTTCTAAAATTTTAGTTCTTATAATGCAAAAAATCTAAAAAAATGATATTTTATATTCTCATTCTCAGCGTTATTTTATTGTCACTTTATCATTATTCTATTCATCATGGAAGAAAGGGGAAATTAATTAATAAAATTCCGGGTCCAAAGACAATTCCAGTCTTGGGAAATTTGCATCAATTTTTTTTACCTTCAGGTAAAAATAGAAAATAATAATTTCCATTTTTCTTTTAAATTCTTAATTTAAAATTTTTACCTTTATAAATTTTTCCAATTTATTTATAAATACATACTGAGATTCTGAAAATTGAAAATTTATTTTAATTACAAAGTAAAATTCGGCGTTTCGATAAATTTTTATATTATTCAAAATTAAAACATTTTTTTTTTAAACATTTTTTTATAAACATTTTTTTAAACATTTATTATTAAAAATTTCCGTGAATTTAAAATTAATTTTAGATAAATTATGGACTGCTCAAAGGGAACTGAGCAAAAATTTTTATCCAATAAGTAGAATTTGGATGGTCAATATGAGTGGTATTGGAATTTGTCACCCAGATTATATTCAGGTAAAAATTATTTTAAGAGAAAAGGAAAATATTTTCGGTTTTTCAAAATCTACATAAAAAATCAAAATTTATAAAACAAAAAAAAAAGAGGCATAGTATAAAATTGAAATTTATTTAAGAAAATTGAATGGAAATTTTTTTTTTAATAAAAAATTTAAAAAAAAAATAATTTAATAAATTTTTTTTTTTTATATACCTAAATATAGAGAAAGAATCAAATATTTTTTTTCATTATTATTTTTTTTTTTTGTGTCTAAACGATAGTTACTCAAAGTAAATTGAAAGCGACAAGAATATTATTTCTTTATCGCTTATTTATAAATAAATAAAAACAAATATAAAAAATATTAAGATTATTATTTCAAATTTTTTAGATAGTACTTTCAAGTACAAAACATATTGAGAAAAGTATTATTTACAAATTTTTACACCCTTGGCTTGGAACTGGATTACTGACTAGCACTGGTAAAGGAATAAAACGAAAAATTAAATTTATTCAAATTTTTTTATTTATTTTAAAAAAATTTATTCAAATTTTTTATTTATTTTAAAAAAATTAAAAAAAAAAATTTTTTTTTATTTTTTAAAAAAAATTAAAAAAAAATTTTTTTTAAATATTTTTTAAAATATTTTTTTAATAAAAAATTTTTTTAGGCGAAAAATGGCAAAGGAGACGAAAAATGTTAACACCAGCCTTTCACTTCAGCATACTTCAAGGATTTGTTGATATTTTTATTGAGGAGTCACAAAAACTCGTTTATTCATTAAAAACAGAGGGGTCGGAATTTATAAAAAATATTGAACCACTTTTCACAAAATTCACACTAAATGCAATATGTGGTAGGTAAATAATACAAAAAATAAAAAAAATAATGTAATAATAATGTAATCATAATAATAAAAAAAAAAAAAAAAAAAAAAAAAAAACAAAAATTACAGAAACAGCTATGGGATCATCACCAGAAAAAATAGACGATAAAGGCGAATATAGATCGTCCGTTCAAGAAATGGGAAATTTTGTAGTATATCGGTAACATTAACCTAAATACTCAAATATAAACATGTGTTAAAATTTTTTCAGGTAAATTAAAATAAATTTAAAAATAAAATCATATAATTTTTTTTAGAATCCTAAGACCCTGGTTTCATTTGGATTGGTTGTTCAATCTAAGTCCATGGTCAATTCATCAGAGGAAAATTTTAAAAACATTACACGATTTTTCCACAAAAGTAAGTAGTGAAATTTTTTTTTTTTGCAAATTTTTGAAGAAATAAAGAAATTTTATCACTTATATTAGGTAAAAATATTAAATATTTAAAAAAAAAATTTTATTTACAGATTATTCAGGAGAGAAAGAAACATCACGAACAAACTTTACAGAAAAATGAAAATCAATTTACTGACAATAATGAGGAATTTGGAAGTGAATAATTTTCAGCAAAAAAATATTTTTCTATAGTTTTTAAATATCTATAATGAATATTTTGATTTTTAACGAATATTTGTATTCTAGAAGAAAGAAAGAGAATGGCAATGCTGGATGTTTTGATTTCTGCCTCTAGAAATGAATCTTGTATTGATGATGAAGGAATTCGAGAGGAAGTTGACACTTTTGTTTTTGAGGTATTAAATAACGTTTTGGAAAATTTACCCTAAAATATTTTCTTTATTGAGTATTGATAATAATTTTGATTTTTTTAATAAGGGACATGACACGACAGCAATGTCGTTAATATTCACCCTTGCATTATTAGCCGAACATTCAGAAATTCAGGTACGTTATTTATTTATTTTATTTATAAAAAAAAAAAAAAAAAATATATATATATATATATATAATAAAAAATAATAATAATGATAATAAATAATAATAACAATAACAATAATAATAATAATAATAATAATAATAATAATAATAATAATAATAATAATAATAATAAATATATAAAAAAATTTTTTTTTTTTTTTTTTTTGAAAAAAAAATTATATTAAAGTTTCTTCTAGAAAACTGCAAGAGCAGAAATTTGTGAGATATTAAATGAGAGTAGAGGAAAAATTGGCGTTGGGGAAATAAATAAATTTGTCTATTTGGAAAGATGCATTAAAGAATCATTAAGACTGTATCCTAGTGTGCCAACTATAACTCGTGTTGTTCACGAAGATCTTCAACTTAGTAAGACAAATAAAATATAAATTAATTATAATTCAAAAACTACAAATAACTCAATAAATTATTTATTATAATATTAATTATAATCATAATTTATTATAATATTATTTTTTTTTTTTTTTTTTTTTTTTTTTTTTTTAGAATCTTAAGGTAATTTTACTATTTTTTGCAGAAGAATTCATAGCGCCAGCTGGTTCTAATCTTCATTTGTACATCTATGATCTTCATCGTGATCCAAATTATTGGCCAAATCCGGAAAAATTCGATCCAGATAGATTTTTACCAGAGAACATTAGAACGAGACATCCATTCTCTTACGTACCGTTCAGTGGAGGACCTCGTAACTGTATTGGTAATGTTTTGTTACTAACTTTTAAAAATATGTACAAGTTATTGTTTTATTACAAATTTCTATTTTTATTCTCACATTGAAATTTTAATTTTTTTTTTTTACTAAAATAAACAGGTCAGAAGTTTGCAATGTTGGAGTTAAAAACTTGTTTAGCACATCTACTTTACAATTTTGAATTGGAGGCGATAGATTATGCTCATGAAGTTGTTATAATGCAAGATTTAGTCCTTCGACCCAAGCATCCTGTACGTGTAAAATTCACATCGATAAATAAAAATTTTTAAACAGTAAACAAATTATTATTTTTTTGTTAATTTTTACAGCCTAATAGAATTAAAAACTTATTGTAAATTATAGTCAAAAATTTGAAAAATTCTTAAAAATTTGCTGAAAAAAAATTAAATTTTTAGAATTCATAAGAAAATTTCTCGCATAAATAAATGAACTTCAAACGATTTTAATTTGAAATTTTATAAAATTTCAATGTTAAATAAATTTAATTAGAAATTTTAATGAACTTTAAATTTTAATAATTGAAAATTTTAATAATTCAAAATATCTTAAAATTAATTAAATATGTCAATATATCTTTAATTAATTATTAAAAAAATGGATTTATAGAAGAATTTTAGTTAAAAAAACACTAAAAAAAATTGAATCTTGAAGAAGTTAGAAATTATTGCAGAAATTCAATTATTTTCAAAAGTAATAAAATTCTTATCACAAAATTCAATTATTCAAAATTTACAAGAAAATCTTGACAATATCTCAATTATTATCTTTATAAATAAAAGAATTCTTCTTTAAAAATAATAATAATTTCACAGAAATTCAAAGATTTAGAATATTTTTATTATTTTCTTTTCAATAATTCAATTATTTTTGTAAATAGAATTTTTCACATGGATTCAAAAATAATAAAACTCATCGCAGAATTTCAATTATTTTTAATTCAATTTTAATTTCAATCCTATTGAAATGATAGTTGAATTTTTTAATATGTATTTAATATTATTTCCAAAATTTTAAGGCAAATTCTTAGAAGGAAGAATAAATAAATAAATATCAAAATTCTTTCCAAAAATTCAATTGTTTTCAAGAATTTCAATAAAATTCTTTGCAAAATTCAATTATTTTCATAAATAACAATATTAATCACGAGAATAAAATTATTTTCAGAAATTTCCAAAAAATTTAATTTTAACAAGAATTTAAAATTCTCTAAAAATAATTCAATATTATTCTCAAAATATTTAAATTCTATATATAAAAATTAAATTACTTTCAATGAAATTTTTAAATATATTCGTAAAAAAAAATTGAAATATTTCAATTACTGTCAAAAAATTCTTGTGATGAATTCAATTATTTTCGAAAAAACTTATATTAATTGAATTTTTCGAAAAAATTGCATTATTTTCTAAATATTTCTATAAAAATCTTCATAAAAATTTAATTATTTCTTAAAATTTTAATAAATTCTTCGAAACAGTTCAATTATTTTTATAAATATATATAGTAAAATTTTTCGCAATAATTCAATTATTTTTATAAAATGTGTAAAATCCTTTGCAGAAATTCAATTCTTTTCAAAACAATAATTTTAATAGAATTCCTCGAAATAATTTAAATTTTCAAATATTAACATAAAAGTAATTTATTTTTAAAAATTTTAATAAATTCTTTAGAACAATTTAATTATTTTTATAAATAGTACAATTCTTCGCAAGAATTCAATTATTTTCAAATAAAGTTTTAATAAAATTCTTCCTCATAAAATTCAATTGCTTCCAAAATTTTCAATTTAAAAATTACTCTATTAGTTTAGGAAAAATTCAAAGAAATTCTTCAATAGAATTTAATGATTTTTAAAAATTTTAATTAAATTCTTCGTGAGAATTCAGTTATTTCGTTATTTGCCTAAATAATAAAATTCTTTAAGGGCATTTGAACCTTGATGACGTTACAGATTATGCAAAGCATGTGTGACGTCATCAAGGTTCAAATGCCCTTAAAGGAATTTTAATATTATTAAATTTTTGATAAAACTCTATGCAACAATTCGATGATTTTCAATACATTAATTTAAAAATTGAAAAAAGTTGAAAAGAAAAAATTATAAAAAAGTAAATTTGTAAATCATTAAAATTCTGGTAAATTTTTTATTATTTTATGAAAATAATTAAATGTTTGCGTAGAATTTTATTAAAATATTTTTTAAATATAATTGAATTTTAACGTTATTAAAATTAAGTAGGTATATTCAAAAATCAAAATAATTGAATTCATCACAAGAATTTTATTATTTTTTTGAAAATAATTGAATTCTTTCAATTCTTTTGACGAATATATTTAAAAATTGCATTGAAAGTATGTAATTTAATTTTTATATAGAATTTTTTAAAAATATTTTGAAAATAATTGCGAATTATTTTTAGAGAATTTTAAATTCATGTTGAAATTGAATTTTATGGAAATTTTTGAAAATAATTAAATTCTTTCGTGTAATTTTTATTTAAATTGCATTAAAAATTATTTAGTTCCTGCAAAAAAATTTTAGTATTTATAAAAATAGTTGAATTGTTTTGAAGAATTTATGAAAAGTTTAGGAAATAATTAAAATTTATTGGAAAGTAAACTTATTTCACTTTTTTATTTTTTAAAGTGTTACAGTAATGTCATCGATTGTAAATATTATTTTTTTGGGCCACAACACTTTAATGCCATGCCAAAGCCATTTTGCCCGCATTCTTCAAGTGTTGTCGGGTAAATAGTTCTTTTTCTACATCTGCCTATCATGCACTCCCCATCATCGTTGTGACATTTTTTAGGTGCAGGCGGAATAGGTGAATCTAAAATAAATCATATAAAAAATCAGCTTAAAACTTAAAAACGGTATAGCTATTAAATAAAATTGGAAAAATCGGTAAAAAATAAATCTATAAATCTTGTCAATTGAAAGGATACTCTCCCCGTAAATGTATAATATGAAAATCTAATATCTTAAAATAAATGAGAATATTATAATTTATTTTTTTACTTACATCCAAAGACGCTTTCAATCAGGAATATTAATGACAGGAGAATAAATAAATTTATTTTAAATGACATCTTGAATTGGAAAAACAGTAATAAGAATGTTTTAAATTATATATGTGAAAACCATGAATATTTTCCGTCTTTTATACAATTTTTTCAACTGATAAAGATAATTATATTTATAATTGTGGTTCAAGTTTTGTTTGTTTTTTTACTTTCTATATAACAATATTGCTATCATTTTTTATACAATGCGATAAAATAAATATAATTTTACCAACAATATTTTATGAAAATTATTTGTTTCGAAAAATTTGTAAATAATTTACAGTAACGATTTTTGAATCCCATGTGGAAGGGTTTCCAGGAAAATTTCTGGAAATTTTTGTTTGTACAGAAATTATTCGGAAATCTTCAAAAATTTATTTTTTTTGTACGGAAATCTTCCGGAAACTTTCCGGAAATTTATTTTTTTTTTTACGGAAATCTTCCGGAAAATTTCCAAGAATTTATTTTTTTTTACGGAAAGATTCCGGATATTTTTTTTTTTGTACGGAAATCTTCCGGAAATTAATTTTTTTACGGAAATCTTCCGGAAAATTTCCAAGAATTTATTTTTTTTACGGAAATCTTCCGGAAATTTATTTTTTTGTACGAAAATCTTCCGGAAAATTTCCGGAAATTTATTTTTTTTTACGGAAATCTTCCGGAAAATTTCCAAGAATTTATTTTTTTTTTACGGAAATCTTCCGGAAATTTATTTTTTTTACGAAAATCTTCCGGAAAATTTCCAAGAATTATTTTTTTTTTACGGAAATCTTCCGGAAATTTATTTTTTTTGTACGGAAATCTTCCGGAAAATTTCCGGAAATTTATTTTTTTTTTACGGAAATCTTCCGGAAAATTTTCGGAAATTTATTTTTATGTCAAATCCATTATTTTAAAGAAACTGAAAGAAATTCTTCAAAAGAATTTAATTAAGATTATGTAAAATTTTAATAAAATTCTTCCTAAATTCAATTATTTTCATAAACAATAAAATTCTTCGAAGAAATTCAATTATCAAACTTTTTGATAAAATTCTTTGCAAGAATTCAATTATTTGCAAATGTTTTATAAATTTTTTCGCAATAATTCAATTATTTAACAAGAAAATTAATAAAAGTTCTTCATAAGAATTCAATTATTTTTGCAAATTTTAATAAAATTCGTTGCAAAAATTCAATTATTTTAAAAAAGTTTGATAAAATTCTTCGAATCAATTCAATTATTTGAAAAAATTTTGAAAAAATTCTCGGCAAAAATTTCAATTATTTTCAAAAATTTTCCTCAATTCAATGATTTTTATAATATCTACTAAAATTTTTCAAAAGAATTCAATTATAAAAAATTTTATTGAAATTCTGCGCAAACATTTAATATTATATTCATAAAATAATTAAAATTTTACAAAGAATTCAATTATTTTCATAAATAATAATTTTTTTTAAGGAATTCAATTATTATTTTCATAAAAAATAATTTAAAATTCTAGAAAATAATAATTAAATTAAAATGATGAAAGTTTGATGAAGTTATACAGTAACAATATTCTTATAATGTAAAATAATGATTTTATCTCTCGGTCATCTTTAATTTATTAGAAAACATGAAGAAATCGATCACTTTGAGTCTTCGACTCGGAGCAATTGATATTTTCATGTTTTATAAACAATACTTTTATAAATTGTTTAATTTAAAAAAGTTTTGAATTTTGATTTTTTGAATGTCTTAATTCCTGTCGAAAATCCTGTTCCAAAGATAAGATTAAAATATAAATTTATTTATTTATTTACCATAATAAACGGGACATTTTTCTTCTTTTTCTAAAACAAAATAATAATTTTCTTTAAAAAATTGTGATTCAAAAAGAAAGTTATGAAAAATAATAATAAATTTTCTATTTCTTAATCACAGTTGTTTAGTAATTTTCTAATTTTTTTTTAGAAGTAAAGAACAAAAATAATTTCAGTTTGACAAAACATAATATTTAACAAAATTTTAGTCTTTTAATGAAAAGAAGTAAAAAAAATTCTGATGATTTCTATTTTCTGTCTAAAGTGAACAAAAAACAAAAGTATAAACAAAAGACAATTCTTCAGAGTGTGAGGGACAGAAAAAGTGAATGAAAGAATGAAAGAACATTCAAATTAATATAGTTAATTAATTAATAATTATTTAAATTATTTAAAAAAAATTTTTAATGATAAGAATTAAGTTATTTTAAAAAATTTTAATAAAACATTCTTTGGAAGAATTCAATTATTTTATTATAAACAGTAAAATTCATCGCAGGAATTCAATTAATAACTAATTTTGGTTTGTAATAAATATTACTAACAAAAAAATAAGTAAATTACTGTTTTCAGTGATATTTGCGAACAATCGTGAGATTTAAAAAAAAAACTTAATTATTTAATTATAATAAAATAATATTTTAGCACAAAAAACATATAATACAAAGTTTGACCTCAAAAGTAATAATTCTTTGTAAATTAGTATCTTTGATAAGTTAACTTTTCAACAGTCTTTCAAGAAACAATTAACATACATTACATTCTTTATGTTTTGCAAGAAAGTTAAATGAACCTTTAACGTTCAATTTTTAAATGGAACTGTAACAAAAATGTTAACATTAAAAAGATTATTTTCTTTAGAATTTATGTATTTTTCCTTGGTTCTTCAAAATGTAAAGTCGTTAAAAACAAGAAAAACTTTTTTTTTAATGTCAAATAAATTATTTTGCACATTTTTTTTTTTTTTGAAAAAATATTTAATAAAACAACTAGAAGAAAAAACAGTTTTATAACGAAGACTCAGTGACGAATATATAGAATTAAAAAAAAAAAGTCTAAATATTATTATGACGATGAATTATAGTTACAAAACATTTGAATTTACAATAGTCACAGAATGGAGTTTATATTCGTTAATTAACACTATTGAACTGAAAATTGCATTAAGTGTAATTACTTTCTTTTTAATTACTCTGATTCGCAATGCGATTAATGCTTAATAATAGAGAAAACTGAGAAAATTATTTATCCAATGTAAGTGTGACAGTTTTTTTTGAAAAGTAAGTATTTTTGATAAATAGTGTTTTTTTTCTCAAGATGTATGTCATTATATTTTTTTACGAATTTTAATATTTCAATATGATTTTCAGGAGAGTGGAAATCGACGTGATACTGTGAATCCTGTGAATGTGAAACACATTCGAGTTCCTCTTCTGGACAAAATAATAATAATAATAATGGAGATTTTAGACAATTTTTGTTAGACGTTTTTATTCGACGCTAGATATGTTGATTCATCTGTTTCTTTTAAAAAATGATACATTTTTATCAAAACTGATGCTTTTTTACAATCATAATACAAATCACGTTATTTTTCAAATAGGAGAGCTAAGTTTTTCACTTGATATACACAATAAAAAAAAACAATGGATATAGAACACTTAGTGACTCGCATTTTTGATTATTGCAGACTTTCTTACATACTTCATAATTTACCAATACCTAGTACAATCCCTGCTTTTCTAAAGTGCATAATGAATGTCTCTGAACAAACAATTTATACACAAAATTGCATTCGTACAAATTTTTCTATTTTAAATACTTTTTTCACGTGGCGAATTTGTTCAAAAATATAAATATTGTTTTATCCACTAGCATTAAAGGATAAATTCTGTTTTTTTACATTCTCATTTTTATTTTAAAAATGATTGGTTTAATATTAGGAAGTGTTGCAATAGCTTTATTAATTTTTCACTGTATCACTCATTATGATAAACGAGGTAGAATATTAAATAAAATTCATGGACCTGCAGTTCTACCATTACTTGGAAATGCACATGAATTTTTGAAACCCTTAGGTATGATAAATTTTAAAATTACAGAAAATCTAAAAAAAAAAAAATCTAAAAAAAAAAAAAAAAAAAAAAAAATCTAAATCTAAAAATCTAAAAATTTAAAAAAAAAATCTAAAATTTAAAAATAACTTAAGTATATTTAAAATTCAGCTAATTTTGTGAACAAATTGAGCAGCTTTTTTACTTTCATTTATTTATATTATTAATGTGAGAAAAATAATTGTATAGACGAAATTTGGAAGACACTGAGAAAAATCAATAAGGACTATTATCCAATTAATAGACTTTGGCTTGGAAGTATGCCAATAGTTGGTATTTATCATCCAGACGATGTAAAGGTAATTTTTATAAAGAAAAATTTTGAATTAAATAATTTGAATAATTGCTAAAATCCGAAGAGTTTAACTTATAAAAAAATAAAAAAGTACATAATTTTCTATCGTGGAAGAGGAAAAAAAATCACAACTTTTTCAATGAATATCCAGAAAAAAAGGAAATTATTATTTTAGATTTTGCTGAGTAGCACGAAACATATAGAAAAGGGTGAAATCTATAATTTTCTACATCCTTGGCTTGGCACAGGATTGTTGACAAGTAAAGGTAAAATTACAGTAACCACTTTTTTTAAAAAATATTTTTCCTAGAATAGAATTAAATAAGGAAAGAATAAATAAGAAAAAATAAATTAAACAAATAAGAATAATAATTCTACAGGAGAAAAATGGCAGACAAGGAGGAGAATGTTAACACCAGCTTTTCATTTCAATGTCCTACAGGAATTTTCAGACATATTTGTTGAACAATCAGAAGTACTCGTTAAAAAATTAAAAACCGAGGGAAGTGAAGTTACTAAAGATATTGTACCACTACTCACAAGATTTACTTTAGATTCCATTTGTGGTAAGAAATTGAGTTAATAATTAAAATTAAATAAATAAATTTATAATAAATAAATTAAATTTAATAAATTTTTTTTAAAAATATTAAAAGACTACCCCTTTAGTGATATATACATAATAATAAAAATAATAATCAAATATTTTTAGAAGCCATAATGTTAATAAAAATATGTACGAATTCTTTTATGATTATTATTCTTTTATAATAATAAAATATTTATAATATTAAATAAGTTAAAAGTACTAATATTATATTTTTTGTTGTATAACTATTATTATTATTCTTATATAGCCTTTTTGAATTTCCCTGCCAAAAATAATTATTATTCACATTTTACAATTCAATTTTTTTTTCAAGTTCAGAGTAAAAATTAATTAAGAATTAAAACAATCATAAACGGTATAATAAAAACAGTGAAGACTTGAGAAATTGCATGCAATGTCTTCATTTGTCAATGTACACCTTTATGACCTTATACAATGTATAATTTAATTTTAGCTTGATCATGATGACAAGTCGAAGAATTCAAACGTCGACATGTTTTCAAGAATAATAAGAATTGCCAATAAATCATTTCTATACTTTTTGTTTATTTCTCATGTGAAATTATTATATAAAACCTGCCCCTTTAATATCAGAAGTCAGAACCTTTCGCTCTGTGAATAAATCAGGTTTGAATCACCGATGTCGGGATGACAATTTAAATAAATAATTTTAGGTTATGTTGGTATTTCGTTTTGAGACATAACATTAAATTAATATTTAATTGTTATTGTAAATTTTAATTTTACATCAATACAATGTATTTATAACAGCATACAGTAATGTATTTTTTTTTTCAAAAACATAAGTTTTACACACGAATCCCAATTTTTAAATGTGAAGCTCCATATATGATTCAGTTTTATAATTAATTTTAGTTCATTGTAAATAATATTTTTTTGCGCACATTTTAACACTTGGTTTAAACTGATAAAATGTATATATATTATTATAGAAACAGCAATGGGTACAGAGTTGGATGAAAAGAAAAATGAGAAAGAATATCGAGATGCTGTACAAGAATTAGGGGACCATTTTCTCCACAGGTAATCATTATCATCATCATTCACTTCTTACATGAACCTTAATTTTTTTCTATAATTATAATTTTTGTAGATCTTTAATATAAAGTTTTATTTCCCTTTACTTTATTTTTATATTCTGAATTAGATTAGTAAGACCATGGTTACATCCAAATTGGATGTTTAATATTTCTTGGACAGGAATTCGTCAGAGAAAAGTTCTTGAAACTCTGCATCATTTAACAAACAACGTAAGTTGTTACACCATACAAAATAGTGTTTATATGGTATACCTAGTATTTTATAAATAAAGTTAAAATTTTCCAGATAATAGCTCATCGAATACGTTATCATGAACAAAAATCAAAGCAACGGAAAAATTCCAACTCTTCTCAAACAGAATTTGGTAAATTAGCTCTTACACTGGTTTTTTAATACAGTTTCAGAAAAAAGAGTATCAGAGTTTTTTCCAATCATGATTGTGAGTTTTTTTTTCGTTAATTAGGCATGAAGAAACGAATGGCTATGCTCGACATTCTTATAACGGCTTCAAAAACAGAAGGTTCTATTGATGACGTTGGCATTAGAGAAGAGGTGGACACTTTTGTTTTCGAGGTAAATATTTTTCAGAAATTATTACTTACTAGAACCAAAAGGGCGCGCGTTGCGCGCCCACTCCTGGTCTTTGACACACAAAATAAAACCTTAATGTAACCTTAAATTAAATGTGAATTAAATAAAAACATATGTTTATATTTTAAAAATTATTTTTCTGTTCATAAGATTGTTTAAAATTTTTTTATGTTTTTAAATCTAAGTTTGACGAATTAAATTTTCTATAAAAAAATACACGTTAATGCCTATAAAAAATTCTCATCCTGGAGAAAATCACCTTTAAAATAAGCCTAAAATCATTAAAAAGCATTCAGTATTTTAGAAGTCATTAAAATTTTTGTAAAACATTGAAAATTATCATTTTTTAAAAATGTCTAAATAAAATATTGATCAAATGACTTGAAAAATTATGTACAAACTACAAGGATTAATTTAAAAAAAGAAAAATCAGTAACCTTCTATATTATAGAAATTGTGTAGATTTTTCTGCCAAAATACAGGCGAAATTTTTTTAAAATTAATACTTTGAGTTTTGCACATCAATACAGGGTAATTTAATTTTCCCAAAATATTGAGAACATTCTTGAATTTGCAATTGTTTTAAAGAATTGTTAATAACTATTCTAAAATTTCATTTTATAACAATCCCTTTATTTTATCATTAAAGTATAGACTTTAAGCTTTAATTACAAAAAATTACTAAATTATTACTTCCTCATAGAGGAAGTATTGTAATACTAAAATTTTTCGAGTTCAATTTTTTGATATATCTTCATGTTATTTGACCTCAGGAGTTGCGGACATAAAGTGAGAGTACTTTGTGATAGAATAATAAAGTTTAACTAAATTTTTTTTGGATTTTTAATTTTCCAAAAACACGTTTTTTGCCCATAACTTTAAAAAAATGTTAGGACACCTATAAATGTTTTTCCATAATTTTGTAGAGTTTATTTAAACGCATCTTTTAAGTCCTAATTAAACATTATTCGTCTATATTAACCGGAGATATTAAACTTTTAAAAATCATAAATTTTGGAAAAAAATATTTTTTTAAAAATTTTGTTAAAAAATGTAGAAGTAATCTTAAAATTATCGTTACCAACTTGTAGAGCATTATAAAACGATTCGATTGACCTATTTTTGAACCTAATTCGATAATAAATTTCAAAATTATTGGTATTTTAAAAACCAAAAATTGTGGAAAATGACATTTTCTCAACTTTTTTGTTTGAAAATTTTTGTTTAACTATTAAACTATTATAACTATATTGTAGAGTATTTAAAAATACATTAATTGACCCAAGATTCAATCACTTTTACCATATTTATAAAAAGTTATTCATATATTTTCCTATTATTATTATTATCTTTATAAGGAAGCAAAGTGTTCATGAAATGAGCGCACCAAAATTATAAAAAAATATACAACTTGGCAGCAGTTTCTTTATTTGTTTTAAAGTAATAATAACATGAAAATAAAATGATCTAAAACTTTAACACCAAATTACTTTAATAATAAAATTTTTTTTTTGAAAAAGTTTCCCTTATTGGGAAAAATTTTTTTTCCTTATTGGGTCAAAAGCCATTATACTAACCCTTAAACCGCACCCTAAGTGTGCGACACCCATATTCTAGCTTTTTACTCTAATATTTCGTTTAAAGTCGTAAGAAATAAACATATGTCGCTATTGAGTGACACATTTTGTACTTAACTTTATAAGTATCGCACACCCAGTGTGTGGTTTAAGGATGGATTCGGAAGTGTGCGGTTTAAGGGTTAAAACATCAAAGATGTTTTTGTTGGGAGTAAATTATTCTCTAATTAATGATTTATTACCATTTATTAAATCAATTTTAATTAGTTGTACACTATCTGCAAAAATTATGTGAATGCTACATTTTAGTGCTATAAATAATTTTTTCATTTTGCTCAAAGTAATCATAGTTATACAACACTCTCCTGCCTAATTTTTTTACACAAAAAACATTTTTATAAAAAAGTTTAAAAATTTAAATTTATAAGAAAATACAAAATTTTTATAAATTAAAAAAATTTGAATATTAGTCAGTTAAGTAATTTTTAGTTTTATTTAAGTATTTTAACATTAAATACTATTATAAAAATACTTTGAAATTAACAGTACAGATGGTCACTCTAAGCTTTAAATTCTTACCAATTTTTAAGAATTTAAAGTTGAAAATCACAAATCAAAATTACTTTTAAAATAAGTCAAAAACATGATTCTGAAACTGGCACCTTATTATTATGGCACCTGTTTATTACCTTCAAGACTCTAATTTTGAACTGAAATAAAAAATATTCTTTTTTGTTTAAGACAACATAAACTTTTTTATAATAAAATACTGGGTACTTGTTTAAGATTTATTAAAAAAATATTAAACCATGTAAAGTATTCAAAAAAGAAAAATTATTTTATATCATTAAAAGGTAGTATTTTACACAATTTTTAAAAACTTACCTCCTTATCCTTATTTTTAATCACCAAAATTTTTTTCGTCTTATTTTGTTTAATTTTGAAAAGAGAAAAAAAGTGTTCTTCACATTGCACTTTTATTTTTCTGTATTATAAATATTTTTGTTAATAAACTGTAACTACACTGTAAATAAAGAAAGTTAAATTTTAACTCCCCAGGGGATTCTATAAAAGTCGCACCCATTGGGGAGTTAATGCCAGGGAGTTAAATAAAGAGAGTTAAAACTTCACACCCAAATGCTAACTCCCCAATGAAAAAATAACTCGCGCGGGTGTTGAATGAGGGGAGTTAGAAATTAACTTTCTTTTGGAGTTGATTTTTAACTCGAAAAATTTCACTCCCAACTTCCGAGTCCGTTAACTCCCTAAATTTTTTACAGTGTATACATATATGTATATATGTATCTCTCTCTCTCTCTCTCTCTCTCTCTCTCTCTCTCTCAATTTCAATCTCTCAATTTATCAAATGGGCTGTTCTTTTGGGTATCTCATTTTTTTCACATTTTAATTCAAATTCCGGCCGGCGACCTAAGAAATTCCAACTTTTCCAAAATAAGAACCACCCTAATATATATATATATATATATATATATATATATATATATATCTTTCAAATATATTTCTGTCTTCTTCTTTCTAAATAAATAACATAAATCAGTCCCTGTTTATAACGCAGAAAATCTAACGCTATTGCTTTCTTCCTCTTTCCAAATAGAAATAACATAAATCGGTCTCTGTTTATAACGCAGAAAATCTAACGCTATTGCTTTCTTTCTCTTTCAAGGATAAGTGACATTAGACTGTCTCTCTTTACCTAATTTGCATATCTACTCGTTTCATATTAAGGATTACGTTTCTTGTGATTATAGGGACAACGCAGAAAGCTCAGGGCATATTTTTCAGGATTCGTATTTAGCGTTTATTGAAATAAATTAACTATATTAATTTGAATGTTCTTTCATTCTTTCATTCACTTTTTCTGTCCCTCACACTCTGAAGAATTGTCTTTTGTTTATACTTTTGTTTTTTGTTCACTTTAGACAGAAAATAGAAATCATCAGAATTTTTTTTACTTCTTTTCATTAAGACTAAAATTTTGTTAAATATTATGTTTTGTCAAATTGAAATTATTTTTGTTCTTTACTTCTAAAAAAAATTAGAAAATTACTAAACAACTGTGATTAGGAAATAGAAAATTTATTTATTTTCCATTATTTTCTTTTTGAATCACAATTTTTTAAAAAAAATTATTATTTTGTTTTAGAAAAAGAACAAAAATATTTTCACAATTTATATTTTAATCTTATCTTTGGAACAGGATTTTCCACAGGAATTAAGACATTCAAAAATTCAAAATTCAAACCTTTTTTAAATTAAACAATTCTTATAAAAGTATTGTTTATAAAACATGAAGATATCAATTGCTCCGATTTTCATCATTTTAATTAAATTATTATTTTCTAGAATTTTAAATTATTTTTTATGAAAATAATAATTGAATTCCTTAAAAAATTTTATTATTTATGAAAATAATTGAATTCCTTGTGAAATTTTAATTATTTTATGAATATAATGAAATGTTTGCGCAGAATTTCAATAAAATTTTTTATAATTGAATTTTTTTGAAAAATTTTAGTAGATATTATAAAAATCATTGAATTGAGGAAAATTTTTGAAAATAATTGAAATTTTTGCCGAGAATTTTTTCAAAATTTTTTTAAATAATTGAATTGATTCGAAGAATTTTATCAAACTTTTTTAAAATAATTGAATTTTTGCAACGAATTTTATTAAAATTTGCAAAAATAATTGAATTCTTATAAAGAACTTTTATTATTTTTTTTGTTAAATAATTGAATTATTGCGAAAAACTTTATAAAACATTTGCAACTGATTGAATTTTTGCAAAGAATTTTATCAAAAAATGTGATAAAAATTGAATTTCTTCGAAGAATTTTATTGTTTATGAAAATAATTGAATTTAGGAAGAATTTTATTAAAATTTTACATAATCTTAATTAAATTCTTTTGAAGAATTTCTTTCAGTTTCTCTAAAATAATGGACTTTCTTTAATAATTTTAATTACAAGTTTTCAAAGTAATTGAATTCTATATGAATAATTTCTTTCAAGTTTTTATAATAATCCTCTTTCTTAATAATTAAAATGAATCATTTAATTCTTGAATTTTATTAAGAAAATTTGGAAAATAATTGAATTTTTTTGAAAAATTTCTTTAATTTATTGAATACAATCGAATTTTTTAATAATTGTATTGAAAATAATTGAATACCTGAGAAGAATTTTATTATTTATGAAAAATACTTTAATTCTTGCGATGAATTTTAATAATATATTTCTTTTTAAATAATTGTATTCTTTTGTGAATTTTTATTGAAATAGTAGATATTAAAAATAATTGAATTTTGATATTATTGAAATTAATTTAATTCTACGAAGAATTTAATTCAAATTATTTTGAAAAAAAATTGAATTGTTAAAAATTATTTCATTAAAATCTTTGAAAATTAATTTTTATAAAAATTTTAAGAATAATTACATTTTTCGAGAAATTCCATTAACATTGTACCAAAAATAATTGAAATTCTGCTATGATTTTTATTATTTATGAAAATAATTGAAAACCTACATAGAATTTTATTATTTATGAAAATAATTGAATTCCTGGTTAAAAAAATGTTATTCTTCATGAAAATAATTGAATTATTGCGTAGAAATTTATAAAAAATTTGTAAATAATAGAATTCCACTGAAATTTTTATTATTTAATTAATTCATTCAAAATTTTCATTTTCTAAAATTTCCAATTAAAATTTTGTTTAAATAATTGAATTCGTTTTGGGAAATATTTGATTAAAATCGTAGATATTGAAAATCATCAAAATTAGAAAAATTTCTGAAAATAATTGAACTTTGGAGAAGAATTTTGTTAAAATTTATAAAGATAATTGGGATTTTGACGAGAATTTTTTTCAAGATTTGAACATAGTTGAATTTAATAAGAATTTTATTTTTTTTTAAAGAATTTTTGCAATTATTTTTAAATTCTACAAAATTGGATTTTTTTTAGTATTTTCAACAAAAATTTAAATTAGAAAATTTTCAAATTTTATTATTTTTAAAATTGCTAATTTTATTTAAAAAAGGCAGCAACAAGAAGTTAGCCGCGCGATTTGTTGCTAGTAGGAATTTAAAATTAGTTACTTAATAATTTCAGGGTCATGACACAACATCAATGGGTCTTATATTTTTTCTGGCGCTTCTTGCAGAGCACAAAGAAGTTCAGGTCAGTGTTTCCCAACATCATTAATAATATCATCATCAACATATGTTTACAGTAACATATTTTTGTCCAATAGGAGAAAATTAGAAATGAAGTTTGCGAAGTCATGAAGCAATGTGGAGGAAAGTTAAGGATAGCTGACGTCAATAAACTCCTTTATCTCGAACGATGTGTTAAAGAATCATTACGATTGTACCCAAGTGTGCCGAGCATTGCTCGAGTACTCCATGAAAATTTACAATTAAGTCTGTATTCATTACTGAAAAATATTTCATAAAAAAAAAAATTATCCAAATTATCAGGAAACAAATATTTTTCTTTCAATTTTAGAAAATGGATTAGTTCCAGCTGGATCGAATGTATTTTTGTACATCTACGATTTACATAGAGATCCCAATTATTGGCCGAATCCTACTAAATTCGATCCTGACAGATTTCTACCTGAAAATTCAGTAAATAGACATCCATTTTCGTACGTTCCTTTTAGTGGTGGTTCTAGGAACTGTATTGGTAATGTTCTAGTTTCTATTTCTACAGTTCTAACATGTTTGTTAAATTCTTAATTTAATCAATTAATTTTAACTTTTAGGTCAGAAATTCGCAATGCTGGAAATGAAAGTTTTGACAGCACAATTAATTTATAATTTCAAACTTGAACCCATTGATTTTGCTCATGAAATTGTACTCTGTCAAGATATGGTCCTCAGACCGATGCACCCAGTACGAGTGAAATTTGTAACCCAGTCAAATAATTTATTGTAAAATTCTAAAATATAAATTCTAGTTTTATTATTATTAGTTTATTATCTAGTTTTATTATTCATAATAATGATTAAAAGTTTCAATAAATAGATTTTTTTAAAAACATTGATTTGTATAATGTAAGTGGAAAATAAAGTAATAAGTTTTGCAAAAAGACAATAAGCACTATTCTTTAATTTTCATTTAGCTTGGTAATAATTTTTCCATATTATTCAATTACATAGTTTAATTAGACATAATTATTAATTTCGTAAATTTCTAAAGAAAGCATTTAAATTTATTATTTTCGTATTTGTGCGTTTATCAGTAGTTTAGTATTATCAACTTAAAATATGTACCTACTAGTTTCATTATCTGACAATATAGTCGTCAGAATATGTTAAAAAAAAGAAAACGGTATTTTTTTATTATTATTATTATTATTATTGTTATTATAGTAGTCTAAAATTTATAAAATATTTCTTCGAATTATAATCAGTTGACGGTATATTCTATGTTTGAAGATGATTATTAAACGTTTCACTTCATTCCAATTCATTACTATCACCATTCTAATATCAGGTTAGTAAATTTTTTTTTTAAATTTTAGAAATATTCTGAAATGTTAATAAAAATTTTGAAACATTTCTAATAGTATTGGTAATTAGAATCAGAGGTGAGGAAGAAAATGGAATTAAGTTTCCCAAAGGTTTTGCAATTGGAGCTGCAACATCAGCCTATCAAATCGAGGGAGCATGGAACATAAGTGGTAAATTTTTTGTTCTAAAATAATAATCAATTTCGTTAGAAAAAATACTTTTGTTTTTATAGAAAATTTTGGTTATAATCTGTATTAAAACATTCAAATTAAAGTAAAGTAAGCAATTCGTTAAGAATATTTAAATGTCCATGCAGACAAGGGTGAAAATGATTGGGATTATTTCACACATCATCAAAACTCAATAGTCCATAACAAAAGTACTGGAGATGTAGCTTGTAATTCATATTATCTCTACAAAGATGACGTGAAACTTCTAAAGAACATTGACGATGTTACCTGAAATCTTATTTGCCGAAATAAATGATAAATTCCTCGGCAAATATTTTACAAATCTACAATTTTATTTTTAGTGAACATTTCGGCATCGTTCGTGTGGATTTCGACAAGCCTTCAAGGGAACGGACACTGAAGTATTCGGCAAAATGGTTTAAAAGTTTGTTACGAGTTCGTGATTCGTGAACTATCTTTAGAATACAAAGTTAAAAATTTACCAACAGTGTAAATTGAGTTTTCAAATTAAATCCTCCTGTAACCATTTTAATAAAATTCGTTTATTTTCCCAAAAGAAAATATTATTTTTTTATTTAAATTATGTACGTCATGTCACACGAATAATTTTTTAATTTAAAATCAACTTTTTTTTTTATAATTTCCAACAAAGTGGTTTTTATCATTAGTAAAGTTGTAATGTTATATAAATTTTATCAGTTCATAAAAGTATGTCTTCCTCATCATTTTGTCAATATAGAAGTATCCAAATAGTTTAAACGGGAAACATATTTTACTGTGTTATTGATATCACAACTGATAATACTCAAATACTTGGCAAAATTACTGTTTTTAAAAAATTATTTCTATATAATTGTAATATTCACCTGGTAATGGAAATTTTATAAATGCAATAATAATAGTTAATGATATATTAAGTCCTGAAAGAATGACAATGAACTTTTTTTCTACACATCAAGTAGTTTCTGTCATTTTTCTAGTAGCAGGTTAGTGAATATAAGAAATGTTTTATTTAACGTCTTGAATTTTTTACTGATCAACTTGTTCTTTTTTCATGAAAAATAGTATACACGATTAAAATCAGATGTCAGGAAGAGAATGATCAGAAATTTCCGAAAGGTTTCACCATTGGAACTGCAACTTCCTCATATCAAATTGAAGGAGCCTGGAATATAAGTGGTAAACGTTTTTTTTTTTAAATAATTAGTTTTTCGTTAATTTTCCTTGTTCAATTTGATGTCACCAAACTTTTTTGTGACGCGACATTTCCTTATCTTTCTTTTACTCTTTTTTTATCCAACCTTTATCCTTTAACATTTTTATCACCCAATCATCCATTGATGAGTTTTGAAGACAAACGGTTTATGAATTTACAGATAAAGGTGAAAATGTTTGGGATCATTTCACACATCGTCCGGACTCGACAGTTCATAATAAAAGTACTGGGGATGTGGCTTGTAATTCATACTATCTCTACAAAGAAGATGTTAAACTCATAAAAAACATTGGAGTAAGTATTTTGCAATGAAAAATTAAAATATTGAGGAGGGGTGTTACTCATCGGGATAATTTAGATGAAGTAAATTTGAAGTAAATTTACCAACTGGATTGAGGAATTGATATATTAGTAGGTAATCAAAGAGGGTTCGGGATAGAGATTCCTGCACCGACATTTACCGACATTTTTCCCCTTAGACTCAAACCATTTCAATGAAAAAGTGTGAGGTCCGCCTCGATATTACGATCTGAATCACACTTTCCCCCAAGTGGTTTGAGTCTTGTGAGAAAAATAATTATTTATTTTTAGTTTGATTTCTATCGATTTTCGATAAGTTGGGCGAGAATTTTGCCAACTGGTTTTCCAAATTACGTCAGTAAGGACGGTTTGAAATATTATCACAATTTACTTGATGAACTGATTGCAAAAGGAATCCAACCCTATGTGACACTGTATCACTGGGATCTTCCTCAAACATTGGAGAAATTGGGAGGATGGACAAATGAACTGATGGTACAATGGTTCACTGATTACGCCAGAGTTGTATTTCAGGAATTAGGACCAAAAATAAAAATCTTCTATACTGTTAACGAGCCGTTTATATTTTGTGGCTTTGGTTATGGACAGACACTACTCGCACCCGGTAAGTCAGAAAGTTTTGTTCTACGTTATAATTTTGAAGTTAACTATAATAATAACAACTTTCGACACTTTAATAGGGAAAAATATGTCTGGAGTTGCCGACTATCTATGTGGTCATAATGTATTGAAAGCTCACGCAAGTGTTTATCACTTGTATCATAATGAATTTCGCAAAAAACAAAAAGGTAGGATAGGAATAGTGAACATTTGCAATTCCTACATAGCAAAAAATAAAGATCCAATATTAGAAGATGAAGCATTTCAATTTTCCTGCGGATGGTTTGCTCATCCAATATTCTCGAAAATTGGAGATTATCCACCGGTAATGAAAAAACTTGTCAAAGAAGCAAGCCTTAGGGAAGGATGGCCCAAATCAAGATTACCAGTGTTTAACAAAAAATGGATCAATTTCATTAAGTTGGTGGAATTTTCTAACATATCTATTGTGTTTTAACAAAAAAACATAATTGCTAAATTCTATTTTAGAGGTACATCAGACTTTTTTGGATTAAATCATTACACCAGTGAAATGATCGAACCAGGAAGAAGTAACAAAATGAACATATTGCACGATTTTAATGCAACTTTCAGTTCAGATCCAAAATGGCCCAGGGCAAAAAGTTTTTGGTTAGCTGTAAGTGTTCTAAAACCCAAAGTTTTTTTTTGTCTAGACATTAAAAAAATTTTTGTTTAAAGAAGTACGGAATTTAACAGTTTAAAAAAAAAAAATAGGTTGTTCCTGAAGGATTTAGATTGATACTTCTCAGATTGAAAAAGGAGTACGGTAATATTCCAATTCACATTACAGAAAATGGATATTCGGACCATGGTGTTCTGTGGGATGAGAATCGTGTGGAATTTTATTATTCGTACTTGAAGGAAATGTTAAAAGCAATTCATCAAGACAAATGTAATGTTCAATCTTATACTGTTTGGAGTTTAATGGACAACTTTGAGTGGGCTAGTGGATATAGGTATTATTGCAAAATCTCTTTTGTTTCAATTAATCTAAAAATTAAAATCAAAGTAATTGAAAACTAATCTTAAAATCAAGTATACATGAATTAATGTTTCAGTGATTTCACATTTAGAATTTAAAGAATTAATTTTTTAGCTCTCAAAGGTTTATATAAATATATGTTCATTTGTTTAAGTGATCGTTTTGGATTGGTTCATGTGGATTTCGATAAGCCTTCGAGGGAACGCACTCTCAAGTATTCTGCTAAATGGTTCAAAAGTTTACTTAAAGTTCGTAAACTATCTATGGAGTACAAATAAAAATTAAATAATTGACGCATTAATGTAAACCAGTTTTTTTGAAAAACATTTCAAAATCATTTGAAAAACATTTCAAAATCATTTTAAAATCATTTCAAAACATTTCAAGAATGTAAGGTAAACATTGAAATAAAATGGAAAATAAAATAAAATTTGTTTAAAAGTAAAAATATCAGTTTTAGTCTTGACTTTCGTCATCAGCAATAAATAGAAAATACTTTGTACTATTCCTAAAGAAGGAAAAATTTTTATCTTTGCCTTAAAAAATCTTCATATATCTGCAAGTAATGTTATACTTACGTTACCTTTTTTCTACACAAAAACTAAAAGAAATAAACAAGAAATGCTTAGTTTTTACCGACTTGTCGTTGAATGCACATATTAACAGTTCGTGAGTCAGCTTCTAGCTTAGAGCTGAAATAACCTTTGACATAGGCAGTCGTTTCATTAATTTGTGAGACATGATAGTGTACTGGGATCTTAAGTATATTAAATACTATACTTCTGTTCATGTAATTACTACGTTTCTTCTAATATTAGGGTAAGTATGTTAAAAATTTGTATTTGTATTTAAAAAATTTAATTTTTATTTAATTACTATCCACAAGAGAAAAAAGTTTAAATTTTAACCTGATATTTTGGGGTAAAAATTCCCTGCAACAAATTTTCTTCAAAGTGATGGTGTCATTTTGAATTTTCAAAATCTGACATCGGATTCGTAATCAGCGACTCCAAAACCCCCTATAGAACCCAATATATGGAAAATTATATTTTTCAACAGTACAAGATGTTGCGATGAGGAAGATTTAAAATTTCCGGAAGGATTCCTGATTGGAGCTGGATCATCAGCCTATCAAATTGAAGGAGCTTGGAATATAAGTGGTAAACTTTATGTCAACTATATTTAATTTTATTATTCCTAGTGAACGACAAAACTGAAACCTTTTTAAATTTTCACTTTTTTCATGTTTTTAAATGAATTCCAAATGAATCTTATTTAGAAGAATGATAAGGCAATGGCACTAAAGGTTAATTCAGATTTTATCATTTCGATCCAGTTAAGTAAAAACGTCTCTTAAATTTACAGATAAAGCAGAAAGTATTTGGGATCATTTCACTCATGATCCAGCTTCTGGAGTTTATAACAAAAGCACTGGAGATGTGGCTTCTAATTCATATTACCTCTACAAAGAGGACATAAAACTTCTAAGTCAAATTGGGGTAATTATTTTTCTGGAATGATAATTGTTTCGTCAACTCATATAACAATCTCACAATCTCTGTCAACTCGTTTCTAAAAAATATTGTACTTTCACGTAGTTCGATTTTTACCGTTTCTCAATAAGCTGGTCACGAATTTTGCCCAACGGTTTTGCAAACAATATTAGTCAGGATGGTTTGAAGTACTACCATAATTTACTAGACGAACTGAATTCAAAAGATGTGAAACCATTTGTCACATTATACCACTGGGATCATCCACAAGTACTTGAGAAATTAGGTGGTTGGACTAACGAACTAATGGTACAATGGTTCACCGATTACGCCAAAGTTGTATTTAGAGAACTAGGACCGAAAGTAAAAGTTTTCATAACCATTAACGAACCCTACAGTTTGTGTTCATCTGGTTATGGAGACTCTTATTTTGCTCCAGGTAAGAATTGTAAGAATTTTTTTTCCAAAATTCAAGCAATTTTGTTTTGATGATTGAGGAAATATGTCCTAAATGTTTGGATAGGTATGAATTTGCCAGGAGTCGCGAATTACATCTGTGGTCATAATATGTTAAAAGCTCACGCCAACGTCTATCACATGTATCATGAAGAATTTAAGGAGGATCAAAGAGGACTAATTGGAATAGCAAACGAATGTAATTCCTTCTTCGCCAAGAATCAAACCGATACATTACAAGACGAAGCATTTCAATTTACTTGTGGCTGGTTTTCTCATCCGATATTTTCCAAACAAGGGGATTACCCAGCGGTGATGAAAGCATTGATAAACCATAACAGCATTCGTGAAGGATGGCAAAATTCAAGATTACCAATCTTCAGCAAAAAATGGATCAATTATATCAAGTTGGTTTAAATTATCTCTACGTTTGGAAATTTATTCCTCACCAGTACAAGTAATTGAGAATGTATTTTAGAGGCACAGCAGACTTTTACGCTCTAAATCACTACACCTCTAGAATTGTAGAACGTGGCAACAATGGGAGAGTTGAAAATAAATGGTACGATCTAAAAGCAACGTTTACCCTCGATCCAAAATGGCCCAAGGGAAAGAGTTCCTGGTTAGCGGTGAGTGGCAAAAAAAAATCCTTTCCAAGATTATTTTCATAGACGCATGAATTCTAAACTAAAAATTCTAGGTAGCTCCCGAGGGTTTACGCTACATACTCAAGAAATTAAAATCAGAATACGGAAATACGTCGATCTACATTATAGAAAATGGATTTTCGGATGAGGGTCAATTGGAGGACACAAAAAGAGTGGAGTACTATTTTTTCTACTTGAGGGAAATGTTGAAAGCAATTCATCAAGACGGATGTAATGTAAAGGCCTATACTGCATGGTCTTTACTAGATAATTTTGAATGGACTAGTGGATACAGGTACGTATAATTTCACAATAATCCTAATATCTATGATTGATTACCATTAGACAATAGTAATGTTTGTATTTGGCTCAATCTAAACGATAAAAAATCAATGTCTTATTCGACATTGCGGAAATTACTCAAGAATTCCCTATTTCGAAACTAAGAAAATATTGCGCAAAATCATGTTTATACAGAAAAATATGTATCTTTAAAAATTATTTTTTAGTGAACGCTTTGGAATCATTCATGTGGATTTTAACGATTCAACGAGAAAACGAACGGCGAAATATTCTGCAAATTGGTTTAAAGATTTATTGAAATTTCGTCAACTTTCCCTCAAGTATACTTGAGTCGAATAAATTATTAATTACTGATTACAATTGCTTATTTGTCCTCTAACCTCTACTTCACTACTTCTATTTTGATAAGATAATATTTAGTATATAAAATCTCCATTTAATTAATGAACCCATAATTTCTAATTTATGTGTTATGAACTGATATCTAATTTTTTCGGCACACATATTTATCTTCCTGTGTTTCTTTGTTTTCATAACAATACCCTTAAAGCCATATTCTTCATTCATATTCTCACTAACAGTTTCCCCGTAATAATGAGTTCGTACAACTTAAAATTTATTCTCCTCTTTTTCTTAGTGAATAGGTAAGAAAAAAATAAATTTTAACAACGCAATTATAAAAATTTGTATCACATTTCAAGTGAAGATATTTTTATATTTTATTGTCTCTCAGATTTGTAGATTCCATCGAAGACAACCTTCGATTTCCGCAAAACTTTTCAATAGGATCCGCAACGGCTTCTTATCAAGTTGAAGGCGGTTGGAATGCTAGTGGTAATAATACTTTTTGAAACTAAAAAGAAATTTGACAATTTACTAAGAAGGTAATTATTATACAATTATGTTTGTTGTACATATTTTTAAAAGACAAGGGTGAAAACATTTGGGATTGGTTTACACATCTAAAGCCTTCGAGAATATTCGATGAAAGTACTGGAGATGTTGCTTGTGACTCATACAGTAAATATAAAGAAGATGTGAAGATTTTGAAAAATATTGGTGTAAGTATATTTTTTTGATAAGTTACACTACCGGTGCGGTGGAAATTGCGCGCAAAAACACCTCGAGCTGATAAGTATGGGCTGAAAAAATTTTCGTTTCCGTCGAATATTAGAGAAGGAAGGCGCAAAATTTCCGCCGGTAGTGTATGTTCAAATTTTAGAAGCAGGCTTCGCACTCTTCTACTAAAAGCTACTATTTGCTACTTTTTTGGCTACTTTTTTGAGCCTAATGCTACTAAAAGCTACTTTTCTCAACAAATAGTCACACTTAGATTTTTAGTTTTCAAATTTCCATTTAAAAACAATGTTAAAAACTAAAATCGTTTAAGAAAAACGACCGTCATATAAGATATTAGAGAATAATTTTACCGACATTTACTCTATCAATAGTGACTGATTATAAATTGTGTTTAGATTTTCTTGCAAATGATAACCTTTAAATTCCCGATTTTTCCCGACTTTGTCCTAATTTTTCCCGCTTTTATTTTCTCATCAAATTTAAATTTATTTGATTTCGAACATAAATAAATCTACAAATGGTTTCAAAAATTTTTATTAGATTTTCTATGAATAATTAAATTGTTTTGAGGAGTTTCTTTAAATTTTTTGAAAATAATGTTTTTTTTAAGAATTTTAATTAAAAATTTGGAAAATAATTGAATTAAACAAAGAATTTTTTCAATTTTAAAAAAAAATCGTGTTTGTTCATAATTATAATTGAAAATTTGATTAATTCAATTTCATTAAAATTTATTGATACTAATTGAATTTCTGGAAAGAATTTTACTATTTATAAAAGTAATTGAATCCTTCCAGAAAGAATTGTTATTACATATTTATGAAAATAATTAAATGTTTCCGTAGAATTTTATTAAAATTTTTCAAAATAATTGAATTGTGGAGAACAATTTAATTATTTATAAATATAATTGAAATGCGAAGAGAATTTCAAAAAAAAATTTTAAACATAATTGAATTTTTGCGAAGAATTTTATTACTTTTGAAAATAATTGAATTGTTTTTTTTATAATTTTATGAAAATTTATGAAAATAAATAAATAAACGGGCATAGTTCCGTTTACTACTTAAATAAATAAATAAATAAATAATTGAATTCTTGTGAAGAATATTTTTCAAAAATAATATTCAAAAGAATTTAGTAAATCTGAAGAATTTTGATATTTATGGAAATAATAGAAATAATTGAATTCTTTCGACGAATTTTAATCAAATTTTTAAGAATAATTACATTTTTCAAGGAATTTGATTAGAATTGTATTAAAAATAATTTAATTTCTGCAATGAGTTTTATTATTTATGGAAATAATTGAATTATTGCGAGGATTTTATAAAAAAGTTTCAAATAATTGATTTTAAAAAAAAATTTAGAAACTCTATCTTTAATAATTCAATTCCTAATTTCCGTTTTCTTAGAAAATAATTGAATATTCGTGTAGAATTTTGTCAAAATTGTTTTTAAATAATTGAATTCTTTTTGGAAATTTTATTAAAATAGTAGACATACAAATTATTAAATTAAGAAAATTTTTTGAAAATAATTGAATTCTCGTTATTTATGAAAATAATTGAATTCTTGAGAAGAATTTTTTTTACAGTTTCTAAAAATAATTGAATTCTTTCGACGAATTTTAATAAAATTCTCAAGAATTCTCATTTTTCAAGTTTTACTATTTATGAAAATAATTGAATGTATTGCGAAGAAATTTTTAAAAATAAAATTATAATTACGGTGATTAACTTCCCTGGATTATTTTCGAAGAATTTAAATAAAATTCTTTAAAAGAAGTAAATTATTTTTACATAGAATGTAAAGAAATTTCAATTATATAAAAAATTTTCAATTATTTGTCTATAAAAATTCAATTATCTTGAAACAAGAGAATTAAAAAAATTTAAAAATCTTATTTTTCAAAATTTTCAAAAAAACTTTGCGAAAATTCAATTTTATTGAAAAATTTGAAGTGTATATATTTTTTTAAATTAACAAATAAAAATTTTAATTATTAATCTTCGCACTAGAAAACATGAATACATTAGAATGTGACTCCTTATAAAATTTAATTATTTATCAATTATTAAGTTAAAATATTTTGAAAATTCGATTTGTTAAAAAGTTTTCAATGAAATTCTTTAATAAAATTTATTATTTTCAGTTGAATTTCACGAAATTTTTATTAATTCGATAATTTTTTTGTAATTTATTTATTTACATACTATATTTAAATCAGTGACTGATTTTTAACTATAAAATTAATTATTTTTAACTAATTTAAATTTAGAGAACAGTATAAATATCTATGAAAATTGAAATAAAAAGCGATTTTTTAAACACAAATTAAAATGATAAAGTTCTTTCTAATTTGGTGAGAAAATTCCCGGGTTGGAATATAATTTCTGACTTATTCCCGGTTTTTCCCGGTCGAATTAAATTCCCGGATTTTCCGGTTAGTAGACACCCTGGAATATATGTATACTACTTTTTTCTGTCATCGAGGCTACTATTTCCTATTTTTTTTTTGTCATCGACGATACTTTTTCCTACTTTTTTTAAACTCATAATGGAGTGCGAAGCCTGTAGAAGTTAAAATATATATTAAGTATAGAATATGTTTACAATTAGTTTGATCACTACCGTTTTTCAATAAGTTGGTCACGAATTTTGCCAAATGGTTTCGCGAATAACGTCAGCAAAAACGGTATCAAATATTACGCTGACCTTCTCGACGAACTGAATTCAAAAGGTATTACACCCTATGTAACACTCTATCACTGGGATCATCCATCAATTTTGGAGAAATTAGGCGGATGGACCAATAAACTAATGGTCGAGTGGTTTGCCGATTACGCCAGAATAGTATTTCGGGAATTGGGTCCAAAAATAAAAATCTTCCTCACAGTCAACGAGCCAACGGTATTTTGTGGATTTGGTTATGGATCTTTGCAAAGAGCACCAGGTTAGGAGATACTTTAATTACTTCTGTTACTTTTCATGTCGTGAATATTTTAATTTCCATCAAATCGGAAGGAGAGCATATATTTAGGTGTATAAGGAAATAATTTCAAGAATATTTTTAAAGGTATAAACTTGCCAGGTTTGGGAAATTACTTATGTGTTCATAATGTCCTAAAAGCCCACGCTAGAGCATATCATATTTACGATAAAGAATTTCGTCCTCAACAAAATGGTCTAATTAGCATTGTACTACATTGCACTCGCTTCTATCCTGATGATCCTAATGACACTCTACTGGACGATATTGGATTTCAATTCTCCTGCGGATGGACAGCACATCCAATTTTTTCAAAAAATGGCGACTATCCAGAAATAATGAAGAATATAATAAGGAGGAAGAGTTTACTCCAAGGTTGGTCGCAATCCAGACTACCCAATTTCTCCCAAAAGTGGATTTCCTACATCAGGTAAATACTAACCATTCAAAAAGCACGAAATATAAATAATACCTTTAGATTCAAGTTGTGTTTCATTGCACTTAGGGGTACAGCTGACTTTTTCGCCTTAAATCACTATACGGCAAGAATTATACAAAATAGAACAGGATACATTGGACCGTTCTTTAACGATCTGGACATAAATTTAACCGTTGATCCAAATTGGCCAACAACTGAGAGCGAATATTTTTTTGTAAGTTGAGACTCTTTACTAGGTGAATAATAAAAAAAAAAACCTGATGTGCAAAAAAATTTCGCATTCTAGATCGTACCCGAGGGTTTTAGATCAATTCTCAATAGAATAAAGGAAGAGTACGCAAATCCACCGGTCTATGTAATGGAGAATGGATTTTCCAATTCAGCTGTTCTAGACGATGTGCAACGATTGAATGGTATAAAGGTTTATTTGAAGGCACTATTGATGGCTATTCATAAGGATGGTTGTAATGTCAAGGCGTACACTGTTTGGAGTCTTCTTGATAATTTCGAATGGGATAGAGGATACAGGTAATATTTCAATCATTTTGATTATCGAGACAAGGAACTGAATTTCTTTATTTCTTTAATTTATCAAAAGATTAAATCTGATTAGATCTGTAACAAATTGTTTTGATCTTGAAATTCTTTACACGATAGATTACGTATTCAATAGTGCTGATAAAGATTTGAAGTTCAAATATTTAGCGGGGCGTGTATATTAGCGTAAAAAAATTTTTAACGAGATAAATAGATAAAAAGATAAGTAAATAAAATAAAGAAAAATAGAAATAAATTCTATTTAATTTAAGAAATATTTTGCTGTAAGCTTTCAACTATTTTGCAACATTTCGTAATATGCTTGCAAGAATCTTTTATCTCAAGATTGTAGGGACTTTTTATGGCAAGCTACATTTTTAAAATTCAAAATGGCGGATCCAATATGGCGGACCGCAATTTTTAAAATTTCTAAAATTAGCCGAAATATAGGAGCTCAGAGGTTTTTGGGGTCAGGGATTTTGAATCTTAAATTAGATTTTTAAAATTCAAAATGGCGGATCCAATATGGCGGACCGCAATTTTGAAAAATTCGTTAAATTTGACTAAATCTTATAATTCTCTGATTTTTTAAGGCCGCTAATTTCAGCATTCACTTTTTTAAATTTCAGCCGTTAATGGATTATTAAGTATTTTAATTTTTAGCAATTGTTTCTTGAATTTTAATTTTTCCTTGAATTGTTACTTATACAAATATTTAATATTTATAAAAACGAAAAAAATTTTAAAGTAGTAAACATTTTCTTTTTGCCTTCATCTATTATTATATAATTGATATAATATTTTCTAGTGAACGTTTTGGAATTGTACATGTTGATTTTAACGACCCCGACAGAAAGAGAACATTAAAACAATCTGCAATGTGGTTAAAAAGTATGCTATCAAAACGGGACCTTAACGCAGCCGATAATACTGTTTATTAAAGAAAAAAAAATTATTTTCTCAGGTAACTTTTTTCACTTGGACACAATAAAATTCTTTAAAAAATTCCCCTCTTGGAAATTCTACATCGGAATATTCTGAGAATATTTTCCGCTGGGGTATTTTTAAAAAATTTTTCAAGACAATTTTCCAAGAAAATTTCAATTAATTTAAAATAATTAAAAATTTTGGAAATGTATTGAAATTTCAGGATATTTTCGACAAGAAAACAATTATTGGAACCCAGTCGAAAATCTGATGAATTTTCCAGAGGATTTTTGAAGAAATAAAAATTTTTTTTGCATTCATTTGAATTTTTAACATTTTACTTGGAAAAATATGCGTTTTAAATTTATTCAACAGTGATAATATTTTAAGTAGTAAAATATTTATTATTTTTTTTTTCAGATTATGCTATGTGGAAATGATGCAAGTTCATGAAAAATTTTTTATATTGCTATATTTTTTTACTCATCTTTAAGTTTAAATAAAATGTGTATAGAATTTTTATGCAGTTACGAAAGTTTTTCTTCCATTTTCAGCCACTGTTGTTGTAAAATTTTTAAAATAGTTTAAGTGCTAAAAAATTAAGGTACGGTATTGAATATTTTATGTAAAAATTAGTTCGGTCAAACTAGCGACCCGCCGGCCGCCAGCCATCAGAAGAATCCATAGGCGCCGACACACATATATGTGTGGAAAATGAAAATTGGTCCTAGCCAGGTCCTACCTATTTTGCCCTGTTAATAGCTTGGTCCTAGGTTGGCAGTGTAGGTTGGACCAACAATGGGTGGTGATGCGTTTCTAGCCTGGTCCTAACTTGGGAGCCTAGTTATGACCAGTTTATTTATATATTTTATTATTATTTTAATTAGCTTATAATATTTGCTAAAGAAATAACCTAAATTATTAATAATAAGTATTAGTTTTAATTAATTATTATTTTTTTCAATTAAATGATGACCAAAAGCGAATTCATAAATAATGTTAGTATATGTAGAGATTAATATATATTCCTCTAATATATATACATTAAAAATTATAAAAAAAATTAGAAATTTGTTAATTAAATTATTTTACAGTATATATAATCATTAAATTGCATACTTATACGAATACAATTCAGAAAAATCGGAATAAACGCAAACCTAAGATGTAAATAAAATCTAACGCACGCGGGAATCGAACCTACGACCTACGGACTACGAGACTAACGCCCTAACCACTATGCTAATGAAACTAGTTAAGATCAAAATTTTTATTGTCAGTGACTTGTGGACTTGCTTTTGATGATTCAATATAGTAATTATTGACACTAATACACGATAATAAATAAAAAAAATAGTTTAACAACAACAATAATAATAAAATAATATCCAAATATAAAAATTCAAAAATTAATATTTTTATATTATATCAAGAAAAAAAATATCTATACATTTTCGTTAAAAACAGGTTTTTCATTGTTCTCAATCATTTTTAACATTAATTTCTTGGTCTAAAAAAAGTATTCGTCTGTTGGACTTGGAAACTTTTCCTAATTAATTAAGCGGGTGATCCGCTTTTTAAAAAAATGTCAAAAAAATTTATGTTAAAAACACGTTTTTCATTATTCTAAATCATTTTAAGCATTCATTTTTTGTTGCAAAAAATTTTTTAGACTTGGACTTAGAAATTTTTGCTAATGAAACTAGGAAGCCCAGGTAGGTCCTGGGTTGGACCTGGGTGGGTCAGCTCACATTCGAATTGCAATATCTCTTACTGATTAGCACCAACTTAAACGAAACTTAAAATCAGCGAACGAAATTAGAAATATATTTTACTATACTGATAATTATATTGCAGTCTGTATCTGTTTAAATAAATAAATAAATTTTGCTGTTTTATTAACTTTTGTAACAAATTACTTAAAAATTTGCAGTTTTTTATCTAACTTCGCGATTATTACACTTGAGTAGTGAAATATGAAGATAATTTATAATTTTAACAATTCAGCATTTGTTTAAACAAAAAATTGTTGTTATTTATTAATTCTTAAGACAATAAATCGTCTAGACACTTGTAGTCTTTTAAAATTTTGCAATTAACTAATCTGAGTATTTACTTATTGCAAAATTAGCAAAAACTGCTAGTTTCTAGGTAGATTGTGTAAAAAGTTAGTGAATAACAATTATTTGTTTAAACAATTGCTGAATTAATAAATTAATAAATTAACTTTATTTTATAGTATTTGTATAATTTTCTGATTTATGTCAAACAATAAAATGTTTAAACAAATATGATTATCAATTAATTTTATAAATATTAATTGAGAATATTTATCAATTTTTATATGTTTTTCATGTATCAATTTTGACACTTTATTTTCCTAAAAAATTTTCTAAGTCATAACTGGATCTCCTAGCTAGTACCAAGTTAGGACCAGCCCAGAATATATAAAAAGGGGTTGCCAAGTTAGGTCCAAGTTAGGGCCAATAATCATTTTAGGCATAGCATAGTGATTTCTACACGGCTAGTAGCGCAGTGGCCTTATACGGTTCAATCAACGCAAAATAACGTACGCTAGCTATTACAGTTTATTGAAAAAAATTGCAAGAGTCACATTTTAAAGAGCAATAATGCCCTTTTAACTTGTGACCAAAAAACAAAGAATTGGTCAAAAATTATTCGAGTTATGAATTTTTTTCCGATTTTTTTTACAATTTTCGTTTTTCTGATACGGGCGGGTGGGGACGCTGGCTATCAAAAATTTATTTAAAAAATTTTTAATTGTCACATTTTAAGGAGCATTAATTCTTCTTTAATTTGCGACCAAGAAAGAAAGAATTGGTCAAAAATTATTCGAGTTATGAATTTTTTCCGATTTTTTTTTTCCAATTTTCGTTTTTCTGATACGGACGGGTGGGGACGCTGGCTATCAAAAATTAATTGAAAAAATTCTTATTGGTCCAATGAAAAGAAGCATTAATCCCTCTTTAATTTGCGACCAAGGAGCAAAGAATTGGTAAAAAATTATTCAAGTTATGAATTTTTTTCCGATTTTTTTTTCAATTTTCGTTTTTCTGATACGGGCGGGTGGGGCCGCTAGCTATCAAAAATTTATTTAAAATATTTTTAATTGTCACATTCTAAGGAGCATTAATCCTTCTTTAATTTGCGACCAAGAAAAAAAGAATTGGTCAAAAATTATTCGAGTTATGAATTTTTTCCGATTTTTTTTTCCAATTTTCGTTTTTCTGATACGGACGGGTGGGGACGCTGGCTATCAAAAATTAATTCAAAAAATTCTTATTGGTCCAATGAAAAGAAGCATTAATCCCTCTTTAATTTGCGACCAAGGAGCAAAGAATTGGTCAAAAATTATTCGAGTTATGAATTTTTTTCCGATTTTTTTTCAATTTTTGTTTTTCTGATACGGGCGGGTGGGGACGCTGGCTATCAAAAATTTATTTAAAAAATTTTTAATTGTCACATTTTAAGAAGCATTAATTCTTCTTTAATTTGCGACCAAGAAAGAAAGAATTGGTCAAAAATTTTTCGAGTTATGAATTTTTTCCGATTTTTTTTCCAATTTTCGTTTTTCTGATACGGGCGGGTGGGGACGCTGGCTATCAAAAATTATTTTAAAAAATTCTTATTGGTCCAATGAAAAGAAGCATTAATCCCTCTTTAATTTGCGACCAAGGAGCAAAGAATTGGTCAATAATTTTTCGAGTTATGAATTTTTTTCCGATTTTCTTACCAATTTTCGTTTTTCTGATACGGGCGGGTGGGGACGCTGGCTATCAAAAATTTATTTAAAAAATTTTTAATTGTCACATTTTAAGGAGCATTAATTCTTTTTTAATTTGCGACCAAGAAAGAAAGAATTGGTCAAAAATTATTCGAGTTATGAATTTTTTCCGATTTTTTTTCCAATTTTCGTTTTTCTGATACGGACGGGTGGGGACGCTGGCTATCAAAAATTAATTCAAAAAATTCTTATTGGTCCAATGAAAAGAAGCATTAATCCCTCTTTAATTTGCGACCAAGGAGCAAAGAATTGGTCAAAAATTATTCGAGTTATGAATTTTTTTCTGATTTTTTTTTCAATTTTCGTTTTTCTGATACGGGCGGGTGGGGACGCTGGCTATCAAAAATTTATTTAAAAAATTTTTAATTGTCACATTTTAAGAAGCATTAATCCCTCTTTAATTTGCGACAAAGGAGCAAAGAATTGGTCAAAAATTATTCGAGTTATGAATTTTTTTCCGATTTTTTTTCCAATTTTCGTTTTTCTGATACGGGCGGTTGGGGACGCTGGCTATCAAAAATTATTTTAAAAAATTCTTATTGGTCCAATGAAAAGAAGCATTAATCCCTCTTTAATTTGCGACCAAGGAGCAAAGAATTGGTCAATAATTTTTCGAGTTATGAATTTTTTTCCGATTTTCTTACCAATTTTCGTTTTTCTGATACGGGCGGGTGGGGACGCTGGCTATCAAAAATTAATTCAAAAAATTCTTATTGGTCCAATGAAAAGAAGCATTAATCCCTCTTTAATTTGCGACCAAGGAGCAAAGAATTGGTCAATAATTTTTCGAGTTATGAATTTTTTTCCGATTTTCTTACCAATTTTCGTTTTTCTGATACGGTCGGGTGGGGACGCTGGCTATCAAAAATTTATTTAAAAAATTTTTAATTGTCACATTTTAAGGAGCATTAATTCTACTTTAATTTGCGACCAAGAAAGAAAGAATTCGTCAAAAATAATTCGAGTTATAAATTTTTTTCCGATTTTCTTACCAATTTTCGTTTTTCTGATACGGTCGGGTGGGGACGCTGGCTATCAAAAATTTATTTAAAAAATTTTTAATTGTCACATTTTAAGGAGCATTAATTCTACTTTAATTTGCGACCAAGAAAGAAAGAATTCGTCAAAAATTATTCGAGTTATGAATTTTTTTCCGATTTTCTTACCAATTTTCGTTTTTCTGATACGGGCGGGTGGGGACGCTGGCTATCAAAAATTTATTTAAAATATTTTTAATTGTCACATTTTCAAAAACATTAATCCTTCTTTAATTTGCGACCAAGAAAGAAAGAATTGGTCAAAAATTATTCGAGTTATGAATTTTTTCCGATTTTTTTTCCAATTTTCGTTTTTCTGATACGGGCGGGTGGGGACGCTGGCTATCAAAAATTAATTTAAAAAATTCTTATTGGTCCAATGAAAAGAAGCATTAATCCCTCTTTAATTTGCGAACAAAGAGCAAAGAATCGGTCAATAATTTTTCGAGTTATGAATTTTTTTCCGATTTTCTTACCAATTTTCGTTTTTCTGATACGGGCGGGTGGGGACGCTGGCTATCAAAAATTAATTTAAAAAATTCTTATTGGTCCAATGAAAAGAAGCATTAATCCCTCTTTAATTTGCGACCAAGGAGCAAAGAATTGATCAATAATTTTTCGAGTTATGAATTTTTTTCCGATTTTCTTACCAATTTTCGTTTTTCTGATACGGGCGGGTAGGGACGCTGGCTATCAAAAATTTATTTAAAATATTTTTAATTGTCACATTTTCAAAAACATTAATCCTTCTTTAATTTGCGA